GCTGTCTCCTAGGGACCTGCCTCCCAGGTGCTGCAGGGGCCAGGAGGGCGACCGAGGGGCGCGGCGTTCCGGTTCCCACGCGTCGTCGGTGCGGGCAGTGGCCGCTCGGCTTCAGCTGTGGCCTGTGGGGACAGGGGCCTCATTTGGTCAGAGTTGGGTCAAAAGAAGCTGGAAATTTGAATTTTTGTGTGAAATCCATTGACCGAAAAATAGTAGTGCTTCAAATTCTATTTATATGAGCTGTCCAGGGTCGGAAAGTCCGCAGAGAGAGAAGGCTGGGCGGCGGGGGCCGCGGGCTGGGGGCCGGAGGCCGGTGGACGGGGAGGGGCCGCTGAGGGGCCCGGGGCTCCCCTCTGGGTGATGAAAATGTCCTGGGTTAGACCGAGCGGCGGTTGCACAACACTGTAAACACACCAAACGCCGCTGAATTGTTCACTTAAAACATGGTTAATTTTGTGTTGCATAAATCTCATCTCAGTTAAAAAAAGTTGCATTGGTTCTCAAATGTCCTTTTGTGATTTTGTATATTTCTTGAAATTGGGAAATAGCTCTTCTACTGAAGAGCAATATACATGAAAACGCAAAATGTATCCAGCTGAGTTTTCACAAACTGAATGCACCTGGGTAACCAGCTCAGCTAGGTGTTTTATTTTATTTATAACAGAATGAATAGAAGTTCCGGGGGAAAAGAGAAAATACACATAATTAAAAGTTAAAAAAGGGGGGGAAGAAAATATAGAAAACAACCCACCCATAGTTCTTGTACAGGCAGCCGCCATGATGATTTGAACATACCCACCCAGACTACTTTCTAAAAACATGTAAACATGTACAGGCATGATGCTTTTCTGTAACATACTTTTAATGTATGCTTTGTAAATACTTTTCATGGTAGGAAATAGCTATGTTTATTATATCTGTGCATGTGTTTCATTGAAAGGCTGTATTATAGTTACTTTAACCAGACAATCAGAAACAGCATCTGGAATGATCTGTCTCACTTGAATGTACTGCTTCATGCCTTTTGACAATGATTTTCCTTGTTCAATTACTCTGATTCATATTAATAAATGCCCCATCTTTTCAGTTGCTTTCTCCTCTGCCCCGCACTTTGCCCAGGCACAAAATACCGCCAGTCTCAGGTGTACGGCCCCACCTTTCTCCATTCTCATGTGGTCATATGCAAGCACATATGAGGGGGAACCCCAAAAACCCAGAATCATCTTCTGGAGGGTGGTCGCTTGTAGCACCGGCTTCCCCCCCAGGGTGAGAGTTTTGGGAACCCATCTGTATCAGTGTAAAAGCTGGCAGCATTGTGAGAGGCTGTTTGGCTTCAGTGAATTTTGTTTGAAGACTCTTTTGATGCGTTTGCCCATTTTTCCTGGTGGGTGATTTACGAGCGCACCTGCCCACGCTGTGCTGCGTATTCAGCAGTTTTTGACCAAAAACGGCGTGACCCTCATGCCCCACCCTCCCTATCCACCCGATCTCACCCTGAGCAACTTTTTTTTGCATCCCCCATGAAAAAAAATCCTCAAAGGGAAACGCTTTTCTGATGTGGAAGAGGTGAAACAAAAGATGGCAGAAGCCCTAAAAGGCATCAAAATCAACAAGTTCAAGGACTGTTTTGAGCAGTGGAAAAAGTCTCGATAGGTGTGTTGCATCAAAAAAAGGGGACTTTGAAGGTGGCTGAAGTTTTAACATGGAAGAATAAGTACACTACTTTTTAATAAATAAATTCTGTTTTTGGAGGTGCCCCCTTGTATAGACATGTATATGGGAGAGCCAACTTGGTCATTTAAAAGCAGGACCCTATACCCCGTGGTCTCTGCATTGCACTTTCCCAAGTGTCTAAATATTGGTACCTGTGCTGGGTGTTCTGGGTGCCCCTCCAGGTTCTCCCTCGGGCCCCATCTGTGCCCCACGCGCCTTTGCCCCCAGCCAGCCAGCGGCCGGCAGCTGGCGAGGGGAGGGGGAATAGGGCCGTCGCTGCCCAGCTCCCTCTCTGCTGTGTCCCTGGATGCTGTATCCCTCTCCTGAAGGCCATGCTCCTGCGGGGAGGCTGCATCCGCCCCAGGTTCTGAAGCTACCCCTGCCCCTGGGCCCTATAGGAGTGGGGTGGGACCTGACGCCTACAGTTGCCAGTCCCAGGCGGTTTAATCGTCCCTTACCTGCTCCCTTACGCTTGCCCACGACTCTGCAAACAGCTCTCTCATGAGATGCCCCGTAACTATCCCTCTGAGTGTGCCTGCTCTTTCGTGAGGGGGCCTTGAACTGATTCAGTAACTAATTTAAAATCCTAAAAAAGGCTCAGAGAGCCAGCTGCTGCAGAGCCTGCCCACAGCGTGGACGGTGAAGGCCAGCCCCTTGGTTTGTAGATGCAGGAATGAAGGGTAGTTGACTTGCTGGTTTTCCTGGCTCCCAGGCCAGGGCGGAGGGGAAATGGGCAGTGTGCGGAGTCCTGAAAACAGGCGGGAGGAATTACGACCGGCCTGGGGTAGCTCTTGCTTCGCCGCTCTGTCTCTCAACTCCGGGTTATCTTGGCCACCCTCCTGTCCTGAAATGGAAATGAGCAAGATACGGCTGTCTGGAAGAGGCACATAGTTTGCGTTCTCCAAATCGTGGCGGCTTTCTAAGGCTTTGTTGGCTACCCGTGGCCCATGTAGGTGAGGTGAACCTGGAACGGGGAGAGAGCAAGGATTCACCTCGGCCTCTTCCCTTAGAATCCTGTTCAACGCAGACTCAGTCAAGCTTTTGAGGATAAGCCTCAGCCAACGCCCTTGGAGTCCACATGGGTAGACAGAGAGTTAAATATCTGTTTACAATACCTGGTGGCGAAAAGGGCCGTAAACAGCCCAGCTTGGGGATGGGTTGGAAAAATAATTCCGGGGTAGGAAGTGTTTGAGTTGATCTTGAAGGAGGACCTGAAATCAGAGAGGCCTAAGACGACGTCCTAGAGGAGGATGAGCAGGCGCTAAGACTGTGAACGAAAAGAGACAAGCCATGAATGTGCCAGAAATTGCTAGAAGCTCAGTGTGGCTAGAGCCTCAGTTGTGCGTGTGTTGAGGGTTGTGTGTGTGTGTTGAGGGTTGTGTGTGGGTGGGTCCAAAGGGCAGGCAGGGATCCGCAGCGGCTCTGAAGACAAAAGAAGGGTGCTGGGGAGGCACCGAACACTTCTAAACAGCGGATGACTGTGTCTCTCTTTGGGTGGGTCATTCTGGCTGCTGTGTGGGGGACACATGAAAGGGGCAGCCTAGGAGCTGAGGTCGCATGATCTGGGGAAGTGTCGTCGGGGTAGTAGGAAGGCAGAGGTGGGAGCAATGGGTGGCCTACAAAGGCAGGAGAAGGGACAGGGTCTAGGTTTATTATAACAACAACAATATTGACAAAACAACATAATATGGTGATGTAAACAACAGCGTTGGTTTCAGGCTGCATAGTAAAACTCTTCTCCCCGGCCCTGTTTATTTGGAAAAATTTCAAACCTCAGAAGACTTGCAAGATAGTTTCCATGAATATCCACATACCCTTCACCTAGATTTCAATTGCTACATGTTGCCCCACCCTCCTCCCCCGACTCTTTTTCTCTTTTTGTGTGTGTGTGTACATCGTTGTTTTTCCCGAACCACTTGCAAATTCGTTGCAGAAATCACGAAGCTGTTCCTCTAAATACTTCAGCATTCATTTCCTTTGGCTAAGAAGAATCTCTTATGTAATCATAATACCATTGTCTTAGGGGATTTAACATCGATATACTGTACTCATATAAAGCCCATATTCAAATTCCCTACTTGTCCCAAGAACGTCCTTTATAGCTTGCTTTTATTTATTTATTTATTTAGTCATTTATTTATTTATTTTTGGAGGTGCACACGTTGCATTTCATTGTTGCATCTCTCTAGTCTTCTTTAAGGCAGGTGATTGCCTAGCACACAGGCGAATTTCACAATGCTGACCTCTTCAAAGAGTTCAGGCCGGTTGTTTTGACAAATGTCCCTAGGATTTGCCTGTTTGTTTTCCGTGACTGGATTCAGGGAAAACAATATTTGAATACCTCACAAGTGGTGGCCTGTTTTTTTTCAGTGCAAAAATATTAGGGGGGCACATGTTAAGATACTAAGTTTCATCCTTTGGCTTGCAGCTGGCTTGCAATTTGGGCTGCTTGTTTTGCTAGCTGGGCAAGTCGGTTGAGATGGTTTTCTCAGCTGTTGATGCAGGGAATTATCATCCTGGTTTTAAGAGGTTGTTTACGGGTTAAGGCACTTAAAAACAGTGTCTGGCACAGTGTAACTTTTTGATAAATTATTAGTATTACTATTACTGTGATCATCAATACTGCTTTTACCAAAAGTTGTAGAGGCCTTAGCAGGTGGCAGGAACTAAACCCAGCCCTCCCTTCTTCACCCCTCCAGCACCCAGGACGGAGGATGGCACAAAAGGGACATTCAATAAATATTTGTTGGCAAAGCTCCATAAGGGTTTCTGTGGCTATTGAACCAATATACCGGTGAGAAAACTGAGGCTCAGAGAAGTGAAGTGCTTTACCTAAGGTCATCACTACATTGCAGTAAATGGCAAGAGCCCTGGATTTGAACCCAAGCTTCTGGGGTTTGTAAAAACTAGGGATAGGAATATGAATGCATTTTGTAAACCTTCCAGCGCCATTAGATGTAAAGAGCTGGACTGGAGCGTCAGGCACCGAACTCTCGCACATACACATACAATAGGCACTCAATAAGTGTTAGTTGATGAACGAGAGCAGAAAATGAGTCAGCTAGGGAGACGACAAGTTGTCCTGGTCGGGCGTACTGGGAAATCCGTCCGCCTCAAGCGGAGTCACTGCCAGGCCACGTGCTTCAGCCGGGTGTGGGGGCCGGCGATCCCGCCCACCGGCGAAACCACGCCCCTCGCTTCCTCCCGCGCTAGCGAACGGCCGGGGTGTTTTGGCCCGCGGGCGGAGCCGTAGCTACGGTGTCCTCGAGGGACCGCAACCCGGAAACCGGCTGTCCAGAATCCCCGGCTGAGGTCCGAGATGTCGGAGAGGGGAGCTGGGGCGAGCGGGGGCTCCCCGCAGGCCAGCACGGTGACTATCAGTGACGTCCAGGAGCTGATAAAGCGCAAGGAGGAAATCGAAGCGCAGATTAAAGCCAACTATGATGTGCTGGAGAGCGTGAGTGTGGGCTTGGGGCTCCCGGCCGGGCTGGGGGACGTCCCAAGGCCCCCGGACTCGGCACCACGACCCAGGAGGAGTGGGAGGCCCGGGCGGCCTCCACCGGAGGTCTCAGGTGTGGGTTCCTGCCTCCGTGGTGAGGCCCAAGGCTGTCGGCTGCGTTAGTGGGCAAGTAACGTGGAGAACTAGAACTGCATTGGTATTATCGCAAGTGTTTAGGGAGCCCTCACTGTGCGCTGGGCGCTGTTCCACGTGCTTTACATTGGTGAGCCCATTTAAGCTTCGCAGCAGCCCTTTGAGATAAGCTTTTTCATTTCCCCCCTTTTAGGGATGAGGAAACTGAGGCATTACTTAACTTAGACCTGCCTGCGGTCACAGAGCTAGTAAGTTTGCAGAAGCCGGGTAATTGAGAATCACTGCCATCCTCAGTCGTTGTTGAACGTTTACCGAATGTTCAATGCTTTGCTAGTCGTTCTACGTCAGAACTTCTTGAACTTTAATGTGTATGTTAAAATTCAGATTCTGAGGGGGACGGGCCACGCAGGAGTAGATGCTGCGTTTCTGGTAAATTTTCAGAAACTTTGCAAAAATTCAGGTGTGGATACTATTGGTCAAAGGACTGAGCTTTGAGAAACAGTTGAGGCTCGTTATCCTTATTGTATAAAAGGGAAACTGAGGCCCAGAGTGGGGCCCACTCTTACCTAGGGTCTAGTCGGTAAGTGGCAGTGGTGGGGCTAGTTCCTAGGTCTGTGTGGCTCCAAAACTGAGTTTGTCCTAAGCCACCTAGTGTAAAACCACAAGTTAATTTGCGGAGGAAGTAAGTTAGGTACATCTCATGTCGGGCCGATGGGGTGCATTTTAGGCCCTGGGAGTAAGGCGAAGTACCAGGTGGAGGCCCGGGGCCATTTCACTGGGTGCCCACTACGTATGCCGAAAGGGTGCTCTTTCATGAAGGGGAGGTCACTAGCGCAAAATCAGAGTGGGATCGAGATCTCAGGCTTGTTGAATCCAGAACCTGTGCTTTCAAGTGTTCTGCCGGCAATTTCGTAAACTGAAGTTACTGTCTACAATAAGCAGGATGCTGTACCCATGGAATTCCTATGCTGTTTCTCCCTTTATGTTTTTCTTTAAGTTGACACACTTTTTTACTTAAATTTACTTTAAAAGGACATTTTATAGTTCTACAACATGTGAAAAAGAAATTGAGAATCTCTTCCCTTAATTGTAAGGTGAAAATGTATGTCAAGAGGATCCATACAAACGTCTGTCGGCTGAGGAATGGATAAATAAAATGTGGTGTATCCATACAGTGGATATTATTTAATAAAAAGGAAAGAAGTGCTGATCCATGCCCCCATGTGCATGAACCTTGAAAACATGATGTTGAGTGAGAGAAGTTCATCACTGAAGACCACATATTTTATGATTCCACTTATATGACAAAATGTCGGGAATAGGCAAATCCGTAGAGACAGGAAATAGATCAGTGGTTACTAGGGGCTGAGGAGAGGGAGAATGGGAGTGACTGCTAATTGGTCCGCGGTTTCTTTTTGGAGGTTGATGAAAATGCTCTAAAATTGATTGTGGTGATGGTTGTACAGCTCTGTGAAAATACTAAATACTCAGTTGGGTGGATTGTATGGTATGTGAACTAAATCTCAATACAGGGGTTGAAAACAAAACAGAGATAGCAAGTGATCTCTGGGTGATATAAAAACAAGCGCCAAATGGACATTTTCTTCTTAATTATTGTATTGGAGATCACTGGAAAGGGAATAAGTATTTTAGACTCAGGGTTCTTTATGTTGTGTGTGTGAGCTGCCAGTGGGCGGCGGGGGGGCGGGTCCCAACTTTGGAAATTAGTATCTCACGTGCTGTTGATTCAGGAATGCCAGTCAGTGCAGTCACTGTGGAAAGGCAGGAGGCTGACACGGGTATGTGGCCCCTGGCGCATTTGTGCCGTATCTATAGAGAGTCCTGTCTTAAGGGGATAGAGGGGACCCCCTTTCTCCAACAGGAAACAATCTGAATAGCCCAGAGGCTCCAGAGAGAGAGGGAGAGAAGCGAGTGGAATGGCGGCACCTGTGCCCTGACTCTGTGCTGGTTAGTAATTGCAGCTGTTGCTCATTACTATGTGCATTAATTCCCTAGGGCTGTCATAGCAAATGACCGCAGATGGGGTGGCTTAAAACAAAAGAAATGTATTCTCTCTCAGCTGTGGAGGCCAGACGTTAAGTCTGAGACCAAGGTGAAGGCAGAGTGGGTCCCTCCTGGGGGCTCTGAAGGAGAACCTGTGCAGTGCCTCCCCCCTGGTTTCCGGTGGCTGCCCTCTGTCCTCATGTGGCCTTCTCTGTGTCCGGGATGTCTCTCCCCTTTCTCTTGCAAGGATACTCATCATGGGAGTTAGGCCCGCCCTAATCCAGGATGATCTCAGAAATCCTTACCTTAATTATATCTGCAAAGATAGCTTTTCCAAAAAAGGTCGCATTCTCAGGTTCTGGGGGTTAGCATTTGGGTGTATCTTTTGGGGGCCACTGTTTGCCCCACTTTGCGTGTTCCTGTCACTCCGTTAAGCACTCTACGTAGGTCAATCCATTAATTCTCACAATAGGTGGGAAGGGAATGAGTACCGACCGCTCTTCCCATTTTATAATCGACAAAGCTGAGGCTCAAGGAGGCGAAGTCTGACCCAGTGGTACCCAGATTGTACGCGGCAGAACTGAGATCACGTCAGAGGCTAATGGACGGCAAAATCCCTGCCCTACATCGTCATCGGGGCAGAACACGCTTTGTTGTTTTTGTACACCATGCCCTAAGTTAGACCTTAAAGTGTTAAAACAAATGTATTGTTTCAAATAGGGAACACACTCCCAAGGTCAAAATTCAGCCTCCTGAAGGGTGTGCAATGCGAAGTCTCCCACTCGCCCACCCCGGCCACCCTCTCTCCCTCCGTTGGGGGCAGCTGGCGCTGTCAGTGTTTCCTTCCAGGGAGGCAGCCTCTTTGAAAGCCGTTTTAGATCTTTTTTATATTTAGCAGAACCAAAGTGTTGCCACAGCTGGGTGCTTTTAGGGGTTGTCACTCTCCTCCAGCTTCGAAGGCCATCAGCCAGGTGTCAGCTGTGTGTAAGAAGGGGGTTTGCAGGAGTTGGAGAAGGAGGCCGGCCTTGGGGTTCACGCTCAAAGGAGTCATTAGTTTTATCTGCACAGTGCTGACTTCAGAAAAGGAGAGTGATTCATGCGTTACTTATGTTATCAAAAATTCATTTAAGACACAGCGCCCCCCGTAGAGGGTGCTTGGGAGAGGAGGTGGGTGAAACACCTGCTCGGTGCCCAGTGGTCAACAGATGGCGGCTTTCGTTAGTGTCGCCTTTACTGTGACTGTGAAGGGAAGGAGTCTGGGAAAGAGGTCGTCAGGATTTCATACTTGAGCAGTTTTTGTTAAAGCCGCGTTTCTTCCTTCCAGCAAAAAGGCGTTGGAATGAACGAGCCACTGGTGGACCGCGAGGGCTACCCCCGGTCAGATGTGGACGTGTACCAAGTGCGCGCCGCCAGGCACAACATCGTCTGTGAGTGGCCCTCGGGGGTGCCCCGCCTTGCAGAAGGGGGCGTCGTTAAAGGCGTGCCAGTGAAATCACCAGTATTCCTTGTCATTTGCTTCCCTTGCGTCTGCCTTGACAAGATCATCGCATTGTCTCTGGAGGGACTGAGAGCTCAGGAGTGGGTTAAACGCAGGGTTCTGGATCTGCAGTTCCATTTCCTTTTTAAGAATTTTATTTCATTGTGGAAACTTTATTGAAACAACAATAGACACCCAAGTCAATTATTGCTTACAATCCTAACCGAATCAGTTACGTGCTCGGATTTACATTTACTATTAATAATAGTGACCAAGGAACAGAAGGAGAGTAGAGGTTGGGTAGCGTGTTGGTTTTCTGTTCCTGACACAACAAATCACCACAGACTTAGTGCCCTGAAATGCCACAGACTTGTTACCTTACAGCTCTGGAGCGAGACGCCCACATGGGTCTCGGTGGGCTGAGAGCCTTCCAGAGGGCCCGGGGAGAGCCTGTTGCCTTGTCTTCTCCAGCGTCTAGAGGCCGCCCACATCCCTTGTTTCATGGCTCCTTCCATCTTCAGAGTCAGCAGTCACATCCCTCCAACTCCGATCCTGCCACGTCTCTTTCTCCTACCCCCTGCCTCCCTCTTTCATTTATAAAGACCCTCGTGATAGCGTTGGGCCCGCCACTTGGAGAATCCCGGATATGCTCCCAAGTCAGGGCCATAAACTTAGTTACACCAGCAAAGTCCCTTTTGCCACATAAAGTAACATAGTCACAGGTGCCGGGGATTAGGACATGAAATTCTTTGCGGGGCCATTATTCACCCTTCCTCTGGCAGCAACCAGGAGTCGACCACCGAGTCATAGCAGAAGGGAATAATTATCCACGCTCTCTGCTTACTGACTCCCGTTTCCTGTGTGAGTCATGACTCCATCTGAGCGTGTTTTGGGATAAGCCAAGCATGTCGGCCGCGCTCGTTCAATGTTCAGTGAATGGATGAGGGGGCCTTGTGTCCTCAGCTGTCATCCTCGGCCCCAACATGGTTTTCTCCTCCCAGGCTTGCAGAACGATCACAAGGCGGTGATGAAGCAGGTGGAGGAGGCCCTGCACCAGCTGCACGCCCGGGACAAGGAGAAGCAGGCCCGGGACATGGCTGAGGCCCACCAGGAGGCCATGAGCCGTGGCCTGGGCCAGAGCGAGGGCCTCAGCCCTGCTCAGGCCTTTGCCAAAGTGAACAGCATCAGCCCCGGCTCCCCCGCCAGCATCGCAGTAAGCCAGGGCCCAGCCGTCCGCATCTGCCCCCAGTGGGTGCTGTGGGTCAGGTGGCTGGGGATCGGGGAGGGGTGGGGAGGACTGTGGGAAGACAGACCCGCGCTCTCCGTGCTGCGGCCTGGCTGCGCTGACGCATCCAGCAAGCGCGGGCCGGGGCCTGCCGGGGTTTCAGAGAGGAGTCTCTGCGGCCCACCGAACTGGTCAGGGAGAGACTTGGGATGGGCACGAGGTAAACGCGGCAGAGGTCCCAAGAAAGGGACAGAGGCTCTCTCCCTGGGGCCTGTTTTAGCCAGGCACTGACTCACATGCATGAGAACGGCACCAGCTGCCGATTGCCAAGCCCTTGCTGTGCACCAGGTGCCCTGCCAGGCGAGCTGTACCTTGCCTGGTGTATTTCAGGGAGTTTGAAACGGCTTTACTGAGATATTTCATGTACCATAAAATCTTGCCCAGTTAAAGCATACAGTTTTGTGGCTTCCAGTGCATTCACAGGGCTGTGCGTCTGTTTTAGAGCATTTTCATCACCTGAAACAGAACCTCTGTGCCTGTCAGTCACTTCCCAGCCTCAGTTGTCCCCAGCCTCTGGCAATGCCTGTCCGCCTCTGTCTCTGTGCGTTTGCCTGTTCTGGACACGTGATAGAAAGAATCAAACAGTACGTGGTCCTGCCTGACTAGTGTCATCAAGGCTAATCCGTGCTGGAGCAGTGATAGTACTTCGTTCCTTTTTATGGCGGATTAATGTTCCATTGTATGGCTAGATCACACTTAGTTTACCATTAGTTAATGGACATTTTGGTTTCCATTTTTTATGTATTATGAAGGATGCTACTATGAACATCACGTACAAGTCTTTTATGAAGGTCACGTGCAGGTTTTTATGTGGACCTGTGGGTAATATTTAATCCCCAGCCACCCTCTGGGGCAGGTACTAATCTTTATAACCCCACTTGACCCAGGAGGAAAAGCCTCCAAACCTGAAGTAACTTGTGCCAGGACACATGGCTCCTAAGAGACGGCACTGGGTCCTGGCTCCGGCCTGGCAGTCCCCTTTACGATCATGAGACTGCAGGCTGCACATAAGCTGTGCTTCCTTCACCGCTCTGTCCAGCACGATGCCGTAGTTGGCCCATGACACGAATTTGTTGGAGGGATGAGTGACTCCCCATCTGTGTTTTCGGAATGAAAGGGTCGCGCTAGTCCTGGGTCAGCCTTGTGCCTCTGGCTGCTTATTTTTGAGGGCTTCTGGGGGTGAGCTTGTCTGGATTCTGAGCCCAGAACATAACAGGCCCAGACTGGCCTGCGTCCTTTGGCCCCCGCACCTGGCCGAGGACCCCAGAGAGCAAGCAGCGCTGGGCTCTCCCGTACACGTCGCGAGGCCTCCGCGGCCGCCGGCTTTCATCGGGCCTCAGGTGGAGCTGGCCACCTTCTGCTCAGTCTGAATCCCTGGCCTCTCTGCCCCGGGCCTGCCATTGTCCCTTGGAGAGGACAGGCTCTTGCCCTTGACATCAGATTGGGTGCTAAGGGGTAAGTGCCAGAAGCACACTTAACCTCTAGCCTGGTTTTCCATTTCTCTTCCTCCTCTAGGGTCTGCAAGTGGATGATGAGATTGTGGAGTTCGGCTCCGTCAACATCCAGAACTTCCAGTCGCTGCAGAACATTGGCAGCGTGGTGCAGCACAGCGAGGGGGTGAGTCAGCGGCCCTGGCGTTGCCGCGGCCGGGAAGCGGCGCCGGGCCTTTGCTGCCTTCAGAGCGCTGTTGCTTGGGCGCAGTCCCCGCTCGGGGCCTCGGGCCTCGGCGTGGTCTGTCCTTCTGCCTAGAAAGCTTGCCCCCGACCCCTTACGTTTCCCATCTCACTCCCTCACCTCCCTCATCTTGTATAAGTGACACCTTCTCAGTGAGGCCTTTCCGGCCACCTGGTCTGCAATGTCCTGCTCCGACTTTCTGTTCCTGGTTTCATTTAATGGTGTCTCTTAGAGACCTTTTCACTTTGGCACATACCTCACTCTTTTTTTTTTTTTTTTAAATTAAAAAGGTATGTTTGTTGATTTTAGAGAGGGAGAGAGAAAGAGAGAAGCATCAATGTGAGAGAGAAATGTCAGTTGGTTCCTCCCATATGTGCCCTGACTGGGGAGTGAACCCACAACCTAAATATGTGCCCTGACTGGGAATCGAACGCCCACCCTTTTGGTGTGTGGGATGGCGCTCCAACCTACTGAACCACCCGGCCAGGGCACCATTCGTATTTTTATTTCTATGAACTATCTGTTTACATTTTTTTCCATTTTCTTCTGTTGGGTTATTCGTCCTATCAAAATATCAATTTGTAGGAACTGTGTATATTCCAGATAGGAAACCTTGCCCACTCATGTGTTGTGTGTGTCTCCTGGTTAGCTCCTTGTCTGTTCACTTTGTTTGTGGTGACTTTGATTTCTTGAAAGGTTTTTTAAAAAAAATTCACTTATATATTCATTTAGTTGAATTTATTTCTATTCCAGGAAGGAATAACAAAGGATTTATGGGCACGTTCATTCCACAGCCGCCCTGCAGGCTTCCTGGTTTGTCTGGTGGCTCAGCTACTACTTGTCCGGTTTCTCTAAGCTTTCAGCTTTGTCTCCATTCCTCACTTTTCCTGTCTTCGCCTCACTTTATTTATTTGTCCTGGTGGTGCTGGCCCTTCGTGACCCCTTAGCTGCGCCGTCGTCCTTGTCGGGAGGTTTCTAGAGGCGACAGCGGTGAGCGCATTCCTGCTGGGTGTGGGGCCTCCTTCTCCTCCGAGTCCGTGTCCTGTCCCCCAGAGGTGCCCCCTCCCAGCCACGCATCCCTCTGGGAGTGGTCTGTCCATACGCCATCACGTAGAGGAGGGTTGTTTTCATTCAAGTGTGCTTGACCTGCGGCCACATTCCCTTTGCAGTGCACAGGACTGCGAGTTTTGCAAACTGCCACTGTAATGAAGATGCAGAGCAGCTCCGTCCTCACGTCTTTTGGTGGCTGCCCGCCCTGCAGCCCCACGTGGCCCACCACAGAGCTGCACGCTGTCCCTGTAGTTTTACCTTTTCCAGGATCCTGTAAGTGGGACCGTGCAGTGTGTGGCACCTTCTAAGTCCGGCTTCTCTGACCCTGCACTGAGCAGCAGGTTCTCCCACGTTGCTGCGCGTTCCCCGGGTCCCTCCCTCCTCATGGCCACGTGAAGCTCCTCGGTGTGCGTGGCCCCAGGGCATTTACCCGCCTGCCACCGAGGGACCCCTAGGTTGTGTCCCGGTGTCGGTGATTACTGGTAACAGCTCCTGGTTCCTAGTCAGCCTCTCCTGGTTAAAAATTGTCTTAGGCTCGCTCTAGGTCTGTAATTCTGTTTTTAAGGAGGTGTCCTTGACATACATTATATTAGTTTGAGGTGTACAACAAAAATGACATATGTATATGTGTTGCAAAATGCTCACCACAGTAAATCCTGTTAACATCCATCACCATACATAGTTTCAATTTTATTTTTTTGTGATTAGAACTTCTAAGATTTACTCTCTTAGCATCTTTCAAACACGCAATACAGTATTATATATGGTTATGTACAGCTTGGCGACCACGGGTAATAATACTGTATAAAGCCTTCTTTACAGAAGTAGTTTTTGAATATATATACATATTTTTAGCAACATAACTTTTTCTTCCAATGAAATTTCCTGGGGAACACCAGTGTATCACACAGGTGGGCGCCGAGTTACTGGGATGGGCCTGGGGCAGGGGCGACCTCCCTCCTCAGGCGCCGGCGCCTCCAGGAACTGGAGCTTGGCTTGAGAATTGCGCGTCTGGGTGTTCATGGGCCGCCGGCGAATTAAAACATCATAACACCGAAACCCACACAGCGCTTTAGTGCGAGACGTTTAGGTAGTTTCCAGTTTTATGGAAACCTGAAAATTAATACTCTTGTAGACAAATCTGTTTCTTTAGATAACTTCCTAAAGGGGAGTTTCTGGACCAAATGCATATATTTTCAAAGGAAAAATATCTTAAAAGTTTTAAAAATTGTCTTTTATTTTTTTAATTCAGTCTTATAATCTTTTCCATTACCATTTAGTCCTGTTATACCCCCTTTCCCCACAAAAGGGTCTGTTTTAGAACTAATACCCACTTTACGCAGCTGTGACAAGGGACGGGAGCACTGATGTGGACGGACCTTGGAAGGAAGGGCTTGTGCGGAGTGAGGGAAGTCAGGCACGAAGGGCCACATGCTGTGGGCCTCCGTGTACGAGGCGTAGAAAAGGCACAGCCACAGCGGCGGAAGCAGAGCAGCGGGGGCCGTGTTCTGGGGGAGAAGGGGAGGCGGAGCGGCTGCTAACTGGCGGGGTTTATTTTGGGGGGGATGATGAAAATGTTCTGGAATCAGTGGCGATGGCTGTGCAAGTCTCAGTACGCATGAAAAGCCACTGGACTTACACTCTTAAATGGTGAATTATTGCATGTGAATTACAGCTCAGTAATAGTGCACATTTAGAGTAAAAAATCATACAGTGAAAAAAGTGCTTAAAATAAGAATAAAAGTCCGGGGCCTCTCCCTCCTGAAGCACCTCCCCTGCTGCACTGAGCCGGGGCCTGGCACTGGTGCCGGACGGGGAGCAGGTGGCCGGCGGGCCGTGGCCTCGGGCGGGGAGACAAGCTTCGATCACAGAATCTCAGGTGCCAATTACACACTGTGGGAAAGGTCGAGGAGCTGGGAGAGCAAGTAATGGGTCCTGATCTAGTTTGGGGTTGGAGGGGCCACTCCTCAGGGCGGGCAGGCCGGTGGGGCCTTGCTGCAGGGTCCTGGCCCTGGCGTGCGAGGACCAGAGAAGGCTGGCTGGGGCCAGGGCAAGGAAGAGCGGGGACATCATCGGAGGAGGTAGGGCCCAGAGGTGGGCAGGGGCCAGACCCCGCAAGGCCTTGTGGTCCCTTGGGAAGATTCTGTTCTCTTCTGAGGGGCAGCCAGGAGCCATGCGGCTCCCGGGCGGGGGAGAAACCGAGGCCAGGAGCTCTGTGTCAAGGAACAGTCTCTCTGGGTGCCAGGTAGAGAACTGGCCAGGAGGCGGCGTGGCTGGGGCAGGTGGCCCGGAGGCGAAAGGACGTGGGCAAATCATAGGGACGTTAGGATGCGCAAGGATGGGCTTTATATGACGGACCGTGTCAAGCGCGACCTCCGGGTCTCTGCCAGCTGGGGGCTGTCACTCCCTGAGCCGGGCCCCCTCCCTGTGCCCCTCACAGGTCTTCTTGATGTAGGCGTGTATGTCTGCAGCGATGGTTTTTTGAAAAAGAGATACAAACAAGACCTGCTCTACGTTCTTTTCTGGATTTTTCCCCCTCTGAAGGGATCCCCCCCATCAGTAAACAGCTGTCTCCACCCGATCCCGTTGCTTGGTTTGCCGTCTTTTACTTAGCCACGCCCACCCCGGACCCTTGGCCTGTTTCCCGTGTTTGGCCGTCACACACACACACTGGTGTGGTGAGTATTCTTGTCTTGCGTGACGTCTCTGTCAGCGAGATGTCTAGAAGTGGCATTACTGGGTCAAAGACAATGCACATTTACAGGTTTGATAGATGTTTCCATTTCCTTAAGCAGTTTAAGTGAGTGCCTGTTTCTTGGTTCCCTCTCCAATGGTGCTATTGTTAGTCTTTTATTCCTTGACAATATAAGTGAGAAATTGGCATCTTTTTGGGTTTTTTCATGTTTTATTTTTTTCAGATTTAGTGATTACATTGGCAGATCTTCCAGAACTTAAGAAAACTGTGGAAAAATATCCGTAACAAAACTTACCATTTGAACCACTTTTTAAGCATACAGTTCTCTGGCCTAAAGTGCCTTCACGTCGTCCTCCATCCGTCCCAGAGCGTTGTCGTCTCTCCAGACTGGCACTCCGTGTGTTAAACGCTGGCTCCCATCCCCCTCTCCCCAGTCCTCTGTCGCCACTGACCTCTCTCCTGTCCCTGCAGATTTTCTCCCGGTGCCCCCGTCAGCGGGGTCCTGTGTTCGTCCTTCTGTGACTGGTGTATTGTGCTTACAGCATAATGTCTCTCTGGTCCCCCGATCCTCTTATAAGCGTGAGCATGTTCTGCCTTTTTAAGGGCTGCTTGTTTCGCTGTTGATAGTGTCCTTTGATGCACAGAAGTTTTAAATTTTGATACCTCTTATTTTAAACTAATTTTTTTGGTATGTTACCTACTTTAATTTTTTAAATTAAGTAATACATACACATGGTTAAAAAAATTAATGGTCCACACCCTGGCTGGTGTGGCTCAGTGGGCTCTGTGTCAGCCTGCAAACCAAAAGGTCTTCGCTTCAGTTCCCAGGCAGGGCACGTGCCGGGGTTGCGGGCCAGGTCCCCGGCTGCGGGCGTGTGAAAGGCAACTGATGGACGCTTCTTTCGCACATTGCTGTTTTTCTCTCTCTCGCTTCCTCTCCCTTCTCCTCTCTCTAAAAATAAATAAATAACATCTTTTAAAAAATGGTGTAGAAAGATATAAAAGTAAATGTCATCTTCTATTACTCCATTCTCTCTGGAAAGTTACCACTGCTAACAGTTTTTTCAGTATGTCTTCCAGAAAACTGCATGCACCAAGCAACATGTATGTTCTTTTAGAAGTACGTGTATATTCCAGTGGCTTTATGCTTGGTTGGTTTAGTCTTGTTTTATATTCTAAAACTGCCTCGTTTGCTATATATGAACAATACCTTATTAAGGGATATTTTGGGTGCTTTCAGTTTTTGAATTTATAAATAGTTCTGGAGTGAACACTTTGTTTCTATATCATCTTGTACTTTTGTAAACTGTATTTTGTATGCACCTATTTTTTTTTTTGAGGTTTTTTTTTTTTTTTGAGGGGGTTGGAGACATGGTTCTGCGGGGGGTGGCACCGATTTGCAGCCCCACTGGCTGCCCCAAGAGGGCTATGTCCCCGCGCTCACCAGCTGCGGGCTAACAGTTAAAGGAAGCATCCTTGCCAACCTGACGGGCGAAAAACAGTATTGGCATTTCGGCCTGAATCTTGCTGAGAGCTAAGAGGGTTGAACTCAAAGTGAGCTTGTTTTCCTTTCAGAAAGCCCTGAATGTGGCGGTGATCCGCAGAGGGGAGAAGCTTCAGCTGAGACTTGTCCCGGCACGCTGGGCGGGCAGAGGACTGCTGGGGTAAAGCGCCCGTCTCTGCTCACTTACATGGCGACAGCGGCTGGTGGGGGTGGTGGCGAGGCTTGGTGGGGGGCCATGGGGATCCCCAGGCGGCCCGTGGAACCCGCAAGGAAGACTGTGGCAGGGAAGAGGCCGAGCTGCAGGGCTGGACGGAGCCCTGGTCTCTGGTCCTTTCATTAACCGGGCATTTGCTTGGCAGAACTAAAGAGTGTACCTGAAAAGCTGAGGAGGGCTCACCTTCTGATCTTCCTGAATGGGGCCGCCACATTTACCCTGGTTCTTTTCTTTTTTCCCTCCAGCTGCAACATTATTCCTATGCAAAGATGACTGTCCGGGGGAACAGTAGCAGGAAAGCATCTCCGGTTGCCCTGGACTTGGGTCGGGGTGGGGCGGGGGGAGGCAGAATTTCTTCCTCCTCTTCTCTCCCTGAAGTTTAAGGATCTGGAAGAGGCTGGAAGCCCGAACTCCTAGGTGGTGGCCTCTGAGTGTATGTGATCTCTTAGGATTAAGACATTGTTAAAACTTGACATGTGCTGAGCATCTTTTGCAAATTGGGCCGTGGCCCTAAAAGGGAATCCTCTGATGGCGGGCAGGAGCACGGGAGTTATTTTGGCAGGTGCCGGCACGACTTCACTCTTTCAGGACTTTTTTTTTGTCCCAAATAAATAGTTTTGTAATACTGACGTGACCATGTAATCATCCCAACCAAATTTCTGAAGAACCTCTGAGACCAAAGCATAGACGGGAGTTAGAGGCTGGGTAAAACGACAGTTGTGCCAAAGTCAGATCTGACCTACAGCGTTTCAGGCTCATCGTCCTTTAGGGCACGGGGTTCCCAGCCACTCGGCCACGCATCTGCGTCTGCGGGGCGGCGGCGCTGCTCTGGATGCAGAGGACATGTCCGCAGCCACTGGACTGCCCGGGCCACAGCTGCTCCCTTTAAGGGCAGAGGCGGCGGGAAGCTCCCCAGGCGTCCCAGCGAGGTGTCGGCTTTCTTGCCTGTAACCCACCAGGGGGCAGCAAGCTGCCTTCACTTATAGAGTAAAAACGCCTGCCAACTAGCTTCTCACTCGACGTTTTACAGTTGAAGCCCCTTGTCGTGCCCGCAGGCCCGCGCTGTTTCATAGCCTGCTGAGGTGTGCCCGGCACCGCCGGTGGGACCAAGCAGCGTGGGCAGAGCTGACCTCTTGAACGCGCCCATTCCTCCTCTTGACTTTCGACACAGCCACATGGGTTTCCGTGATTCCTAGTGGCTCCGGTCTGCCTGCCTCTCGTCGCTGTGTCACAGGGTTGACCTCCCCCCGCCGCCCCGTGGCAGTGCCCGGGCATGGCCGAGGCCTGCCTGTGGTCCTGGGGCCGCATTTGCCCGGGGTGCACAGAGGCCAGCCCGGCCGCCCTGACCGGCTCAGAACTGCGGCCGCTCCCAGCCGCAGGTCCCACCCACGCTCAGCGCCTCCCTGCGCACGCGTCCCCGTAGCCGCGGTGTTGCCCGTCTCTGCTGTTCATGTGTATTCTAGTTCCGGGTGCTTTCCAGTTTCTTTCTATAATCTGTAGACTGTAATAAACAGTTTGTCCCATCCAGTTTTTCCTTTTTATTTTATTTTCTTTCTGAGATGTACGTATATTAATCAACCAGCATTGGAGGTCGGGGGGTGAGGGACGGGGCGGGATTGGCCACATTCTCCCAGAGCGACAGCAGCTGAGAGCCTGCCTCCGTGCCTTCGGCCAGCTTCCTGCTGCGCTCCCTTCAGAAACCGCTGGATGGACGTGTGTGCGCCCTTTTGTGAAGTGGGCCCTCGGAGGTAGAATGGTCCTAGTAGCTTTGATCAAACTGGTTTTGCAGAAACGTTTTGTGATAACAGCAAGATAATGTAACACATAACATTTAATCCCAGCTAGCTAAAATCCTGTGCACAACGCTTCTTGCCTGGGTGAGACATTGTGGACGACAGACGGGTGCAGCATCCACGAGACTGGGGACTTTCGTTTGCTTTTGGCAAAGAGAATTTTGTCAAACAGTTCATACTTTCCTTATTCTTGTTAAGCCTTCAGAAAGTCAGAGCTGCTAGTAGGAGCTGCTGCAGCTCCCTGGGCGGGGGGTGGCACATTGGGAAAAGGGGAAGGGAGGAAAGACGGTGGGACCAGGGCAGCCGACGTCCCAGCCACAGAGGCGCCTCTCTGGTGGGACCGGCAGGGGGCGCGCCCGCTAGCTTGCCGCTGCTGTCTGGGCACATGACCACCATCCGGCCCTCTCGCTTTACGGCCAGTTACCATGGGGACAGGGCTTGGGTGGCAACTGTAACTAGGGAGCCCGTGTTGGAGAAGCAGCGGCAGCTGGAGGGCCGGGAGGTGGCGGACGGGTCCTGGCCGTGGACGGCGCCGGCCTTTTGAGCACCTGGGTGGGCACGCGGCCCAGGCAGGCAAGCCCAGCAAAGCGGGACCTGGTGCGTCGAGGGGGAGCTCACCCCAGCCGGGCAGGGCTGGGTCTGGTCTGGGCGGCCCCAGGGGGCCCTGAGCTAGAGCAAGGGGCCGCGCGTGCGCCCCACAGACCCCCGCACCTGCCGCCACCCCAAGCGCCACCACCCCGCACCCGGCCCTGCCTCAAGGTTCACTGGCAAAGCCTGGCATCGGAAGGGGCCCTGTGCCAGAGGCCCGAGGCTTGAAGTCAGCACCTTCCCAGGTGGAGGCTCAGCGCAGAGGGGTCTGCAGTCCACCAGCCGTGTCATCTTGAATAAGTCACTTCAGCTCTCAGAGCGCCAGACTTCAGTTTGTTGTAAGGTGTATATGAGAGAAAAAAGGCTTTGAAACTTTAACAACTGCTACCATTTCTCAAGCACTAAGTGCTGCAGCTATGTGTTGGGCATTTCCTGTATGTCATGTAATCTTCACAATAACTCCAGAGTTTGGGATAGTAATTTTCATTTTGCCTGTGAGCAAATTTAGACTCTGAGGCATAAAGTGACTTGTCCAAGGTCGCAGAGCAAGCGAGCTGCGGAGCGCGGATGGCAGGAGAGGCTGACTGCAAAGCTGTGCCTCTAACCACGGAGCCACACCCCTTCCTAGTCATGGCGCTAGAATTGTCGCCAATGCCTGGGTCCTGCATGTGGCTGCCTTTTACAATGTAAATACATTTACAGTGAGTTAGAGAGCTCTAAAGTTATTTCTAGAAAGGGGAGAGGCCCTGGGATCAGTATTTTCAAGATTGGGGACAGGCTTTCCCAGGAATATGACATTCCTTTTACTCCCTTGGAAAGGAACCAGGGTTGGTATTGCTCATTTTACCAATAGGTTAATGCCACTGAGGGATCAAAATGGGAAATAGGGTCCTGCTGATTATTATGGTCCAATTTTTCTAGAGGCAGTTGTACAGAGAAGAATGGCAGATACAGAGAAAAACCCATTAGAAACAGGAGATGGAGAAACAGAAATGGAAGAAGAGGAAGAATATTACCCAAATTATTATACAGAGGAAGAAAATATGCCACAGGAATCAAAAGAAGATGACCCGTTAGCATGGAGAGACTCTCAGGAGGAGAGGAAAGCAAAGGAAGAGGAGGGGGAAGCGGGGAAGGAGGCAGGGGAGGAGGAAGGTGTGGAGGAGGAAGGGGAGGAGGAGGAGGAAGTGGAGGAGGAAGCAGTGGAGGAAGGGGAGGAGGAGGTGGAAGTGGAGGAGGAAGGGGAGGAGGAGGTGGAAGTGGAGGAGGAAGCAGTGGAGGAAGGGGAGGAGGAGGTGGAAGTGGAGGAGGAAGGGGAGGAGGAGGTGGAAGTGGAGGAGGAAGGGGAGGAGGTGGTGGAAGTGGAGGAGGAAGGGGAGGAGGAGGTGGAAGTGGAGGAGGAGGAGGAGGAGGTGGAAGTGGAGGAGGAAGGGGAGGAGGAGGTGGAAGTGGAGGAGGAGGTGGAAGAGGAGGTGGAAGTGGAGGAGGAAGGGGAGGAGGAGGAGGAGACTGTCAGAGAAGAAACAGAGGAAGAGGCAGGAGCGGCACAGGAGGGGGTGGCTGTAGGAGCCCATGAAGAAGCCAGAGTGAAGCCCCAAGGAAGGACCACACCCATGACCAGTTTGGAGGGGCTGACATTGGCTGATGCCCGGTTGATCACGTCAGGAATATCTCCAGTAAGTAGCCACTGCCGTTCGTTCATTCTTTCGTTCATAACCATTCATTGAATGCTTACTATGTGCCAGCCTGCGGGGATACAAAACCGTTTTCTTGCGTTCTCGGGTGGGTAGGGAGGCAGTCCCATTACCAAACGTTAAAAAACAACACGCTAAGTGCAGAGATTGAGGGGCATGGAGGAGCTGTTTTTCAGAACAGGACAGCACGCCCAGCTCAGCTCAGAGGGAGGACGGTAGGGAGAGCCGGTGGGGACATCCGGCGGGGAGGAGCCAGCTGCACGCGGGGCAGGGGCCGGCGCCCTGAGAGCAGCCGGGGTGGCGGGGCCCTGGAAGCTCCCCAGGGACCCTCCCTGCAGGGTACTCAGCTGTGGCTGGTCCGCTGTTGGGAGACCCGCCGAGAAGAATGGCCCTGCTCCTGTGGGCCTGCGGGTGGGCCAGGAATGAACCTCACGTGCCCATGATCCAGGGTATCTGAGTACAGAAGCATCCAGGCTGTTTTTCAAAACACTTCGTAACTCCAGTAGGTGGGAGAGAGGAGGGGGCAGGGAAGGGGAGAGCAATGGGAGAAAAACGGGGACAACAGTAACTGAACAGCAATAAAAAAAAGTTAAAAACATTTCGGAATTCCTGTGTGAGGCTAACATTGAGCCCGGCTGATTAGGAAAAGAAAGGAAAATATTGGAGAATGTATTTAGGATCACCATCTCCTTTTCCTTTCTTTACTTTTCTTTTCTTTTCTTTTTAAGAAAACCCGTAGTGACAGAGAGTCAGAGCATTCATTACAATCAGAAAGTTCGGGAAGCCTGAGCTCACAATTAGAGCTTCTGGGTTTGGATCTCGGCAGTTTAGAGGGGCAACCGCTGGGCTACCCCGGGAGGCAGCCCTCGGGCGAGCCTGGGGAGGGACGCGACCAGATGCCCCACGAGGAACTGGGACAGGAGAGGAGGGACTTGGAACCAGAAAAGGAGAGAAGGAGACAAGAAAAAAGAGTATCCTACTTCACTGAGGAAAAAGAAAAAGAATTCCAGCCCGAAGCCAGCATCCCGAGGGACTCACTGGTGGCCACCACCACCGAGGACATTTTGTTTCAAAAGGATGACGCTACCCGCGTGTATCCCTTGGTAAGTGGAACATGATTTTGTCTTTCCCCAGGTGCTTTGAGAGCGCTGTGAAAGATGCTTTTAAAACTAATCCTAGACCTGTGTCCTTTAAAATTCAGTTCAGCCTTGGCCGGTCACTCCCTTGGTTAGAGCATTGTCCCTGATACACCAAGGTTGCAGGTTCGATCCTCGGGCAGGGCACATAAAAGAACCAACCAATGAATGCGTCAATAAGTGGAACACCAAATGGATGTTTCTCTCTCTCCCCCTCCCGCTCTTCCCCTCCCTCCCTCCAACTCTTCCATTACCTCTCTTCTCCCTCCCTCTCTCAAATCAATCAATAAATGAAAATAAAATTCAGTTCAGAGCTCTGGCTGGACATGGTGACAGAATGTGGACATGAGCCCTGGATCTAGGTTCAGCAGTGTCGCCCAGCAGGCGGGAAATTCCGACACTGTTCGTTGCACAGGACACTTCTTTGTGGGAGATTCAAAATTCATCACTCCCTCTTGCCTCCCTCCCCTCCCCGCCTCCCCTCCCACCCCACCGCTCCCTTCCCTCCCTCCCCTTCCCCCACTTCCTCCCTCCTCTCCCCTTCCCTCCCTGTTATTATACAACTCCCCCTCCATCCCATCAGTTGCTTCCTTTTCTCTTCTCTCCTCATCTCTTCTGCCTTAATTGGTTCAATACAGTCACAACTCCTAGAACTGTTACACGCTCCTAAAACTCTCCACTCCCAGACAGATCGTCAAGTGAAAGCTATGGAAAACGGAAAGCCACTGGGAAGGGCACCAGGCAGCCCGAGGAAGCTGCCTCCGCTGCGGCGCCGCCAGTATCGCGGGAGGCGCCATCTGCCAGCAGTGAAAGCATTATCACTTAGCGAGAGGAGGAAAGGGTTTTCTACCCCATCTTCCCCCATCTGCTGTTTTCTGAAAATCATTTCCTAGGATTCAGCTCCCTTTTCTTCTCTTTTTCTCTGTAGAGTCATGCCTTTGGGAGATTTGTAGGTGACTGAGTGTATACGTAACGCACAGTGAGCCCTTGACGAGCGGGATCGCTGAGATGGTGATGAGGAGGACGGACGGGGAAGTGCCTGGTGGGGGGTGGATGCAGACAACTGGCAGCCTCTTTTGGCTGATGTGGCTGCTCTGAGCGGTGGAGTTAGAGGTTAAAGTTTGCCATTGCTCAGGCTGGCAGGAAGAGTCATTGAGTTCTGGAGCCCAGAAAGACTTCCGTCGTGAGAAGCCAGCTGCCAAGAAATCAGGGACCATCACTAGTGAGAGCAAGTGACCTTTGTGTCAGGGCCCTGCGATCTGGACTTGACAAAAGCCGCTGCCCACGGCTGGGTCCCCAGTTAGCTTTGTTTGGGCTCACTGCAGAACGGAACAAAACTTTCTGAGACTGTTTGCCTTCGCAAATTTGTTTAGCTCTTTTCCTTCTTTCTCCCCTCCCTCCCTTCGTTAAAGATTTTATTTATTTATTTTTAGACAGAGGGGAAGGGAGGGAGAAAGAGGGAGAGAAACATCGATGTGTAAGTTGCCTCTCGCGCGCCCCCACGGGGAACCTGGCCCGCAACTCAGGCCTGTGCCCTGACTGGGAACCAAACCAGCGACCCTTTGGTTCGCAGGCTGGCGCTCAATCCACTGAGTCACACCAGCCAGGCTATTGTTTATTCTTTCTGTTAAAAGGATTAGGCGATCTTTATGGAAAAAAAGCCCCTTAAAGGTAAAGATTCCACCCCTTGCACACCAGCAGAGTCCCTTCTGCCCGCGGCCGTTGCTGTTATAGTTTGGTGGAAGTCTCTCCCCGGGCCTTTCTCTGTGCATGTACAAATGCGTTACCTGTATGCTCGTGTGTGTGAGTGTGCACACATGCCCTGCACTTCGTTTATGTGGTTTTTTAAATTTATTGATTTGAGAGGAGGAAGGGGAAACATCGGTTTGTTGTTTCATGTATTCATTCATTAGTTGTTTCTCGCACGCGCCCTGACCAGGGCTTGCGCCGCAGCCTTGGTCTGCCGGGATGACGCTGCAACCCACGCAGCCACCTGGCCAGGGCTGTGGGCTATTTTTTTAACCAGTGAGATATGTGTTTCTTAAAAATTATTTTCCCGCCTCATATGTTTTGGAGGATTTTTTAGTATCAGGGCATGTCGATCCACTTCCTTGTTTCAATTCAGCTGTTCCGTTGATGGCTATTTATGTCTCTTCTACCTTCTTGCTTTCGCCGAAGGTGCTCTGTTCAGTGAGTGTGCTCCTCCCTCCCTCTCTGTGTCCACAGCATCTGCCTTTTCCTCTGGGGTCCCCTGCCTTCTCCCCAAGGTTTGCAGCGACTTACAGTGCTCACGGTAAATGGGCGTATCCATGGATGCTGTTTTCAGCGAAGAAACAAGGTCTTGTGTGTCTAGGAGACGGAATCTTGTGATTGTCAAATACAGTGAAATCTGGTTTTGACAAAGCTTTGTTTTCCAAATCACCCTATTTTAGAAAAAGGTTGGCGCGAGAGCTCCACGAGCATTCGCCACGCATGTTAAAGCTCAGGCAGGAAGCAGCCGTTCAGGCCGTGCGCCCGGCTCCTGCGAGCGCTGCTTGCGTGAGGGTGGTCGGTGCGGCTCAGGGAAGTTGGCTCCTTCGGCGCCCGCAGGCTGTTCACCTGCAGACAGAAGTCTAGTCGGGGATGGGTTCTCTTTAGAACTAATTTGTTATACTTTATAACTAATTTGTTAAATGGCAGAATCCATTTCTAAGATGAATAAGATACCTTTTAGCAAGTTTCCAAAAGAACAACCTCACTTAAAGAAATTGGCTTTTAAGAACCAGCCAGATATTCAATAGTTCTGTTTCTGGGAGTTGCAGTTTGAGACAATTATGATTCCATAATTCTACCACTCACACCCACGCAGGGAGAGACCTACATAGAACTGTGAACCGCAGGGAATGAGCGGATGGAGACAGGAGAGACGGGGGACGGAGACTGTGGGAGAGAAAAATCAGCCACGTTGCCCACCCCGTCTGTCCTGGGGGAAATGTATGCACGTCACTCCACCCTTACGGGTATCGCTCAGAGCCGGGAAGGGAAGCTGCCCCGACTGCTTCTATACTCCAATGTAATTCGCTGATTTTTAGTACCTAACCACTTAGCCAGCACTTTAAACACTACCACATTTGATTCACTGCCCTGGTTAGTTTTTTTAAATAGACTTTGTTTTTTCAGTTTTAGGTGTATAGGAAAATAGAGCGAAAAGTACAGAGATCCCATGTACCCCATTGTGCCTCTCCGCCCCTGCTGTTCCCTTTTTATTAAGGTCTTGCATTCACGCGGCACATTGGTCGCAGCTGATGGGCCCATGTGGATACATTATTATTAACTAAAGCCCCTAGCTTGCCTTAGGGTTCATTCTTTGTGTTGTGCATTTGATGGGGTTTGACAAGTGTGTGATGACAGGTATCCATCACCATAGTATCCTATAGAACAGTTTCAGTGCCTAAAAATCCTGGGTCCCCCTCCTCACCGTGTAGTGTCCTGCTGGTCTTACCTTGTCTTCCAGACCATGACTTGGAAGTTCGGATGGAACAGCTCTCTCCCTGTTTACTACATCCGAGACGAAAACCAGAGGGTTCTCCTGTATGCCAGTGCCCACACTGCGGTCATCTACAACGTTTTCAAGAATAATCAGCATCATCTTCAGGTAGGCGGGTTTTTCTGACTACACGTCAAAGAGGGTGTTTTTAGCCTGCACACAGCATTTTGTTTTGTTTACCATATTTTGCCATGTATAATGCACACCACGTTTTTGGCCCAAACTTTCAGGGAAGAAAAAATATTTCATTTTAATTTTTTAACTCGATTTTTAAAATTTATTTGTATTTAGATACTGCTTTCGTTGCAAGTTTGTCATAAGTTCAACAAAACCAGTTATCATATTCCACTGTTTATTTTGCATATGGATATTGTTATTGCTTTCTAGAGTTATATTTTTTAACACATAAGCATAAATAAAAGAATTAAGAACATTTATATAGCCCTGGCTGGTGTCGCTCAGTGGGTTGAGTGCCAGCCTGCAAACCAAAAGGTCGCTGGTTCAATTCCCAGTCAGTGCATGTGCCTGGGATGCCAGCCAGGTCCCCAGCTGGGGGTGTGTGAGAGGCGGCCAATCAATGTTTTTCTCCACCTCTTTCTCCCTTCCTTCCCCTCTCTCTAAAAATAAATAAAATCTTTTAAAAAATATATAGATACGGGATTAGTACTATCCATGTGTAATGTACATCCTTATTCTCCCTTAAAAATTTGGGCAAAAAAGTGTGCATTGTACAGGGCAAAATATGGTATTTATTTACTTATTTTTAGAGGGAGGGGAGGGGGAGAAAGAATGATCGATTCCAGAGAGAAACACTAATCAGTTGCCCCTTGTACGTGCCCCCACCTGGGACGGAATCCACAACCCCGGCATGTGCCCTGGTTGGGAATTGAACCAGCGACTGTTGGCTTTGTGGACGACACCCAACCACTGAGCCACACTGTTGACGGCGCATTTCTTTTTTTATTCCAAGAGCCAACTTCACTCTATTGCTCTCACGCTTTCCTTCCTCTCTCGTGAACTGTGGCAAATCCTGTCTTTAGAAACACATTTTATTGTTCGTTGTCTCTCTGATTCTAATTAGAGTCCATTTACAAACAGCAGTTGATTTTGACTTTATAGTAACAAGAATTTAACGCATCTGTACATCTTACATCTCTGTGACACTGTGGCCAGGATAGATCGTGTCCCCACAGAACTGTGGCGGGGCACAAAGGCTTCCGCCGCGTTAACACTGGGCTCCTTCCTGGGTTTCAAAGGGCTCTGATCCTCTCAGTCATGCTAAGAAGTGGGTGTTAATACCCCCACTTTAGAAGAAGCAATGGAGACTCAGAACGATCTGACTGACTTGCCCAGGACGGCGTGGGCACGAGGCGAGGTCAGGTCGGAAACCCAGGTCTCCTGGCCTGAAAGCGTGAAGTAGATCAGTGGTCCCGCACCCCCTCCTCGGCGGTGTCTGTCCATCCTCATGTTCGCTGCTCTGCGCCTCCCCGCCCTGCCCCCCTGCCTGCCCTGCCCACGCCACGCTGCTGCCTCCACTCCTGACATTTTTGACCCCTTTCATTTTCATCATTTACTTCCCCAGTGGCAGATTTTCCTGGAGTCTGGCTTGCTAATAGTTAACCAGGTAGACAGTTCTGTTACCATTTTAATGAACATGTCTTTTAATAAGGACTTCCTTAGTCAACACCTAGAACAAAAACATCACACAGTGTTTTCCAAGCGTTAAGTCAGTACCCAGCGCTCTGCCCGGGAGCCCAGACACGTGGGTCCAGCCCGAGACATCTGCCTTCTCCAAGCCCAGAAATGCACAGACACAGTCAGCAAGCAGCTCGTCTTGGGGCTGAGGTGCGTGTGCAGCGCTGAGCACTGTGGGACCAGCCGGGGAGAAGGGAGCGGTTGGGGGGCAAACTCGGGGAGCCAGGGAGGGCCATCTTGTCTGTATTTCTAGAAGATTCCTCTATTACGTAGGGAAAGGATCAGCGTGAAAGCGGAGGGACCAGTGAGGAGGCTTTCACTCCAGAGCTGCTCAGAGACCAGATGTGAACGCGGTTTTAGAGAGGGGAGGCCGGCGGGAAGGCTCCGGGGGTTGGGGGTGGGCGACAGCCCAGACACTCCTTCTCCAGCCGGACACGCCTGGACCCCTAGGAAGCCACTGTTCTCTTGCGTGGGAGAGAACATTTGAAAACTGCTGGCAACTCCGGGAAAACCCCAGGGAGAGCCGGCGGGAGTAGAGTCTTCAGCCACAGTTGCCCAGAACGGGCTCAGTGGTCTTTTTGGGGCCTCAGCCTGTCCTGCTGACACCGCAGTGGGGCGCATCCTCGATGTTTCAAAGCGCTTTCTCCTCGCTTCTGCAGGGCCACCTGAACGTGATCTCCTGTCTCTGCATCAGCGAGGACAGGCGGTGGATCGCCACGGCCGACCAGGGGCCCGGCTGCCTGATTATCATATGGGACTCCTTCACAGGGTAGGCTCGCTGCCTCCCCTTCCCCCTTATTTTTGAAGCGTGTCTGCCACTGTGACCGGCAAAAAATGAGTGACACCCGTCTTGGGCTGCGGGGCCAGCGGTGGACCCAGCGGTGGCAGGCGAGGCTGCTGGGGAAGCCTGGGACAGTGATGGGACCTTGGTGAGCCTCCCAGGGACACTGCTTGGCTCTTTTGGCCCAGAAGCTCCACGTGTTTGGCTCCCAGAGCAGGCAGGGCCAAGGGAGGCAGCTCGGAGGCCCAGGGAAGCGAAGTGACTTTCCCCATGGACTCATGCCTCTTGTTTGAGTTTTCTCCGGCTGCTATGAGAAATAACCACCGACTTGTGGCTTAAAATCACAGAGTTCATGTTCTCACTCTCCACGAGTCCAGGAGTCTGAAGTCGGGGTGGCTCCTCCGGGGGGCTCTGAGAGAGAATTTGTTTCATGCGTCTCCCCCCTGCTGGTGGTTGCCGGCCGATCCTGGTTCTTCTGGCCTGGTCTCTGCGTCCACCTTCACGTGGCACTTCGTTCTGTGTGTGTCTGTCTCTGTGTCTTCTCTTCTGTGAGGACACCGGTCATTGGGTTTAGGGTCCACCCTAATCCAGTGTGATCTCACCCTAACTAACTGCATCTGCAAGGACCCTATTTCCATGCGAGGTCACATCCTGAGGTTCTGGGTGGGCGGGAGTTTTGAGGGGGCGCTGTTCAACCCGGATCGTTAGGCAGGCCAGCAGAGCGCGGCCCCTGGCCCGTGATGTATGCCCACAGACGGGTTCCTTTATGTCTGGTCCCGGGGCAGAGAGCTCCGCTAGATTCATTGACAAGAGCGTCAGGCCCTGGTTGGGGGGTTGACTTGGGGGGTGTGGACAAGTCCACGTGGACGTGACAAGATCAGGAAGAAGTTACGTTTAATGTCCGATGACACAGGAACCGTTCTCCCTCAGGTGACCCGCAGCCTCCAGAGGGCCATGTCCCTGACCCCGGTCCCCATCTTGGCTGGCCCCGCTACTGCCCTTGGCTTCCCTCATGCCACGTGCCCCCGGCTCCCGCCCCGTTGACTGCCAGCTCCTCCTCAGGCCCTTCTCAGGCTCCCCTTCCCTGGCCGTTCCTTCGCCGCGGCTACAGAGGACGGGGAGCCGCTGGGGGGCCTGCCGCCTGGACGGCGCACGGCCACGCCTGCCGGAGTCTGCCCCCCGAACGACTGAGCCCGTCCCCGCGTTTTGTTTGTCCATTCACCGGCTGGGTTTTAAAAAACCATCAGACAGAGAGCCAACGTCTCCGTTGGCCGCCATCCCCAGTCCTAGCCTCTTCCTGCAGGGGGTCTGCGTGGTGTGTCTCTTTCCAGGGCCTTTGCTGTTGTGTTACGCGCACACGTTCGGGCACCATGTGTCTTGTGGTTTTCCTCCACAGCATTTCAAGTGGGATCTTTTTCCAAACACAAACACCTGCTGTGCTGTTCCCCGCCCTGCGCCCCCCCCGCCCCACCCCATGCAGAGGCGGCCCGGCACCCACCAGCCCGAGTTTCGGGAAATACGCACCTCGTACCAGAGCTGTGTGCCCACTTTCCCCAGAAGTGACATTCCCCCTCTGCGGGCTCAGCTGCCATGGAGCCCTCACGTGCTCTCAGCTGCAGGCAATGGAGCGTCCAGCTGACATGCGAGGGCAGGTTCTGTCCTGCAACACAGAGTCCGCGGGTGGGGCGGGTGGCCCCTGCAGGTGCCTGTCCTTTGATGTGCCTCTGCCCGGCCGGCCCCTGGCCCCCTCTGTCCTTTGCCTTTGATCTGTTCTTTGTAAAGCCTCCCCCTCTCCCCAGCCCATGACACTGGGAGCAACTTGAGAGCGTGATTTTTTTAATTGAATCATATGTGTGGCCAACAATTCAACCAACGCCAATAGGCATTTTATGTTATTGCAAGTGACCCAGAAAAGATTATTTGGGTTTAGAATTAATATTCACTTTATTAAAGTGACAAATTAAAAACCATAATTCTTCTTTAAGCTCTTTGTTGAACTTCTAAATCTTACTCTATAAATGTAGCATCCTTTTGCAATCTCCTTTGAGGGGACTTTGATTAATGTTTGGCTGCACTTACAAATTTTATTATTAACTCTTTTTAAAGGTTTTAAACTGCATTTAGAAATGGAATATACTTGGTTTTATCTTTAAGTTCTATAGTAGTCTCATTAACAAATAAATCCTTCACCAGCACCTACCTAAGCAATTCTTGTAAATCTTATAAATTAGACATAAATATGGCAAATCTTAAGTTCTCTGTAGCATTCTAGTATTGCTTATAAACCTAATGTAATTTGGATTTAAAATTACAAGTCTAAATCAACGACGTACTTTAAATTAGAATCACAGATATAATCTGTTAGAGACCCTGACAGTTAAATTCTCTGACATATCACCCATTCCTGAAACAATGAACCGATTCTCTGATCACGAATGTGTTAGTGTAGGTCTGGCTGGTGTCATCCTCTCTATGTGTAGTTCTCAGTATCCTTAGGAATAAGATATATTTTCCAACTAAGGACATCATGATGTCGTTCCCCACAACCTGAGGGCTGCCTGCCCCAGTGACAGAGGACCAGAGCGGCCCTCAGCCAGGACACAGACCTGGCCCCTGCCAGGCGGGACACTGATGCGATGCACCGAGGCCCGTTCTTCTGGGCCGAAACAGTGGCTCCGTAGTGAGGAAGACCAGGGAGCTCACAGCCCACGCCCCGGGGCGGCCCTCTGCACCGCCCACTCTTCATGTCTCGCAGAAGTCGGGGGCCCGACGGGCCAGCTGCCCGCCCTCATTGCTTTCCTGGGTCCTCGCATTTCTCTGGCTCCCTTGGGTGTTTAAACACCACCTGGTTCAGCTCTGCACATGTTGAGGCTTGTCCGCATCTTACCTCCCAAAGCCTTGCCAGTGGCGCAGTGGAGAAGCTCACAGGGGAAAAACCGAAAGCCCCTCCTCACTCCGGCCCCTCCTCCAGACCCCCTTGTTGTTTAGTTTGGAGTCTGTCCCTCCAGGCTTTCTTCGGGGCCTATAAACACACACACACACACACACACACACACACACACACCACGCACGCGTGCACACACACGCGCACCGCCCCCTCCCCCCGCCGATAGACTTTACAGCTTGCTTTTTTTCACAGAATTTTGGTTCCTCTCCCCAATCTACCTCATTCTTTTTGAAGGTGGCTTAGTTTTTCATTATGCGGTTACGTCCTAGCATTTTTCAACAATCCCCACGTGGATGGAGACTTGTGTTGGTCCCAGGTGTTTGCTATTAAAGCAGTGCCACAGTGAGCAGGGATGACGTTTGTCGCCGTGTCCTCTTGCTCTTACTTCTCCAGGAAGAGCCGAGAGGTGGAACTGCTGGGTCACAGGGTAGGTGCCTTTAGGGTTTTGAAAGCGGCGGCTGAGCTGCGGCCCAGGAAGCTCGCGCCGATGGACGCGCCCACATGGGCAGGAGAACGCCGCCGTTTGCCGAGAGCAGGGCGCCATCCGAGGCATCTCCTCCGTCTTTCTGTCCTTCGCGCCTGCCGCAGGAGTGACACGCAAGGACGGATGGCGGGGGGTGGGGGAAGGGGGAGGCTAGAGCTCCCAAAGAGCCCAGACAGCACGTCTACGTCCTGCCCTGAGTTCGTTTTAGGGTTTTTTTTTTTAATTTAAATTTTTATTTTGTCATTTTAGTTATTGAGGTAAAATTCCCATAATATCAAACATTTGAAAGGGAGACAGTCACAGGCATCGAGCGCATTCACAAGTTTGTCAGCCACCACCTCCGTCTGGTTCCGGCACATTCTCATCCACCAAGAAGGAGAACCCCCTCCCATTAAACAGTCACTCCCAGCCCTACCCCCGCCCCTGGGAGGCAGCGGTCTGCTTTCATCTCACTGGATTTGCCTGTTCTGGACATTTCCTGTCGATGGGGTCACCCAGCACGTGGCCTTTTGTGTCCGGTGTCGCTCAGGCAGCATGATGTTCTCCAGGTCCACCCGCGCGGTAGCAGGTGTCAGAGCTCCGCTCCTTTTCACAGCTGAGCCACAGTCCACGGGATGGTGGGACCACCTTTCTTTATCCACAGTTGTGCTTTTGAAGTGGGTCCCCTGGGAACCACGGCGGGCCCAGCAAATGCTTGTCCCCCATCCTGTCTTGCAGGATCCCCGTGCACACGATATTCGACAGCTGCCCGGAAGGTCAGGGCATCAGGGCCATAGCCATGACCCACGATGCCAAGTACCTGGCCACCATCTCAGATGCTGAAATCCAGGTACCGGGACCTTTGGGGCGGTCTCCGTGGCTGGCCGGCCTGTCCAGTGGGTCCCCAGGAGCAGCTCTGCCCAGGCCGCGTACCGCCGGCGCTGCTCTCAGGGCGACCGGAGCCCCCGCGCATTGTCAGGGGCTCCGCGCGCGCGGCTCCGCGCACGGCGCTGTGCCTGGCTAACGGAAGCGACAGGGTCGCTGCAGCGGGTGTGGTGTCCTCAGCAGCCTCAGGACCCCCTCCTCCCGTCTGCTCACTCTTGCAGAGGGTGTGCATCTGGAGGTGGACTTTGGCGGCAGAGACACCAGCGTGTTCCCTGGACCTGCCCAAGGAGTATGGTTTTCAGGTGAGTTCAGCCGGGGCTGGAAAGAGCTGCCTGGGCTCCACGCACGCCAGGCCAGCATGGCTTTCTGTTTCCCTGGAGTTTTTATGGTGCAGCGGAGGCTTTTAAAACCACTTTCATATCCACGATCACATTCAATTTTTGATGATAATTTTTTGAGCGCTTCTTATGTGCCAGACTCTGCTATGTTCTTTACATACAGTATCTCACATAATCCATGCAAAATTGACGTGCTGGGAAGGAAATAGTAAGTAGCAGTATCTGCGGAATACTACTTTAACGCTGTAACGTCAGCCAGCTAGCAGCCTCGCTCATTCCAGAAGCATGCACTCAACGGCTCTTACTATAGGGAAGTCGTTCTTTTCAGTTCATGTGAGGTCGCTTGCCAAGGACACGCAGAAAGTTGACTCCGCCGTTCTGCATTTTCTCATTCACCCTTGCATCCTTCATTCCTTGTACATTTATTGAGTACCTACTGTGTGCCAGACGCTGGGGAGAGTGCACACCTGGCCTGCAGGGATAGGACCAGAGCGGAGGGCCTGGGCACATGCTGTTACGCAGCTTGATGCCCCTCCCACTTTCTCCTCCCAGCTGGACTCGGGCTCCTTGGAAACAGCGCCCTTACTTCTCAAAGCTGCCAATACAGTAGCCGCTGGCCATGCAGGGCTGTTCAGGGCACGTTCTTCTATTGCGGCAACAATCGCCTTTGGGCTTCTGGAAGAGACAGCATTGAGTCTACGGATCCTTTTGAGTCATCTTGTCATCTTAACTGTCCACGAGGCAGGATGACGTTCCATTTATGTGCGTCGTCTTTGATTTCCTTAAGCAGTGTTTTGTCATTTTCCGTGTACACATCTTTCACCTCCTTGGTTAAATGTGTTCCTGAGTTGTTTTTCTGAAATTCTAAGCGGAATTGTTTTCTTCATTTCCCTCCCAGATTGTTATTGCTAGTGTATAGAAATGCATTTGATTTCTCTGGGTGCTGATTTTGTATCCTGCAACTTTGCCGAATGCACGTGGCTGTTTAAACTTAAATTGATTAAGTACAGTTCCACATTCACTTCTGCAGTTTCACTAGCCATTTCTCAAGCACTCACGAGCCACGTGCGGCTGTGGCTACCGTTTTGGACGACACAGACTAGAGAACCTGTCAGACAGCCCCGCGAAAGCCACCAGCGCTGGGTGGGGGTCTCCGTCACCCCATCTGCACCGCGCCCCGGCCTGGCCACGGGCTGCGGGTGCCCACCCAGCCGAGCAGATTCCTTGTACGTGGGATTCAGTCGCACGTTTCAAGGGCGCCCAGCACCGCCTGGCAGCCTGCAGGCTGTCCCTCTCCCCTGCCTCGGCCTTCCCTCTCGCCCTCCCCGGTGACCTCACGTGCTCGCTGGGACCACGGAAGCCGAGGGACACCCCCCCCCCCGCCCTCCTCACTCAGGCCTGCAGCCTCCTCTCAACCTCACTGTCTTCTCTTCCCTCTAATTTTCAGCGAGGGGCCCGGGCCCTGGTCCCGCCCCCTCGCCTGGTCTCCTGAGTGGTCTCCCCATCAGCAAGCCAGCAGGCAGCAGCGACAGGGTTGTGAGAGAACTCCTTTGACCCCCGCCCTCCCTCCAGCATTCTTTGCCCCCTGCCCCTCTCGATGGTAGAACTCGGAAGAGCTCTCTGCACTTGCTTTCTCTCCGCCCCATCTCGCGTGTCCTTTTTTTTTTTGCAAGAAATATTACATCTTTTTATATTTGTACTGTTACTTAAGGCGTACTTGCAAACGTGCATTTAAAAGAAGAAAACAAAATCCACTGTGTGCTTGGCACTGGATTGAGAAATACAATGTCACCGAAATGCTAAGCTCCCTTGTGTCCCTTCCCCAATCCAATCTCAGCCCTGTCCCCAAAGGGACCCGCGGTCCCCGCTTCCCTTCGCGCTTTTCTCCAGCGATGCGTGTATCCCTCAGTATGACCTCATTTAGTGTTCCCTGGCTTTGACCCTCGCGTATTCGGAGTCAGGCTGTGGCTTCGCTTGCCCAGCGTTGCTCCCGAGGTGCGTTCCCGTTGATTCTGGGTGACCACTCTCCCACCGTCCCTGCTGACGCTGTCTGTTGTGTGAGCGCTGTACCTGGGGAGCCGAATGCCATTGTCTCCTGACTTACGTCCCTTCTGCTGAGAAGCCAACCTCGATCTGATCGTCCCCTTTTTTTAAATTCATGTGTCTCCCCTCCCCCTTGGGTGCTTTTAAGATTTCTCTTGCTTTTCGGCAGTTTTTCGGTAGCGTGCCTGTGTGCAGATGGAGGTGTTGTTGATTTACAAAAAAAAGAAACTTGTCCTTCGGGATTTTTGAACTGGAATGTCCTGTCATCCCTCAGTTTTGAAAACCTCTCAGCCACTGTCTCTGCCAACGTTGCTTTTGCCACACTCTTTCTTTCCCCGCTTTGGGACTCAGTTACACGTAAGTTAGACCTTGTCATCTCATCCGTAGGTGTTTTATTCTCTTTTCTATACTTCCTATGTTTTTGTGTCTTTGCGTTCCTGTCTGGCTATTTCCGCCCATCATTTATCTTCCTTTTCTACTAACTAATCATTTCTTTGGCTCTCTTTAATTTTCCATCAAACTATATTTTGAATTTTAAAAATATTTTTGACCTACATCCACTTGATTCTTTTTAAAAATAGCTGCCCGCTGAGGTCATCCATCTCCTCCTCCATTTCTGGCGCACCCGGAAGAGTCACCGGCAGGTCCCTGTGTGGCTACCCCAGTGCCCTCGTCGCCTGTGGTCCTCTTTCTGTTGACGGCTTTTCCTTCTTGGTCTGGGGTGTGTCTCTTTCATGCCTGGTTACTTTTCGTGGAGCGCCCAGTGCTGTGCCTTAAAAGAAATCTGCAGGGATAATCGGAGGCTCAGGATAGTAGCTTCCTCCGAGGAAGACTTACACTGCTTTTGCCTCTTACGGGCATTTTTGACAGCGGCCACCTTAGCCTAATCAGAGAGCGAGGTGGCTTGAGGCTGCGAGGGCTCCCGCCTGCCCTTGCTCTTGTCAGCCCTTCACCCCCCAGGCTTTTGGGCCATCCTGACACAGTCCTCAGCCTGGGCCGGTGGCTTCCGTTCCGAAGCGAAGCAGCCGGCCGCCGGCCAGGAGTGGGTGGGGGGGGCCCGTGGCGGGGGGGCCCGTGGCGGGAACGGAGCTTCGAAAGCGCTCCTCGCCCTGCCTCGCAGTCCCGCCCCTGGGTCCCGGCCGCGGCCACCCGCCGCCTTGGCCGTGCTGCCGGCTCCCCAGGGATTTCTCGCTTCTCGTGGTGTAATTGTTCAGTTTCTGCGTCCCCGTTTCCCTCGCCTCTGTAGTTTCCGCGGGGTTGATTCTGGGGATGGGAGCCAGGTGACCATTTGCCACCTCGGCAGGAAGCGGAACCCCCTTCCAGTTTGTGGCGTTCACCCCCAGCTACCTTGTGCCCTGTCCAATTCAGAACTGTGTGTGCAACGGCCTTTCTGCCAAAGGACACAGAATAAAGGTGAATACTGGTTTACGTCTGCTTGTTCCGCTTTCCAGAGGACGCATTATAATAAATGAGACAAAATAAGAAGGGAATACATTGAGACCATTGATTTTAACACTCAGTATTTAAATTACATTCCTATTGCTTATAAAATGCCATGTCTTTTCTGTTTTATATTCCTATTCAGTTACTTATTTTAATAAAAATATCACTTAATTTTAACATTTAGCTTAACCAGAGAGAAAGAGGAAATTTATTATAATGTAATATATCTTCATTATTTATATTTCAGAATTACCTTACTTTTAATCCAACAAATAATAAAGAATTGGTGAGCAATAGTAAAACACAAGTCATATATTATATGTGGGTAAGTAGAAATATTTCAACTTGTTTCAAATGTACAGAGAAGTACATGTTCATTCTTAGAGTACAGATGTTTTGGAAATGTAACAATATTGTACCTACTTATGAAGCAATAGATATATATTAAAATGTTTTGATTTAATTATATTTATTTTAGTCACACTGAAAATTAGCATATTAAATCCGAAGTAGATAATTTAAATATAATTTAATTTTTTAAAGTAATGAAGCAAATATTTATGTGAATATATTTAACAGGTCTAAAATGTCAGGTTTTTTTGAGATCTTGGACTTTATTTCCTTTTAGTAGGAATTAGTCAACAGCTCAGCGATATATACACAGACACAGGGCAAAGCTGTGAGATTAAAACAACATCAAGAGTTAAACATAAAATTTCCATATGACTCACAATTCCTAGGCATGTCCTTGAAAGAACTGAAAACAGGCAGACAAATACTCTTACCCAAACGATCACAGCAGCAGCAGGCGCGATAAGCAAAAGGTCGGACCCCACCCAGTGTTCATCAGCAGATGAACTGGTAAACGAAACGTGGTCCATCCACACAGCGGGCTATTTCGTAGCCAGTAAAAGATATGAAGTGCTGACTCATCCTGCAACGTGGGTGAACCTTGAAAACGCCGCGCTGAGTGAAAGAAGCCAGTCCCAAAGTCACGTGGTGTCCGAGCCGTGGATACCAACCGCCCAGAATAGGCACACTCTCCGACAGTCCGCGACAGGGCGGTGGTCGTCAGGGCTGGGTGAGGCGGGGCTCCTGCGGGGAGAGGCAGGCGGCCTTGAGCGAGAGGGTGGGGGGTGCATAGTGCCATTAACAAACTAAAACATGCCATTGAATTGAACACTTTCAAACGGCTTAATGGTTAATTTTATGTTTTGTGAATTTTACCTGAATAAAAGGTGCCAGTCAATGACAAAAACACATTGATTGGCTGATTCTGCAGGACAGTCATTATTTCAGGCATTGATGATTGCTGGAAAGCCTTATAAATGGAAAATTCATTTAAATTCACTATCATTTGTGGCTCTTTTTTTTTTTTTTCCTTTTTTTTTTTTTTAATTAATTTATTTACTTTTTAAATACATTTGTCTCTGCCTTCCCCCCCTGTGGCTCTTTTTTTTTTAGTATGTGTTTGCTTTTCTCTCTGAATGTTCTCTGTTGGGTCCAGAGGCAGCAGGTCCTCTCCCCTGTGGGAATTGCCACCTCTGACCCTGCTTGGAAGCGGTGGTTCCGGTCTTGTTGTTACGCGGTTCTCCCTTTGGAAACCAGGTCTTTTTTAGTAATGATGATTTTTTTTCCTGTACCTACCAGTATGAAGAGGGAAGTATGCTTGCTCACAGCGCCCCGCTCTTAACAGAAAAAGTGAGTATGCCTGTAGCTTTTTTAGACATCTGCTTTTGTGGAGACTAAACATGCATGTACAAGCTTAGTCATTCTCAGCTACTCTTTGTGTGTCTTTTTTTTTTTTTTTAAGATTTAATTTATTTATTTTTAGAGAGAGGGGAAGGGAAGGAGAAAGGGGGGGGGAGAAATATCAATGTGTGGTTACCTCTCACATGCCCCCAACTGGGGACCTGGCCCGCAACCCAGGCACGTGCCCTGCCTGGGAATCCAATGTATGTCTTAATAGTGGGAAATGATTTGAAAATTCTAACTGGGTCCTTTTCCACACTGAATTTGTCCGTTGAAAGTACCAGAAGTGCTCCCATGAGAAAATATCCAAAAAAAGTCATGGCTTCATAAGATGCAGGTGCATTTAATAAGGAAGGCCGCTGCCGACTCAGGTGAACAGAGCAGCTGAATGTGGGCAGATCCTTGCTAAGCTTCTCAGTGTCCAGGGTCATAGAAAAGGATGCCAGGTGTTCAGGTTCCTCAGAGCCAGTGGAAGAGCGGCGAGCCAGGTGCTGGAGGAAACTCTGCCCTTGCCTGCTCACCTGGAGCGATGGCGCGTGGCCTGTCTCCGGCAGCACCTCCTCACTGGAGACCCATGTCCTCGGCTCTCAGGGAGCGCCGCGTGATGATTTTTCTGCTTCCTGTCTCCGCTCTCGGCACGACTTACCGAAGTCCCATTTCTGAGAGGTCAGGCCGAAAGAAAAGGCAGAGACGAGACGGACAGACGTGGGAGAGATGAGCCTGTCTGCAAACTCTGTTTTTTATAAATCGGGGTCTCGACAAATAAGCGCAGTCATTTCTAGGTGTTCGTGGCAGTTATGCTCCATGAAGCCTCTGCAGTTTGAGGTCATAAAAATGCCTCGTATGGAATCAGGGCTGCTCTTAGGGAAAACCTGCTGTGCTCGCTTTACCGGTGCTGGTCCCTCCTGGCCCCCCCCCACCCCCGCGCCCGAGCTGGACTGGGGAGGGCGGGGGGGGCGGGGGAGGACCAGACTCTTCTCTGCCCCGTTAGGCAGCGGGTGGCACCCTCGCTGAACCTGATGACGGACCGTGGGCTTCTTTCCCTTGTCGCTTGCTAAGCACCCCTGAGCGGCTTCCCTCGCGGCCCTTTCTAGACCTCCTCTCTAAGACATTGTCTAAGAGACACGCCCTACTGCCTTATTTTATGTAGCACAAATTTAATAAGGAGTCTGAGGGGCACTTCTGTGTGCAGCGCTTCATTTCTGCTACTGAGAAAACAATTTACGACCACAAGGAGACTGGGAGAATTATTTTATGATCTCTCACAGCGGGGGCGCGCCTTTGCGCACGGCAGACTTCAGGTTCTCTCTCAGTCTCTGAATCCTTGGTGAGAGAAGATGGACAGGTAGAAACAGTGACCACTCTTGTCATCTGCTTTAAGCACACAGTTGCGGGACCCGAGCTCACAGCCCTTCCCTTGCTCTTGGCAAGTGAGGTTCAGAACTGCCCGGACACGGCAATCCACGGGGGAGCGTTATTTTCATGATCGCTTTTTTGTTTTTTGTTTTTAACTTTTTAATCTTTTTCTACTCTATTTCAGTGTAGTATTACAAAACGCCATGTGTTGATAAATGCTTTGTTTTATATTTATCACCAGCGGTAACTCACGATCTGCCTTTTGAAATGCAGACATTCAACAAGCTCGTGGGAAGGTTTAGCCAGTCCATCTTTCATCTGAATTTAACGCAAATACTCTCGGCGACCATGGACGGCAAGCTGGTCGTCTGGGATGTACACCGCCCGCCGCCGCCGGCCCCCGCCTCTCTGTGCCTTCCCTATATCAAACCTTGTAAACTGGTGCACATGCAGAAAGAGGGCATCACTGTGCTCACCACAGTTGACAGGTGGTTAACTCAACTAAAAACGATTTAAAAGCCCTTTGAATGGATACCTGTATTTTGTACACTCTTAGAATATTTCCGGCAAAATTAGCTGGGCACACGGCCGCCTCGGAGAGAGAGAAACTGAGAGCCAGGATCAGGGATGGGGGCGGGCTGACTGCTTTTTATGGCCTCATTTGTGCTCATTGGTTTGCATTTTCCTTTTTTAATCACACGCATGTATGACTTTTTAAAAATCCCTTTGTGTTTGGTGAAACAAAAAGGAACTGTTTTTTTACTTCCGCCCTAAATAGACTTATTTTGCACCCTAAATTTTACATACGTTGAGAAAATAACATGAACAGCTATATTGTTTACTCTGCTTACAAAATAGCATCTCCCTATTAGGAGAAGATGAAATACAGCAGAGTGTTACCAAGTTCTCTAGCTCTTTCATTTCGAGAGGCTGTGCGGGGGCTCAGAGATGATCCTTAAAGGCCTTTGCCTCAGAGAGAGAGGGGTCACATCCCAGACACATCCCTATCCTGCTGAGCGGGCAGGGCACCGAGCTTTGTTGAGCCTCCGTTTTCCCACCTGTAAAATGGGCACAACCACAGCGTCCATGCCCGAGGGAGCTTGTGAAGGTTTAGTGAGTGAGTCAAGGCATGTGACACTCCCAGCAGCCCGCCTGGCAGAGGGAGCTCCAGGTCAGAGGGCCACTGCGGTGCTCGGGAAACGTTTCCCAGAAACGATGGGGATGTTCCCCGATGACCGGGGCCCTGCCGCAGGGCTGGGGTCGCCGTGCCCCCTGCGTTCCCAAAGCCCCTTTGCTCGGGGGGCGGGGAGGGCCTGGCGCGGCTTCACCTAGAGAAACGCCAGCTGTCACTCCCCCCTCGGCAGCACGAAAAGACAGCCGGGGAACTGCGGTTGGCGCTGCAGTCGGCCTTGAATTAGCTGGGGGCGAGGGCCCAGCAAAGGCCAGGCCTCGGCTGCTTCTCTCCCTGCTCAGTGGAGCCCCGCCAGGACCAGGAATCCCCCAGGAAAGGTCTCCCGAAACACTTGGCCTGTGTTTGCCCCTTCTGTCCAGCAGAGGGCAGTGAAAGATGGCTTAGCCAATTATCTACCTGGCCCACCTGCCTGGCTCATTAATCAGCAACCTTATTTAATCACTCGGTGTACATGAGAGGGAATTCCACCCCTACTACTTCCCCATCATTAGAATTATGTCAGAGGCTTCAAAAAAGCCAGCCCACTCGGGATGGATCTGAGGATGGGAAATAAAAGCCATTTTATCACGGGGCTCTGCCTCTGGCACGATCTCCCTGACAGCAGCGCCTTCCCGTAGAGTGACTGGTACCCCGTTGGCAGCTGTGCGGCTTCGGGGGGCTGGTGGGCAGCCTCCGCGGCACCTGCAGTCTTGCGGTGCAGAATGGGAACCGCCGAGGCTGGTGCTGGAGGGCAGGGGCCGGCAGAGCGGGGCGCGTGGACTTCGTGTGAGACACGCCGGGTCCCAGCAGAGCCTCGCCGTGTGACCCTGGCAGGGCCTCCAGGCATAAGCGTGTCCCGTACGACATTGGGGACCTACTTGTACTATCTGAAGCTCACATTTAATGGAGCACCCTGCATTTTTATTTGCTAAATCTGGCCGCCCCGGGCCTTGAGCAAATTTCCTCATTTCTCTGAGACTTAAGTTTCCTAGATGGAGAGGGGCAACCTTAAAAGCGGCCTCAGAGGATGGGGTATTAAGCAAAGTGTTCACAGCGCCCAGAATCCAGAGCATGGTGTATAATTAACTAACTGTTCGATAGATGGTACTTATTACTATTAGTTAACAAACGGATGCTATTTTTCCATTTCAGCTACATTGTCACAGGGGACATGAAGGGTAACATTAAGTTCTATGACTGCACCCTGTCGCTTGTTAACTGGTACAGCCACTTCAACCTCAGCGCCATAAGGACGCTATCCTTTTCAAAGACCCCGGCAACTCCTCCCGCCGAAAAATCCACCTATTCTACAGACTGCACTTTAAAAGGTGACGTTTTTACTATAAGGTAAGTTAATGAATCTCGTCATCTGAATGGTCAAAAAGCGATTGGCGTCTTCTAGTTTCATGCCCTGGAATGTCTGCCTGGTGCCTGGGATGTGAAATAGAGGGGCCCGGACTTCCTCCCCCCGCCCCCCATCTGGATGGGAGAAGGAGCTCTTGGGCTGATGATAGTCACTAACCATTTTTTTAAATGAAACGTTACTTTCGCCTTAAGACTCTTTAGTGGCTGGAAGCTGGAGAGGGCTCGTCCCTGAGCTCTGACCTCTGCTCTGGCCGGAGTCCTTTGGTCTCCTTCTCGGAGCCTGGCTGGTCCTAGCAGCACAGTTAAAGGCGTTTGATAATTAATAGCCATAACATTTCAAGACAGAATCATCTGTGAGTCTGCTTAATTACCCCTGCGTATCCGCAGGCTCGCTCTGTGTGTGCACCAAGCTCCATATTTGCATACACAAATGAATATTTGCATGTGCAGATTAGCTAATTGTACAACTGACTGTCCATCTGCATGCTTAATGACTCAATTTACATGTAGAAATGTGGGCTTTTTCACTTGCAAATGGAGGCTGTTGGGTATTAGTGGTATATTTTTGGAGACGTTGGGTTAATAATGTCACTAAATTACAGACGACAGAGGCGGTTCATGCGCAATTAGAAGCAGCAGAATGGGCGGCCGGTCCCCTGCAAACGCTGATGCCGTCTGGTCTCTCCTTGGCAAACAGGGATTTTGTCATTGGGACCTCAGCTGCGACCGTGTACCACGTAAAGGCAGACGAGACAAAACTTGAGAAGCTGTTCGTAGAGCCCAAGGATGCCATTTGTGCCATCTCCTGCCACCCGTACCAGCCCCTCATCGCCATTGGGAGCTTCTGTGGGATGATCAAAGTGTGGGATTATGAAAAGAAAAAATACCTTTTCAGCAGGGTCTTTGAGAAGGGGCTTGGAGTCCAGAGTCTGACCTATAACCCTGAAGGTATTTTCACTTCGTCAGCCTGTCTGAGGTCCAAACGGAAACAGGCCCAAAGGGCCGTGGCTGTCCCAGCTCCTGGAAGTTCCCCTTGGCCCCCCCCGCCACCCCCGCCGCCGCCAGGCTGGATGGGACGCCTTCTCCCTGGGCTCCTGAGCCCTCTGAGCTTAGTAGCATCTGAGCGCTCCTCCTGGGGGGCCATGCTTGTCAGGGTTTTTCCTCCTTTGAGGGACCTTGTCTGTCACATGCGTGGCTATCTCCTCAGCACCTGGAACACGGCCCGGCACGAGCCTGTGTTTCTTAAGTGAATGGAGCCCTTTTCGATCATTGTTCTCTGGCGTGTGATTTCAGGAGCCATTCTTGGTGCTGGCTTCACAGAAGGGACAGTTTACATTCTTGACGCAATGTCCTTAGAAAACGAAGCCCCAGAGCCTTTCAGATACTCCAGGACCTGCGTGACTCATATAAGCTTCTCCCACGACTCCAATTATATGGCAACCGCTGTAAGTGTTTTCACTAGCAACTGTCCTGTGGTTCAGCAACCTTATTTAAATCAACAAAGAGGCCTTGGCCTGGTGGCTCAGCTGGTTAGAGCGTCATCCTGATACGCCGGGGTGGCAGGTTCAGTCCCTGGTCAGGACACATGCAAGAATCAACCAATGATGCATCAGTAAGTGGAACACCAAATCAATGCTTCTCTCTCTCTCCCTTCCCCTCTCTCTCTAAAATCAACCAATAATTTTTTTTTAAAAAAAGAAAGGGGAGCTGGGGTTAGGGAATGACTGCTAACGTGTTCAGGGTTTCTTTCTGGGGTGATAAAATGCTCTGCGGTTACAATGGTGGATGTACAACTCTGAATACACTAAATCCCATTGAACTGTATGCTTTGTTGTTGTTGTTGTTGTTGTTGTTGCTGTTGCTGCTGTTATTTGAGAGAGCGGGGAAGAGAGGGAAAGCAACATTGATCAGTTGCCTCTCACATGTACCCCAGTCAGGCGGGGACTGAGCCGACAACCCAGGCATGTGTCGTGACGGGGAATCAAACCCATAAGATTTTGGTCTGTGGGATGATGCCCCAACCAGCGGAGCCACACCAGCCAGGGCTGGACCCTACACTTGACATGAATTGTGTTGTATGTGAATGATATACACATACGGCGCTTGCGAAGGCCAGAGCCGCCCTCGCCTCTCCCCGCCACACCGAGGCAGCCCCCCTCCCCGTGGGCCTCGCCCACTCTCTGGCTGTTCCACTCTCAGCCCATCACTCTTGTTCAAAACAATCATGTCTTTGAACTGGATAAAGAGATGGGAGACAAAGGCAGCAAGAGTCAGGACTTCCCCGGAGACGAGGTGGGGACCAGAAAGGAGAGCACGACCGTCGTGCCAGATGGACACTTTCTGCCCCCACGGCCTTTGCCACTTACCTACTTTGAACCTTAATTTTCCCATCTGTATAATGGGTCTTATTTTACCACTTGTTCCAGCAGGTGAAGATTTCTTTTTGGAGAAAGCATTTTAACAGCAAAATTGGTATGAAAACCATAACGATTTTTAAGTTGCCAAATATAAAAAGGAATAACTTCTGTTCTTTTGCTCATATTCAGGATGTAAATTTTACTGTGGCCGTTTACATGGTCAAGGTCAAAAACGGACATAGGGTCTGGGAGTACTTGGCTAGACTTCGTTCTCATCACAGAAGCATCCGAAGCCTCCTCTTCGGCGTCTACCTGGACAGCAATGAGGCCAGGCTGCTGAGCCTCGGCAGGGACAGGCTCTTGGTGAGCTGCTCGGCTTGTCCCATTCTTGTGACTTCCTGGTGTCTGGCACAGGACTGGACCTACAGCGTGGGTGTTTGTTGGAGAAAACGAATGAGCCACGTAGGAGTGTGACCCGCTCCGAGCTGGCACTTGGCCTTAATGAGGCTCTGATGCTGCGAAGGCCTTATGTCCTGAGCGCGGAGGCTCCTGGGAAGCAGCCATCGGGCGGTAGGGAGGTGGGCGTGGAAACTCGCCCCCCTCGCCTTGCAGTTCGGTTTGGAAAGCCAGCACGCACTGTGCTTTCTCTGTGTCCAGGAGTTGGGGGAGGCTGGTACCTAACTGTGACAACTAATAGAGGGTGTCAGATAAGAGGGAAGGGTAGGGACAATGGCAAATGTGATTTATGTCATCAAGCCAAAAGGATTCAAAATCAATCACTCTATGGACCTGTCCATCCATCTTAACTTCCTTACTTTCCTCCCCTTCATTCCTTTATTCCATCCATCCCTCCATCCATCCATCATCCTTCCATCCTGGTCTGGCCACCAAGGCCTCCCTGTGGGTGAAATTCAGCAGGCGGCTAATTTGTGACTGTCCAGTGCTGAGACTTAGATGTGACTTTGCTCCTACCCTCAAGGAGTCCCCAGGATAGTGGGGAGTGGAGCAGCGGAGCAGAACTGTGAGAGTTCAGGTTTGGGAGTCAGCTGGACCTGAATTTGCATTCTTGCCCTACCACTTCTTAGCTGTGTGACCTTGGGCAAGCCCCGGACCTCACTGAACATCAGTTTTCTCATCTGTAAAATGGGCACAGCAGAATTGCAGGGCAGGGAAGTCGTGAGCAGGAAATGGCATCATGGTTTAGTGCGCTTAGCTTCTCGTCTGGCGCTTGATGAATGTTCCCTCATGGTAGCTCACTAGGTTAAGGGCCCAGGCCGATCCCCTCTCAGGAGGCCTGATATTCTGGCCCGTCGGGATAGGACGGTGGGCTCGCTCCGTTCAGCTTAGTCTTCGTGGGTGTCTCTCTGGCCCCTCTGCAGATCGAGTATAATCTCTCCAAGAGCTACAGAGACCACCTGGAGGTCCTGGACATCCACAAAACTGACCAGGAAAACCACCCAACCTGCATGATCTGGTACCCGCCCCTCACCAAGGAGCGCTTCCTGCTCATCTCCACCAGCGGCTACAAAGTGAAGCTTTTTAACGCTACCACCAAAATGTGCAGGTACGCCTGGGAGCACCCCGCGCACGGGGTGCCTGCGTCGGTGTCTCGGACCCCGGCCTATTTCAAGTCCCGGCCGCAGGGCCTGCGAGCAGCTTGGCTGCCACTTCTGTCCCTGAGGATGCAGAGGAGGAAACTGAGGCACCAATAAAGCGGGTCATTGTCACGCACGGTCCCATGGCCAGGAAGTGCCAGAGGCAGGATTCAAGGCCCGCGCCTTAGCCCCCGAGCCCAGCACTGCACTGAGGTGAGGCCCCAGCCCGGAGCCTGAGGCCCACGCAGGGACCAGAAACCCACTGAGGCGCCACAAAACCTCCTGTGCCGCCCTTGGGGAAAACAGTTATTTTCCCTTGAATACTGCCGGTGGTTCAACTTTTCTTACTCTTGGTTCGCCAAGAGTACTCTGTAGAGTTACTCTCAGTGCTCGGAGAGTTTTTCCGTTCGCCGATTGTCTTCCTTTGTTCACTCGGGAGCCCCTGAGCCCGCTCGCGGCGCTGACAACGAGGACAAACACAGGCCCATGCGGCTAGTGCGCCTTGTAATGGGGGGTGGCCTTCATGGGAAAGGCTGGGCTGGAGGCCCACCCTCAGGGCCAGAGTGCGCGGGGCCTTGAAGCCATGACTCAAGAGAAGGTTCTCAGAGGGAAGGGTAGCTGGAGAAGAGGCCAAAGCACCAAGCCCGGGGTGTCCAAGCCTTGGCATCTTGGAGCAGCGGCCCCCCCACCCCGGACAGGCCTGTGTCGGGTTGGCCTCTCGTGCTGCTGCGCCTGGGGGTCCCGGGGCTGCACGCATGACACATGCCAATGGCTCTGCGGCTGCCACCTTGCTCCATCTCGAACAGCCCTGCAGAGTGTTATCCCGCTGAGAGAGGCGACGACACACGGTCAAATATCTCCTCGTAGAGCTTGACCCTTGACCTGGTGCCAGCTGACGTCCGCTTGGCACACGTGGGCCCCGCAGCAGGCCTGGCTCCGCGGCCCCAGCTGGTCAGCCCCCGATGGCAGCGCCTTTCCGCCGGTGGTTTGGCCGCCTTGCTGATGTGGCCGCAGGGAGCAGGGCCCTGAGCGGGAGGGACAGAGCGAGAATGCTCCGGTGGCGCCCGGCAGCCCCAGAGAGGGGAGCCAGGCGCTGGCCGACAGCAGCCGGCTCAGGCTTGAGGAAGGCCATTCTTCAAAAATGTATCTCGGTAAGGCCCTCGACAAAGGTCGCGATCGCCCCGAATCTCTTTTTTTTTCTTAAGTCCTTTGTAAAAGAGTAAAAATGAGAAGTGCCCTGTCATGTGGCAGGGGCCAGAGAGAAACCCAGTGTAATTAAAAAAAAAAAAACAAAAACACGGGATGGAGACATTTGAAGGAAATGTGTAAAAAAGAACTTGAGGAAGATCACAGAATCTTTGTGCGTTGCTGTTAATGGACGCGAAGTTTTTGGACAAAGGATTTCCTATAGGTAGGACCAGTGCTGAGAAAAATCAGAGTTTGCTGAGCAAGTGGAGTGGGGACGGAGGACCCTGGACTTGCAGCCCCTGCTCACAGTCACCAGTGAGGGACCTAGAGTCGCACACGCAGGAGTTTCTGCGCCTGAAAGTCAACCTGAACTTGGCAGAAAGCAGCTTCCTTCAGAAAAAATTCATCAAGGCGAAATTCACATAACCTAAAACGAACCGTTCTAAGGCGAGCAAGTCAGTGGCTCTTGGTCTGCTCCCAGCGTTGTGCCGCCGCCACCTCCGCCTGGTTCCAAAACGGCTCCCTCCTTGCAAGTAACCCCCCTGCAAAGAGCAGGTTGCAATGTGCAAGAATGATGAAGCCTGTGACCACACCTGAACTGGAAAGGAACTGTCTTTTCATGATAAATCCAAAACCATTTAAACATGCCTTTAAAAATATTTAAAAGAACATGAAAAGGCAGTTCACAGAAAAAGGCCAGTAAGCCTAGGAGCAGATGCTCACTGATGTATCAGAGATGCAAATGAAAGCAAGACATGGTTTTCACAAATCAGATTAGCAAAGATAAAAATGATCGATTGCACCTGCTGTTGGCATGGGGACCAGGGGAGGGCACCGCTCAGCTGCTGCTGCTGCTGGGGGTGGAAATTGGGGCGACCTCTGGGAGAGCAATTCGTTACCCTCAGATAAATGGGATCGTATCTCTGACTTCTAGGAATGCGGCCCATGGAAGCGCTCACCGTGTGCCAAGACATAAGTCAAAGGATGTCTTGTTTGAAAATATTTCTGAAAATGGAAACAATCCAAATGCCCATTAATAGGGGATTAGTTAAATGGTGGCTCGTCGGTGCGCTGAGACGCGATGCCGCTTTTAGAAAAGAAAAAAAAAAAAAGGAAGAGATAAGCCGTCTGCATGGAAACACGGAAGCATCTCCAAGATGGAACATGAAATAAAGCAAATTGCCAAATAAGCATGAATATATTTTCATATAAAATTACACTTAGGAAATTTATACTTTTTTCATATTCAATTATAATTATGCGGGTTGGCATACATACTTGAAAACTCTTGAGTCATGCGCCCCAAACTAGTCCCGTGGTTGCCTGGGATAAGGGACATAGCAATATAGTTATGGCCGGATTTTCCACTTTAGGGGAACATGTTTAAAATTCTCCATGAGCTCTATGTAATACTTTTCCAATCAGAAGGAAAATACTCATTTTATGAAACGGTTAGATATTTTGACAGTCCTAGGTAATAATGGCATAGCTCCTACTCTGTGCCAGAAACTGTTCTGAGCGCTGTTAGACATATTACTCACTCCCCGCAGCCTCACGGGAAGTACGGGCATCATCCCTGTTTACCAATGAGGAACCTGAGGCACAGGTTGAATGGCTTGATCCTTCTTGTTTGTTTATAGTTTAAATTAACATGTAAATTAAAAGGCTGTTGAATGGGTCTGCTGTTCACGGATCCATCACAGGCACTGCCCGGAGCATCTACTGTCCCAGGGACACCGGCCGGGTGCAGGGGCTGAGGGAGGAGGCTTCACGCCCGGACAGGAGGGGCTCAGGAGACAGGTGAACTCGCTGCGGGCCGTACACGGGGCGCTTGCCCGTGCAGCAGCTGTGACGTGTGCTCGATTTTGTGGGCCCTCTTTTTTCTTTTTTTAAAAAAGGTACATAATTAAGAATAAACAACGGCGGGGCCTCTTCCAGAGCCTCAGAAGGTGTGAGCGAGGGGGCCCGAAGAGCAGGCTTTGCCGGCCCCAGGAAGACCCAGCCCTGGGCTGCAAGGCCCGCCTGGGAACCGCGCCTTGCCTCGATTCCTGATGAGCGTGAGCCCGCGTTACAGAGGGCTACCCGTCGCGGGGATACGGTTCATCACCACGGGGTGCACAGGCAGCGTTTTGGAAACGTGCGTGCTGCCCAGAGGCTGCGTGTCCGATGTCTGGGACGACGGACGTCTGGCTGTAACCTCAGCCTGCCACCGGCCCGCCACCGGCGAAGGGGGTGTTTGCTGGCACCCGGCCAGAGCGTGTCATTTCCTTGCCGCCGCGTTTTCCTCGTCCCTCGTCCATGTACACATTCCCGAGGCATAATGTTCCCTTCACTCAGCTGTCAAGGAGGCCGGTCGGAGCCTCCGCGTGATGAGCATCCCTCACAAGCAGCTTCCCCGGGGGCGCTGGCTGTTTGGAGCTGTTGCCCCCATTTCACGGCCTCCGTGAGCCGCGGTGGGGAGAGCTGCTTACACACGGGCTCCGCTGAGTGACAAGACAAGTGGCTCAGAGTTTGAAGAGTGTAGGGTGTCAGGAAAGGTAGCTGGTCATAAAGCCTATGAACGTTCCTTCTTTGTGGAATTGAAAACAGGCTTCTTTTTCTCCTGCAGAAAGACACTCCTCGGGCCAGTCTATGGCTCCCCCATGGAGCAGATACAACTCCTCCCCGTGAGAACGGCCCTTGAGCTGCAGAAGCGCCACTTGGTGTTTATCAACAGAGACAAGGTATCCTCTCTGCTCGCACCCACCTCTGGGAGGTGGCTCTGTGTGTTCTGAGCGGCTGTGGGTGCCAAGGGTTATACCCAGGATGCTCGGGCTCTGGGCCCAGGCCAGCTCCTTCATCCGGGTCCACGGCGCAGTGGAAACCGCCGCAGACGAGCGAGGGTGACTCGTGGAGGGCATTTCTGATCAGACACACAGTCCACCAAAGGGTTTTTTCCCTTCTGATTTATTTACATGGGAAAAAGAAAGACATACAAATTAGCTACACTTAGTTGTACATTGAGTGAATGATCTGTATTGGAAAGCATAAAGTCGTCGGATGTTAGGGTTATTCTGGGGAACTGTGGGCATCTATGAAGACAGGAAGCAAGCGTTCCTTCTGTGTCCCCGCTGGAACCCGGTGTCCTTCTCCTACAGGACCCCCTACAGGGGTCGGTGTGTGCGAACCTCCCTCCTGCCCCCCTCCCCCTAATGAAACGCAGCTGTCACACCCTGAGAGAGACATTTCGGCGCACGGGGCCCTCCAGGAGCGCACCTGGAGGTCATGCGCTTACCCGGCCTGGGGCCCGGTTGTCTGAGCCTGGCTCTCCCCTTACATCTTTCCTTCCAGGTTGGACTTCAGATTTTACCAATTGATGGCAACCCACATAAGACAACTGCTATTGTCTGCCACCCAAGCGGGGTGGCCGGACTGGCCCTCTCCTACGACGGCAGCTACGCCTTCACGGCAGGAGGGCAGGACCGCTCTGTGGCGCAGTGGGAAATCAACCTCTGGTGCGTGGCGGGGCGGGACGTGCGGCGGTTGGGGCGAAGGCAAGCACAGGCCCCTTCTTTCCACTCGGGCGGTGGCCCTGGCGCTAAGCCCCGCCCGCGGGCCTGGCCTGCGGGGCGAAGGGTGTGAAGGGGAGCGGCGACCCAGCCCTGCCTGCAGGCTGCTCCCTGTGGCGTCTGTTTACGCGAATGAGCGGACAGAGGCCTGTGCCTCGACTCGGCGGCGGGCTCGGCAGCGGGGTTGGCAGTCTCCGCTGTCTGATTCCCCCTCGGGCCCCTGGGGGGCCCCTCCCTCTGTCATCCGCACACCCACGCCAGCTGGGCAGACCTAGCCGGAACCTCCGGAGTGCGTGTCACGCAGATAACAGGAGGCTATTTGAAATATGTGTCTTCAGACAACGCGTCTTGCCCCTCTGCCCTGAGGCGAGAACCCAGGGTGAGTCTGGAGAATTCCACGGCTGAGCACCAGAGAGCGTGTGACGTTGAGGTCAAAGGGATGTGGGTTCAGATCTGGACCCCTGGGCCGTCATCTTTGTGGGCGATAGGTCCCGTGCAGCGTTCCCAACGTCTCTTGACCTCTAGATGTCCTACTGTGAAATGGGGACAGTAGGGACTGTATAGGATCCTTATAACATCTGCAGGTTAACATGTGTAAAGCGCCCAGCACAGAGCTGAGGACGCAGTAAACGAATGATTTCCTTTCTCCTTCCTGTGAAGGCATTTACTCCTGAGCTCAGGGTCTTTCTTACCGAAAGGGGGGCAAAGCCCTCGGCCATCCCGTCAGCTCCGGAACTCAGGGAGCCGCCGCCAGGCAGGCTGGTCCCTGTCCCCAGCCCCCTTCTTAAGCCCTGCCCCTCAGGTGGCCCCCGCCTGGCAGTGTCACATGGAGGAGTTGGCGAGAAGTGGTTCAGAGGCCCTTCCTTTCCTGAGAGAACAGACTTGATTCGTGGCTCGCGGTAGAAGTGTCCCCATGCCATCTGCCAGGTGCACACCTCTTCCACAGGGGACATCGCAACGTCCCCTCTTACCCTGAACATGAGCAAATGCAGCCAGGGTGTAGCGAGGGAAGCCCACTTTGGAGTTGAGGTGGTCTCACAGCGCAGTTGCCACTCGGGCCCCCACCGGGAGAGCAGACCTTGGGGTCTGGGGGTTCCAGAGCTGGAGGTGCGCTCCCCACTGGCGAGCCGCTGGATTCCGCGGCGCCTCGCCAGCTGCCCACGGCCGGTGGGAGGCCGGAACCGTTGCTGTCCTCTTCGCAGCCGTCCTGGGATCGGCAACGGGGGTGGTAGGCACTTTCCACGCGCTTTCCTGGGCCTGGCCGGAGTCCAGGCTTCTGAGACTTTCAATTTAATCTGTTGTGGGGACAAAGGATCGTTATAAACTAATTAGCACTTCATTGCTGCTTCTGGGGTCTTAATACGTTCAGTGCTTCTCTAATGGGAAGAAATGTAAAAACCCTGGAGTAAACCAGCAAATTCGCCACTAGATCCGCTGATGGTGAGTTGTGGAGGGAAATAAAGATGAGGAAGCCTCTCCTGTTCCAATCGTTTAATCAGTGCTCTCCAGGGCCTGACGCTCTCATCGTGGCACGTGGAGCCCCGGCCTCCCCCCGGACCCTGTCCTCTCCCCCCGCCACTTTGCCAGCCGGCCGCCCTCTTCTCCCATGGCTGGCACCTGCCTTAACAATCCCTTGCGCTTTATTACGCTCAACTTCGCACCCACCAGTAATCCCGCTGCCTGGCGCAGACAAACACAGAAAGATGCAGCTTCAAACCCCACCTTTCCTGCCTACTTGCTGTGTGACCTCAGGCAAGTCCCTTAACTCCTCTGCGTCTCAGTTTCTCCGTCTGTCCAGCGGGCTGTGGCGCCCAGTTCAGCGACGGTGAGTGCTCGCGCTCTTGCTCACTTCCCACAGGCACTGTGTGTGTTTCCAGCACCGAGTGCGTCATCGATAAATGTATTTCCTTTCTGTGCCCCAGGGACCTCGCCCTTTTTAGTTGCATGTGTCAGAAGCCCCCCTTAGGCAAAAAGGGGGCTCTGGAAGGGTCATCGGGGCCTCGGCGACCGGCTCGCAGGGCGCAGGGGCGTGCCTTCGGCCTGCGCTCTGTGCTTGGATCTACTGTCGGCTTCCCGCTCTGCAGGGCTGATTTTGTCACTTAGCCGGAATGTGGCCAGGGACTGTCCCCGAATATCACTCACGGCTGCCCTCCCCAGAGAGAGCGACAAGCCCAGTTCCATCCCCCTGGCTCTCCGGTCACCTGACAGTAGCCAGGAAGCTGGGGCCATAGTATAGCCCTGACTGCCAGGGGGCTGTTCCCGGGGAACCCGGAGCTCTTGTGACCCTGTCCCCTTGGGTTCCATGCATGTTGACCAGTCCTGTGACTTCCGGCCTTCGGCTGGCCCTCCCCCAGGACCACGTGGCCACGCTGCCCAAATGTGGCCTCGCTGCCCGTCGAGCCTGTCGGACTGGGCATGAGCCTGGCCTGGAGGCCACGGGGAGGGAACCCCTCAGCGGGACACCTGCCTCGGAGGCTGACGGCCCAGCCAAGAGCTTGCTGAAGTCCGGCCCCCGGGCCCCTGGGCCCCCGGGCCCCCGGGGTGCGGCCTCCTCGTGTAGCGCGGGCGCGGGCCCTCTAGGAGAGCTGTGGGTGCCCGTCTGTGCCTGGTCCACGGCAGCAAAACTTTTAACCCCCCTGTGCCACGTCTTCTCCGGGCCACGCCCTCGTCAACTCCTCTGTTGCGTCCACTTACTGAATTCTCACAACAGCCCGGGGGGCAGACCCTGCAGTTACCCCCCTTTTCAGGAGAGGAGGCGGAGGCGCCGGGAGGTTAGGTTCCCTGCCCACGGTCACTCCGCTCGCTGGCGGCGGAGCCAGGAGTCCAGGGGCCGGCGCCGAGCGTGGCCCTGCTGCGGTCTACACCGAGCTGCGCTTTAATCACCCGCTAGAGGCTAATGGCCTGATTAGCAGAAATCCAGTCAGTGGATTATTACAGTGATTTATATTATTATTAGCATTGGGTGCGAGGCAAAGTCGATCTCAAACAAAAAGTAGGTTTCCTTACCTGCAGGGCCTATTTTTGGAAAACCTGACCCCGTGTTAGAGAGCAGGGGGCTATTTTTATCTGACTGGCATGGGTCCCTGGTGGCCGCCGCGTCTGCATGGAAGCAGTTAGTGCTGGCAGTTCACCGGGAGCACCCCGTGCCTCTGGCCCGGGCCACGGGCTGCTCTCAGGTTACGCGCCAGGGCGCTGGGCCCCGGCCCCGGCCCGCAGGCACCCTCCCTCAGGACAGACGCCCCCCGAAGACAGCGGACAAATCGCCAGGGGCCTACCCTGTCACCCGCAAGCAAACGTCGCCATCTTTGAAGTGGGCGCCCTGTTCTGCCGGACGCCGCCCTTGAATTTGAATTTTTCATGTTCAACTTCACGTCCCAGGGCATTTTCTTAACAAGTGTCCAGAGACCCGAACAGCACCTGCGCTGGCACCGCCCGCGGAGGCCCGCGGCGCCCCCCGCCCCCCACCGGCTGCGGCTGAGGGCGCGGGGCTCTCTGACGGCCCTGTCTCTGCCGTTCCAGCGCCCTGGAGGCCGCGGTGTCGCTCGGTGGAGAAGACTTGAGCCCGTTCTATGGTCTGGTGGCTGGTGGCAGGGAAGGAAAATTCTACCGGGTAATTGCCCTCGGAGTAAACACTGCCTGGTAACGCCTAGCTAAGTTGAGGAAACACATGTCCAGGGCTAACCCTCTTCTCTGTCCCAAAGCTCTTTTTCCCACTTAGCTCCAAGTGAACTCTTCAAAAAACATCCTTGAAGTCGTGATGGGTGCTTCAGACGTAAGCCAAACCACGTGTTGTGTGTCCGTCTTATTTCCGCACAGGAGCTGGAAGACTATTTTTACTACTCGCAGCTCCGTAGCCAAGGCATCGACTCAATGGAGACCAGGAAGGTGTCGGAACACATTTGCCTGTCAGAGGTTCCTTCTGTCATGAGAGCAATTGGCTTTTACCCGTCGGAAGAGAAGGTAGGCGGGGCGGCAACGAGGGCCGCTGCGGGGTGGGCTCGGTGTGAGGACGACCTCCGAGACCCGGTGCAAGGTCAACGCACGGATTTAACCTTCCTTGTGCGTACATGGATCAGAAGGAAGGTTCTGGCACAGACTCCCCATAAAGGCATCCCTGCAGGGCAGACTCCTTGCCGAAGTTGGGGGTCTGGGAGCTGGACGGGCCGCCCGCGCTGGGCGAGGATGCAAGGACGCGACGCCCACGAAGCACCGGGCACAGGGAGGGCTCAGTGGATGCTTGCTCTTGGGACGACTTCCTGTCTGGCGGCTGCTCACCTGGCCTGTGTGGATGGGGCGGCCCTGGGAGGTGGGTGCTCGTCTGCCGAGGGGCTCAGAAGATGTCGTCTCCGCAGGACCTCGAAAAACACCCCCAGCCGCGGGGGCGGGGGGCTCCAAAGGAGGACCCGCTATGGTTACAAATTGGGGGCGGGCTTGTGCAGGCATTTCTGTAATAGTTAGCATTTCTTAAGTACGAGCGTGGAGCCTGCGTTGCTTTTGTATTCAGAACAAAACCCGGAAAGATAAACTAGCAAATCCTCCCCAAGCCCCATGTGCTCGTCTTTGCGGGCAACCGTGGTCCTAGCTGGGAGGGCCGGACCGTGGCCAAGCGTGCGACCTCCCGAGGCGAGGAGGAGGGGCCCCGGAGCCCAGGGTCGGGCTCGCGGTTTCTGCTCCGATGAAGACCCCGTGGGGATTCGGGGGGTTGCACTCTGTACTTCTTATTTGCCCTGAAACATAAATACCAGGGCGTGTTTCTACCCTGGAGGGAAAAGAACGGCCCCCCGTCCGGGAGGGCTTCCCGGTCTCCCGAGAGTCCCCGCACCGGTGAGCACCGTGCCCCCTGCACAGAGGTCACGGCAAGACAGGCCGATTTCTGTTTTTCACACCTAAAACATTAAAAAAAAAGATTTTATTTATTTTTTAGAGGAAGGGGAATGGAGGGGCAGAAACACCAATGTGTGAGATACCTTGGTTATTTGCCTCTCATGCGCCCCCTACTGGCGGCCTGGCCCGCAGCCCAGACATGTGCCCTGACTGGGAATCGAACCTGCAACCTTGCGGTTCCCAGGCCGGCACTCAGGCCACTGAGCCACACCAGCCCGGGTCTACTTAGGCATTTAAAGAAGGAAACCCTGCAACGCCGTGCAGCCACTAGGAAGGAACATAGGGGCGATAGCGCTGGAGCATCGCCACCAGCAGAGCAGCAGGGCCTTCGCTCTGGAGCTCTGCTGCGGGCCAGCGAGTGCGCCGGCCCCACTCTTGTCGTCCCCACAACCCGGTGGCGCTTTTATTACCTCCACATCACAGACAGAGCAGGGCGCTGGGGTGGCTCAGTGGACTGAGCACCGGCCTGCGGACCGAAGGGTCGCCGGTGTGACTCCCAGTCAGGGCACAGGCCTGGGTTGCGGGCCAGGTCCCCAGTGAAGCGTGTGTGAGAGGCAACCTATTGATGTCTCTCTCGCACGTCGCTGTTTCTCTCCTCTTTCTCCCTCCCTTCCCCTCTCTATAAAAGTAAAAAAATAAAATCTTAAAAAATTCCAGTGCATATGTTTTACCATGTAACACTCTTCTTTGAGATGAGGAAACTGAGAAAGGGGAGTGTTAAGCTATTCATCCAGGGTCACATAGAAAGTGGCAGGCCCAGGGTTTGAACCTAAGTCTGTCATGGAAGATCACACTTCCAGCTCCAGTCCCCACTGGCTCACAGTGAGTAGTAAGAAGCACGTGTGTATAATAACACCATTAAAATTACACAGTACAATATGTAAAGAATATGCTCCTGGATAGTGTTTTATTTATAGATAAAATTATATGTAATTTAACATGCAATTGTATATAATATAAACTCAATAAATGCTATATATGAAACAGTGTTACCATTTAAAACTCCTTCTATACTATCAATTATAGTTCATTTGTGTCCTAACCAATGATGTTATTTCAAAAGACCATTCCTGGAATATGTTGCACTGAGAATATGTGGCTTCTTTTGAAAATACTGGGTGATTACTAAGACACATTGTTAAAGAAAAAAAAGATACAAAAATGTGTGTATGTGTGTGTGTGTGTCATATAACAATTTTGCACCAAAAAAACCCCCACCCCACACCATGTATTTTGAATGTATGGAAAGAAATGGGAAGAAAATGCCCCAAATTTTTCACAGAAATTATAAGTGGGTGGGTGGTTGGCCTGTAAGTGGCTTTTATTTTGTTTCTTGATTTTTGAGGCCAGACCACGACATTCGGGCGTCGCACACAGGCTGATGTTTGGCATTGCTTCCAGCTGGTGCTCTTCCAACTTTTGTTCCACATTTACTGAGTGGACAGGGAGAAACTGGTAATAAGTAGTTGATCCATAGTGTGTACCCATATAGATTCACTTCCTGATTGATTCCACAGACCAAAGGGCGTTCATGTTCTGGGAGGACATTATCGCCCACTTTTCTACGGCTCTCATCCTCTCTCTCTGTAAACTTCCAACACCCACCATTTATTGGGAGACACACTGGTTTAAAATGTAGACACTAAAATAAGTTACCCGCTCCTAGCCCTTGGCCTGGCCTAACTTGGTGTCCGAGTTGCAGCCGACGGCAACGTGCCCGGCACGGAAACGCCGCCCAGGCTGGCGGCGGCGAAGACTGGTGCTGCTTGTCTGGTTTTGAAAATATTTCTCTCTTTCTCGCATTTTGCCAGTTGCAGGAGCCCCATGTGGGGACCTGCATTGGCCCGCACCTTGTCTCCATCGGAACCCACAGGCATGTTGGCACCCGTTGCTTAATTCCAGAAAACTTGGAAAGCACATAGAGAATGACCTTCCAAATCTGGAAGCAGCCCTCACAGAGCAAACCGGGGAGGGTCCCTTTTCTTCTGTTTCTGGGAGAGTGTGAGGAGAATCGGTATTCCTGCTGAAGCATTTGGTGGACTTTACCAGAGGAAGTCTTCTAATTACTAATTCAATCCCTTTAGCTGTTGTAGGTCTAGTCAGACTTTTTGTTTCCTCTGGGGTCAGTTTTGGTCATTTATATCATTATGGACTTTTGTCGATTTTGTCTGAATTATTTGATTTGTTGGCATACAGTCGTTCATACACCTCTTTATTTCTGTAAGATGGGTCTGACGTTCCCTCTTCCATTCCTGATTTTAGTAATTTAGCCATTTCCTTTTTTTCTTGGTGAGTCTGGCTAAAGATTTGTCAATTTTGTCAATCTTCTCAACGAATGGTGGCTTCTTAGATGTTCATTTTAAAAACTGTAACACCTACGTTATACGTGCCTTCCATATAATCTTTTGTCTATGTAAAATATTGCAGAATAAAACTGAAAAAGAAAGGAAAAAGGAATAATGGCGCAGTTAACTGTCCTAAGAAACTTACAAGGGCCGTAGGTCCTATATTTGCATTCCACACTAAGTGATTCGCTTATTCATGGAAACTAATTTATGACTTCTTGAGGGTTCTGTCTTTTCGATGAAACTAACGTCTGCTCCGGGAAGCAAGGGGGTAGCTGATACAAGTGAGCTGCTTAGGTGATAACACGGACCAGCGCTCACGCCTGCGCTCATGGTGTTGACAAATTGGGCGCTGCCGTAGGGCCAGCGTGGAAAGCACCACAAACTGAGCAGCTAAACCCTGCAGAAACTTACCCTCTCACACGAGGCAGGAACCAAGGGGCCCGCGCAGCCGCGCGCTCTGAGACCCGTCGGGGAGAGCCCTCCCTCGCCTCTCCCAGCTTCTGGTCCCTCTGGTCCCCGGCGTCACTTGACTGAAACCGCGTCATTCCACCCTCTGCCTCTGTCATCCCAGGACCATTCCCTGCCCCCGTGTCTCCCTCCTCTTCTTGTAAGGACACCCCCTACGTTGGATTAGAGGCCCACCCTGCTCCAGTGTGGTCTCATCTTAACGGCGCCTGCCATGACCCTATTTCTAAATAACCTCACACTCCGAGGTACCAGGGTTACAGATTCCACATTTATTTCCTGGGGGAGGCAGTCAGCCCCCAACAGGCATGTCCTGAGCTCACCGGGAACATTTGTCTGTTAACTCTCCGATTTTTAGAAGTACATCAAAAGTGCCGCTCTGCTTACCACGCGTTTTGTAAACCTCTTCCCTAGATTCAAGACATGTTTAACGAAATCAAATTCAGTGAGTATGTGGACACCGGGAAGACAATTGACAGCGTCAAATTACCAGATTTCCTCAAAATTTACCTGAATCACCGGCCACCCTTCGGTAACACCCTGAACGGCATCCAGAGGAGCTTCGACATTTTGGGTCACACAAACTCGAGAGGACAGAAGGTTATTCGAAGAGAGGATTTCCTGAAACTGCTTCAAACTAAAGGTGGGTGCCGACATAGGGGTATCTCGTAGCTGCCTTGGGCCCTTCCCCCTGGACAGAGATCAGCAGCGGGGACAGACCCCTGGCGTCTTTAATTTGACAGGACTCCCCGCTAAGGGACACACTGGTGACCCACATAGCCAGCAAAGGGGGACCCACGGGAAGGAGGCTGGCCCGGGGACCGGAAGAGTGCCAGTTCTGTTCCCGGGTCCCGAAACCTCAGGACTCAGCGTCCTCACTTGTCAAACGGGCAGGAAAGCGCCAGCCGTCAGTCTCCCAGGGCGATGAGGAGGTGCGACGGTGACACACAACCACCCCAAAGCCCTGTGTTTTCTTCTCCCCTGCTGTTCTCCTTGGTATTTTCCATGAGGCCGTCAAGTCAGCTTTCTCCGTGGGTGACCGTTTTATCTCAGTCACACTCGGGGACCAGGTGGGGGGCGTGAAAGGAAGCGGAGGTCAGCGGCCTTGATCAGAAAGTTGTCTCCTTTCTCCCTACAAGCCCCAGAGTACGTCCCCTGTGGGAGTCCCGTGCTGAACGCCGCGCAAAGATATGCATAGGACAGCAACACGGGGCTCTCTCTGGATGGTTTTTGTGTCTCAGGAAAAGGAGGTTGTGAAGTCCTTCTCCTTCAGCCCCGCAAGGATGCCACTGAGCTCGACGTCATGCTTAGTTCTAAGAGCTGACACCGCCTCTTCCCTTTGCGATCCCCAGGTGAGCACATGACGGAGGAGGAGATGTCCGACTGCTTTGCAACGCTGCTGGGCCTGCGCCCCGAGGGCTGGAACTCAGAGCCCCTGGCGGCCTCCTGCGACAGAGGTACGGGGTGTGCACACACCTGCGCCAACTGAAACACGCTGTGTGCTCCGCAAGGCACAGGCCGCCCTCCTGCCACCTGGCCTGTGGCAAACACGTCTCTCGGGACCCCATGTGAATGAGCTATGAAAAGGCCAGTGAACGGTGGCCGTGCCGTGTCCATCCTTCCTTTGAGCCTCTGGCCTTGCTTTTTCCTCCAGCCCACTGGCGCGGTCCCCCTCTTGCCAGCCTGGGTGGGCAATCACTGGCCACTGGTGGCCAGTGCGGTCCAGAAGCTGTTCCAGAAGAGGAGGGCTGGTCGGGGCACTGGAGCAGCAGAGGCGGCGCAGGGCTGGCCTCAGGCTGCCAGCCTCTCGGGTTCTCCTCGGCCGTCCTTCCCTCCGTTCCCCAGGAGCCCTGCCTCCCCGTGGCCACCGCAGGGAGGACAGCGGCCCCGAAGGGTGGGCTGCAAGTCTCAGCTCAGGAGGAGGCAACGCAGCCCCGGCTCCTGGGCCTGCCCGTGTGCAGAGGCGTCCGGTGACAGCCCTGCCCGCCGGGCCGACGGCCCCGTGGAGGCCAGAGACGCCGCTATTGTTGCAACTGGAGTCAGGAGCACAGACTGCGCGCCAGGCTTCCTTCTCCCTCTGCTCGCATCGCGTGTCCCCGGCCTCAGCGGACACAGAGCTCCTCGGCCCCGCTCTGGACCCCGGAGTCTGATCCGGCCGTTGCCAAGCCCGTCCCCGCTTCTCACGTTCTTGGGGCCTCAGGATGTGACTTTCCCAATTGTTACGTATTTGTGTCCTGTTCCTAAGTGTCTCACAGCAATAAAACCAGCAATACCCTGTAGCCAAGGCTTTCCAAGGAGGATCGCAGAGACCCGGGTGGCGGGCGGTCCACGCTGTAAAGGGCAGGATTTCCACCGGTCTCCCCCGGGGGGCGTCCAGGAGCCGGGGCCAAACCCCAGCATAGCCCCTCTCACTTCTTAGCATCGTGTCCTTGTGTTTTTGAAAAATGCTTCTGAGTGAAAAACCTAATGATCATGAAAACATTTGTTTTCTTGTTCTATTAGGTTCAGAAATACACTTTGAAGAAGAGCTTCCAGACGAAATCACTGCGGAAATATTCGCGACTGAAATTCTTGGCTTCACCATTTCGCCCGACGGCACACAAGACCCGGCGGGTGGGCCGTGAGGCCGCGGGAGCATCAGAAGCCCGGGGGGCTTTGTGTGGGTCCCCCACCAAGAGGCAGTCCTGTCCCTCCCCCCCTCTGATCTTTAGATAATTTAGGCATTAAAAACAGTAGAATTCACAAAGTTGGACATTCCACTGTTTCCAAAACCGACGAGCAAAAAGCAGGGCCAAGGCTGCCTGCGGGGTGTGACCGGCGCAGAGGTGCTGTGGTCTCTGGGGGCGGAGAGGGCCCCGGCCAGCCGCTGGCCTTCCTAGGACACGTGTGACCCCATTCCCTCCCCTCAGATGGAGCTCGGGCCCCTTGGCCTGGTGGGGCCTAGTGGGGACCGGGCCCCCCGCCTGCTGCGAGGCTGGGGCTGGGGCACTGGGATCTCGGGGCTCCGGAGACTGCCTTGCTCACGGTTTCCGACCGGCAGAACACCCGAGCGGTCGCGTGCGGCCGTTAGGAGGAGCATCACCGGTCATGCGTAACCCGGGCAGTAGCTGTCGGGGAGCGCGCCCCACATGCCCGAGAGCCCTGTGTGCTGCACCTGGACTGGGCCGCAGGGCTGCCCGCCTGCGGGGCAGAGCTGAGCAAGCAGAGCCCGGGGCCTCCCCTCCCCCACCTGACACACACACACACACACACACACGCACGCAGAGCAGACACCGGCCGGGCTCATCTGCTGCCTCACCCGCCACTGGCTTCAAGACACGTTGCAGGAAACAGGCCAGTCCCCCAGCGCTGGGTCATTTAGGGACCATCACGAAGTTTTCAGTGCTGTTCTGACATTAAAAATGAAGAACTATCATCGCGTCAACAGGTGAAAGTTAAGGTCTGATTTTAGTTTTGTCCTCAGTTGCGAGGCCTCCTCATTCAGGCAAACCGGATGCCCTGCTCCACACGCACTCCGTTCTGCCCGCTCTCCCCACCCAGGCCCTTCCCGGAGGAGCTGGCCTCTCAGGAGCGTGTCTGGTCCCACCGAGGTGCTGGGCGCCAAGGGGCCCGGTGCGTGGGAGGGACATGACAGCGGTGGCCTCGCGGTGCCAGAGCCGCCCCCGCCCTCCCACTGGCACGGGGAGGCTTTGGAGCCTGAATGTGGACCGGAACCAGGACTCTGAGCCAGACTGTCGCTGTGGCCTCGGGGCAGACGGCCTGGGCCGAGCTTCGACAGGCACCCGCCGGTCACGTTGTCACCGGCACTGGTTTACATTTTGTTCTTTTTTAAAAAACACCAAAGAAAAACAAGCTCTATGAATCAATTTTGCAGCTGCTAAGGGCTTCAGAGACATATTACCAAGCCAGTTAAAAAGTTCCTGGGGACATTTTAGGCGACAGGAAACCCTCAAATGACTTGTTCTTTTCAAAAAAACAACAACAACAACAAAAACCCCTCAGAACTGGATGCAGCCTGGACACCAACCATCACTTTCTGTCATTGAGTCCGGCACACTCTGATTTCCTTCTTATCGGGTACTTAATGTTGGAATAATTGTCTTCAGCTGAGCTGACCAGGGACCAGTTGGACCCGCGGTGGCTGGACCCCTGTCAAACCCAGGCAGAGACGCACCCTCTGCCCTGAGCCAGCTTCCGAGTCTCTAAGTCAGTGTGAGGCGCTGGTTGCACTGTTCACCTGGGAAGGCCAGAACAGCAAGGGGCGGCCAAATGCATGTCCAGGACGCCCCACGCCGCCCCCAGCCCAGCGGGGCCTGTGGACCCGTTTCTGCAGGTGCTTTTGTTTCGGCGTCTCTCGGCCAGTGTGACAAAGAGCCGCTCTGTGCACCTTTCCGCCCCAGGAGGCCACGCCCCCTCCCGTCCCTGGGAGGCCCAGCCTGCTGGCCACACAGGGCGTGGGGAGGAGGGACGTCGCCCCGGGGGGCGACCTTCCTGCCAGGTGAGCAGGCAACTCAGGCTGGACTTCCAGCAGAGCAGCGACTCCAGAAAGGGAGGCAGGAGAGGCTGAAGACAGGATCGTGGGGCTTACACATCAAGTCTTAGGGACAGAACACTGACCACCACATAGCACGCGGCGATGTCCCTTTGAGAAAAGAATGCTATTTCCGATGGGGCTTGGGGCTCCCGACCAACCCTTCCCGTTTGTCGCTCGTGAGTTCAGGGGCCTGCACCACGGCGGCAGCGTCTCCCAGGGACCACCGAGGGCCTCCCCAGGCCCCGCTCCCCACTCCAGACCCCGCCTCTGCTGCGTGTACTTCAGCCCCGGCCCGGCTGGGCGGGTTTTCTGCCTCTGCTGTTGGGTAGCCCCTGGGTGCCCCTGGGGGTGGCCACGCTCTTAAACCACAGCTTCCTCCTGGAACAACTCCTGGGGCGGCGGTGAAGACTCAAAGAGTCGGCGCGAGGGAAGAGTTGGTTACTGGCAGGAGGCAGCACTCAAAGTAGGACAGCAGCTATTATTACAGGCAGACGCCGGGCCTGGGACCTGGGAGGACATTTGATGAGAACGAAGCGCTGCAAGTTCCCGGCTCGAGCCCCCGCCCGTGCTCCCACCGGCTTGGACAGTGGGCCCTCGATAAATACTCGTTGGGTGATTGAACAAATGAACTTGAAGCTTCGGTGCGCTTTTAGGAGCTGACGCGGCCGTCAGAGCCAAGCGCCTGCCAGCCCTCACAGGTCCTCTCCCTTGGGGTGGCAGGCTCTCCCCAAGAGGGGCCGGGGAGTCATCGCCGCGGCCCGGCCAGCCAGCGGGGCCCTGTGTCCGCCCCGGACAGGGCCAGGGCCTGGGCAGCCACAGCCGGTCCAGGAAAGAGTGCCGGCGGCCCCGTTCCCATCCGACTCGGTTGTGGACGCTGCAGTTTGGAGTTCCTGATAATATCCATGCGTCATGAAACTGTCTTCTCCTTTTAATTATTTCAACCATTTGAAAATGCAAAAGCCATTCCTGGCGAGCGGACCACATGGAAACAGCGGCTCCGACTCGCCCCGCCCTGCAGGCTGGAGTAGGCGGGGCCCGCAGGCCAGCATCACGCCTTCCAACAAATGGTTACAAATACAGTGCATCCGTGCAAACTACTGACTGGTACTCTTCAAAAATGTCAAGGTCATGGCCAACTGGAAGAGACTGAGAAATGGCCCCAGACTGGAGGAGCGAAATGCGATGAAGTGCGAAGTGGGAACTGGGGTCCTGGAGGACGTGGCAAAGCCAGGCCGGAGCCTGTGGTTTCGATGGCTCTGTCATGGCTGCACAGGACGCGCACACGAGGGCAGGTGGGTGGCAGGCCCTCAGGGACTCTCGCCTCTGCCTGTGTGACTCTCCTTAAACCTGAATGGTTTCAAAACATGGGGGAAAATGAAATCTGCACCCCCTTTTGGACTCAGTCACCCCTGGGTTTGCCTGCACCCTGCCCTCCGCCTCCCAGGGCTCAGGCGAAGGCCCCCAGCACCCCGTGCAGATGGCCCTTCTGTGAAGACCAGAGCCCTGAAGCCATGGCTGCGCTGGGGACCGGTGTTGCCACCCTGGGCGGGTTCCTCGGGGATTTGGCCAGCGTTTCCCTGCAGGTAGCTGCTTCAGAACTGAGGGCCATAAACAGGCACAGGGCACTGGGGACCGTCAGCGAGTTGCCACCCTACTCATATGTCATCTAACTACCCCCTGCGAACGTAGCTTAAAGGAATAGTAAAAAAAAACCAAACCCAAACAACCCAGGTTGATGCAACATTCTTCAATGGCAGTGCAATACTGCGTGTAGGGACCAACCTCAGGGGACAGGGGACAGTGGGGTCCCTGTGCCCTTTAGCTTGTGTTTTCCTGAGCTGCTGAAAGGCCTCCAGGTAACAGTGGGTACTTTTTTTAACAGTTTGTTTGTTTGTTTATTTATTTATTTACAGAGAGGAGAATGGGAGGAGAAAGAGAGGGAGAGAAACATCCATGTGTGGTTGCCCCTTGTGCGCCCCCTACTGGGGACCTGGCCCACAACCCAGGCATATGCCCTGACTGGGAATCGAACCGGTGACCCTTCGGTTTGCAGGCCAGTGCTCAGTCCACTGAGCCACACCAGCCAGGGCAACAGTGAGTATTTGTCAGTGCCCAGGTGAGAGGCATCAGGCCCCGGGAAAGATTGCTGCCCACCATGGGCTCCGCTGCCTCCTATTTATTTATTTATTTATTTACCTATTTATGTATTTTAGAGAGAGAGAGGAAGGGAGAGAAGAGAGAGAGAGAAACATCAATTTGTTGTTCCACTCACTTAGGAATTCACTGGTTGATTCCCGTATGTGCCCTGACTGGAGATCGAACCCGCAACCTTGGTATATCAGGATGACGCTCTAACCAACTGAGTGACCAGGCCGGCCTCCGTGGCCTCCCCTGACGGCCGAAGCCACCGGTGGGGCCGTGGAGGGGCCCAGACACCAAAGTCACTCAGGCGGGAGGGGCCAGCCCTTACCTGCTGCCCGCACCCCTCCGTTCCCTTGCTGTGCTGGTAGGAAGTCAGGGGCGCTGCCACACAAACGTGGCATCTGTTTTCGTATCTCGTACTCTTTAAAGCGAGTGGGGTGTTTTCTTTGGGAGGGGGACAAGCTTAGCGCAACCAGCACCTACTGCCAACAGCCCGCCGGACAGCACAGACGCGCGTGCTGCGGAGTGTCCCCCCGCCGCGTGTCTGCCCGGGGGAGGGTGGCGGGAGGCGGGGCGGCGGGGCGGCGGACCACGGGTCTGACGCGCGGAGAAGCTGAGAGCCACTCGTGGAAAGAGGGGGAGAACATTCCAGACGGCGGGAGCAGTGAGCGTCAAAGCCAAAAGCCACGCACAAGTCACCTGTGGGTCCTGCCCTGAAGCGGCTGTATTTTTTCACACAATAGTCCGAGGTGGAATCGCCCCCGGGGGGTTTCAGCCCCATAAATGTTGGTATATCTTCTTCATAATTTTTTTTTAGGGATAGCAGTGTTTTTTAGAAAAGGTAACCACAACTTTCTCAGTGATCTTGTTGTCCCTTTGTGCACGGCCCCGTTTGACGGCGCCGGTGCCGGAGCCCCGGGTGGTCGCCAGGAGGCAGCCTGCCGTGCAGCAAAGCTTCCACACGCACTTGCCACTTGCCTCTTCCTCGGGGTCCTGCTGGTCACCTCTGCCTTCCCTACTTTTCTAAACAGCAGTAACGTGTAGCCTGCAGATCCTCCAACGCACGGTGGGCCCCGTGTTGACACAGCGCACTGGTGGGCCCCGTGTTGACACAGCGCACTACGCAGAGATGCAGTTCTTGCCCTTAAGAAGGTTACATTGTAGCGAGGGAAGCACCAGTAATTACAGTATCTTGTGACAGGACCCAGGGGCATGCTGAGCAGGTGGGTGGGAAGGAGGAGGAGGTGCGGGAAAGCCGAGGAGGAATCACACAAATGAGGCACTCTGAGCCCATCTGAGGGGGGCCTGAGGTTGACATCCGGGCGGAGGCCTTGTGGGCTGAACCGAGGACAATGAACTTGATTAAAACGAAGGAGGACAAGTGGGTTAGGTTTGCATCTTAGAGGCACAGGCCTAGGCATTGGGCAGAAGGGGGTGTCGGGGAAAGGGACAATGGCAGGGAGACATTTCGATAGTTGGGGGACAGCCGAAGGCGAGGCATTCAGGAGCGTAGTGACTGGGGGGGCCGCTGGAGTGCGGTCTCAGTCGCGATCCCTGGTTTGGGGCACAAGAAACGGGCTCTGGTTCATGTAGGCGGAAAGCGACTTCATGGAAGACGATCGGGTAACTCACAGAATTGATGGGGAGGCTGGAGAAGCAGGTTCTGAAAATGACCGGGGACCAAAGGCCGCCGGGATGCCACCGGCCCTGGGAGCTCAGGGCCTGCCGGCCTCTGAGGCTGCCCGTGGGCACTGCGCTCTGAGCCATGTGTCCCCCGCCCCGACTCGCTCTCCAGAAATCAGAGTCAGCGTCCAAGCCACAGCGCGATACCACTTCACCCGCGCGGGGGTGGCTGAAGTGAAAAAGGCAGACAATAGCACGTGTTGGCGAGGATGTGGAGAAGCTGGAAGCCTCCTTTGTTGCTACTGGGAAGGTACCATGGGGCAGCCACTTTGGAAAAACAGTTTGGCACATCCTCAAAATGCCAAACATACACTCGCCACCATGGCCCAGCCATGCCACTCCTAGGTAGAGAGGTAGGAGTGATCAAAATGCACATCTGCATACAGACCTATATGCTAATGCTCTTAGCGACGTTGTTCATAATCGGCAAGAGGTGGAAAAACCCAACGTCCACACACGATGGATGGATAAACGGAACAGGATAAATCCGTGCAATAGACTGTCATTCCGTCACAAAAAGGGCTGCAGCGTTAATGCCCTCCACAGCGTGGGCGAGCCTTGCAGGTACGCCAAGTAAAAGAAGCCGGACACAAAGGACACATGGTTTCTCTGGTGTGAAATGTTCCGAACAGGCAAATCCGCAGAGACGGGAAGCAGGCGCGCGGGCCGCAGCGGGGCGGGGCGGGGGGGCGGGGGGAGCAGAGGCCAGACCGCCAAAGAGGAGAGGGGTTTCTTTTTCGGACGACAAAAATGTTCTAAAATGGATTGTGGTGACGGTTTCACAACTCAGTGAACATAGTAAAAACCACTTTAAAAGGCTGTCCTTTATGGTATGTTGATTATATTTTAACAAGGCTATTATTTTTGAAAAATCAACTGGCTAGACCATCTGCCAACGGGTTAATGCCCGGACCTAATTCTCCGGGGGAAGAGAGAGACGGGCCCCTCTGGTTCCTGAGGTGGGGGGCGACTTCACCCCCAAAGGCTCTACCAGAACTCAGAGGGGCGTGAGGCCGCCGCAGCGGCTGCCACGTGGGAGTGAAGCAGCTGCCACCTGGGCAGCCTTCTAGATTCCCGACCTGAGAATCCGCCAAGCCTGTTCATGGACGGATTCCAGCTTCGCTCTGGGTCACTGGGTCGTGACCAGACAGTCTGCGTTTAATCATTCATTGTTAGAAGCCTGTCTGGATTACACAGGCTCACCTTTGAACACATCAGTCTTTCGATGGGAAGCGCTTTATATCTACTATCTCTCTGCCTTCACATGACTTCAAGTGGCCCGGACGCCGGGCGAGCCGACGGCGGCATCGATGAGTCTGCGGGTCGCCGTCCCACCAGCATCTGGGCTGCTGACGGTTTCTGTAGTTGCGGTTGGGGCGAGACAAAGTTCTGAGAGGCAGATCGCAGGGTTTGGTTTATCAAAAACTTTTTCCCCCCCAAGGCCTCTCCTGTCTATTTGAAACCCATGCTCAGGCTCACCCTTTGGGGGAGACCTTCCCCACAATCATTCGGGACCCTGTTAGGCCCTGCCGGCGCTGTGCTGGTAAATGTTACCAACCAGCTCTGGGTGGGGTGGGGAAAGGGTGCTGTGCGCACGTAGCACCTGCCAATGTCCATAGTGTAAATGTTCCCACCCCGCTGATTACTAACCACCAACACTGGGTTGTGAGCACAGAGCTGGGAAGTGCAGGCCTGCTGGCCAGCTGCCTCCGTCGCCGACCCCACCCTCAGGGTACAATAAGCGACACTGTCTTGCTCAGTTGGGCAGCCTATATTGACATCACCTGGGTGGTCCAGGCACCCACAGCCCTGACCTGCGACGCAGGTCACACAGGACTTAGCCGTGTCCGCAGGGGCCCAGCAGAGCAAACGTAAAGCATCTCTCAGGGAAGGTGCCTTCACCCTGGGCTGTAAATTATCCCTATGTTTTTAAAAGATTTTATTTATTTTTATTTTTTAAAATAATTTATTTTTATTTATTTTTAGAGAGAGAGGAAGGGAAGGAGAAAGAGAGGGGAGGAAACATCGATGTGTGAGAGAAATACCAGTGCGTTGCCTCGTGCACTTCCCCCACTGGGGACCTGGCCCATAGCCCAGGCGTGTGCCCTGATCGGGAATCAAACCTGTGACCTTCCGGTTGGCAGGACGGTGCCCAACCCACGGAGCCACCCCAGCAGGGCCACACCTATTACTACATTTTAAAACACAGCGTTCAGCATGGTCAAAGGAGCCAGGCCAGCCACAAGGAAATAAGACACCATGAGCAAGGACTAGTAGAAACAGACCCTCAGACACTTCAAATATTAGAATTATCGGACCCAGGCTATAAAACAACTGTGCTTTGATGAAAGAAAGATGCCTTTGAGCATCTGCAGGGCGCAGGAAACTATAAAAGGTGACATACTAGATTTATAAAGAACATTTGTAGAAAGCTTTACAGTTTAATCAGAGATCAAAACCAAATTCCTTCAGGGGCCATCTGGTTACCCACGTGAGTAAAGTGACCGGTGACACGCTGGTGACCTGCAGAGGTTTGCCTGAGGGGCACCGGGCTCCTCGGCTCCAGCTGACCCTTGCCATGTGGCACTGGGGGCTCGTCTGTAGATCTCCTGCTGTTTCTGCAAAAGCTGGATATTTGGAGTTCTTTTTATTGTAGTAAAATTCACAAACCGTAAACTTGACCGTCGTGAGCATTCTAAAGTGTACCGTTCGGGGGCATTAAGTACATCCACAATGCGGGGCAATCATCGGCCCTAGAACTTTGTCATCACCCCAAAAGGAAACCCCGGGCCCACTGGAAGTCGCTGCCCATCCCCTGGCCCCTGGCAACCACCGAGCTGCTTTCTGTCTCTGCGGCTTCGTCGGGTGGACATGTCTCAGGTAAGCGGGTCACACGGTGTCTGTCCTCTTGCGGCTGGCTTCTCTCGCTTGGCACGTTTCCAGATGCATCCAGGTTGTGGCGTGTGTCAGCGCCTCGTTCCTTTTTGAACAGCTGGGTAGATGTACGCGTTGATCCGTTGATATCTGGATTTCTGACACGCCATCTTCCTCTTTTAAGCATATGGGACGCTTCTGCGCGGCTCTAGGCACACATCCGCTGACCTGACTGGGGCGGCGGGCGACAGGGCGAGGCCTCTGCTAGGGACTCACTGTTAACAGCACAGCGCCTCAGAACGAGTCTCTGAAGCGCGTGTCCTCTTCCTCTTTCCCGTTAGAAACTCGGGGTTCGGCCGGTGGGGAGACACGCCTCGGCAAAGGCCTGCTGCGCAGCCCCCCGCCCACTACCCGGTAGCTTTCCTACCCCAGAGCGAAACATCAGGGCGAACGGCTTGGTTCTAGGGTGAGTGGGAGTCAAAGAGCTGACTCATGGTTGCGACCCTGAACTGCCCTGTGACTCAGTTTCCCCACGCGTGCTGGAATAGTTTCTCTCCAAGGCCCGAGCGTGCGGCCAAGGCCCCTCCCACTTTCCCCAGCATCCTTCCGGGCACGGATGAGCTCTGGCCAGGTCGGTTTCGCAGCACCTGAACACAAAGGTGTGGCACCTGGGTTGTCCTGATAACCGTAGATTCCTCCACAGAGCTGTCCGGGGGCAGGACGGGGAAGAAGCAGCCTCCAGAGTCCTCCAAAATGCCGGTCGTCAGTGAACTCCCCCTGCCGAAAGCCACTTAGTAAGCAAGGGCGAGTGTCTCTCGTGGTCTGCCCCCGGCCCAGGCACCTTTCTCCCGACCCTAGTTTTCCAAAAGGAGCAGGAAAGGGAAGCGACGTCCTAGCCCGCGTGCTAACGCGCGGCAGAGTGTTTCTCAACTCTCCAAGAGCACCTCGCGTCCTGGATCGCCGCCTTCAACTCCGCGAAGTCAAGAGCCCCGCAGGAAACTTGCGTTACTGCACCCGTTGCCGCAACCCGGGGCGGCGGACGGGCCGCCGGGCTGGCTCCCACGGAAGGCGCCCCCTCCGCGGCTGGCCCGCCCTCCCCGGGGGACCCCGCGGCACCTGCGGCCTCCGGGTGAGCGTCGGCGCGGCCGCCCGCCCGCCGCCCCCGCCGCGTGCCGGAGGCCGGGTCGCCCGCCGCCCCTCGCCGCCTCCCCGGGGTGGGTGGGAGGCTGGTGGCCCGGCGGCGGTGGCGCCCGGAGGCCGCACTGCTGGCGGCGGTGGCGGCGCTGCGCCCCCTGCTCGGTGCAGCTGCCGCCCGGCGCTTGCGCACTGGGCCCGGGCGCGCGGCGGCCCCGGCTTTGTGTGTGTGTATGTGTGTGAGTGTGTGAGTGTGTGTGAGTCTGTGTGTGAGTGAGTGAGCGGCGGGCGGGCGCGAGTGTGGCCGCCGCGGAGCGCGAGCAGGACCCGGCGGCGCGCTCGCAGCCTCTCTCTCCCCGCCAGAACCATGTCGGGCAGGTCGGTTCGAGCCGAGACCAGGAGCCGGGCCAAAGATGATATCAAGAGGGTCATGGCGGCTATCGAGAAAGTGCGCAAATGGTAAGCGGAGGCGCCGCTGGGCGCCGCGGCCGCCCGACCCCAGATCACATACAAAAAGCCGGCGGGCGCAGCGCCCGGCCGCCCGCGGGCCCGGGAGTTGGAGAGGGCGGGCGGCGCGCCAGCCGGGTCACCTGCGCGAGGCGGGGGCCGCGGCCGCTGCCCAGGTGCGCTCGCGCCTGTCGCCCACCTGGCGCGGCGGTGGCGGCGGCAGCCCGGAGGCGGGGGCACCCCGGGCCGGGCGGCCGAGCGGCAGGCAGTCCCCGCCGCGGCGCTCGGCTCCCGGGAGGGGGGCTCGGGGCCGGCCCCAGAAGCCATTTCGTTTTGTGCAAGTCACATGAAAGCGGCTTCCCGCGCGCCGGGGCCGCGATGCCGGCGGCGGAGGGGAGAGCGCGAGCTCCATTGTGCAGCGCCGAGCGGGCCGCCGCCGTCTCCGTCTCCTCCCCGCGCGCCCCGGGCGGCGCAGTGTGCCGGCCCCCGCGCCCTTGCCCGCGCCGGGCCTCCCTCCCTCGCTCCCTCCCCGGCTGGCTCCCTCGCTCGCTCGCTCGCTCGCTCGCTCGCTCCCCGCCTCCCAGGCCCGGCGCCCTCGAGTCTGCGGAGTTTGCAGAGCGCGAGCCGTTTAAATTTAGCGCTTTGGGCTGCCTGGAGCGAGGGCTCTAGGCGGGGAAGCAAGATGGGGGCGAGCGCGAGGAGGGGACGCCGCGGGGCCCGGGGCGCCGGGCACCCCCTGCGCCGTCTCCGCCCGGCACCCGGGCGCGGAGCTCGGGCGAGCAAATGTTTTTGGCCAGAAACCGGTCCTGGGCCGCGTCTGCCTTCCCCAAACCAGCAGCTCGTGTTTGTTTTGCGGAGGGAGCCGTTGTTTTGTTCTCTGAGTGGGGGCACAGGGCGACTCGGGGTTGGCCTCCAGCTCGCGCTCGAGTGTCCGGTGTGGCCTCCTGGTAATTAATAGGACCGACCGTTTGCTCGGCCTCGGCGGGGTTTGACTCGGAGTCGGCCTGAGGGCCAGGCCCGAGGCGCAGCGGCTCGCCAGGTTGGGGCGGACTTGTTGAAAACTCCCAGCTCCCTGGTTTCAACTTTATTATTTTTTTTCCCACGGCTTCACCGGGGTCAGGGAGGGAGAGGAGCGTCGCTCTCGAGTGTCAGCGCCAGCGGGCTCGCCCCGACCCTTTATTTAAAGCCTGGAAATTGGTCAGGCCCCCCGTGGCGGACTGTGTTTATGTTTAGGGGTGTCATTTCTTGAGTAACGCCTTGGTCTCTAAAAACCACAGGGGGCGAGGATCCAGTCTAGCCGGGTCGCAAGTTAGCTGTCCTTTCTGAGTCAAACCCAACAAAAAAGGCAAGAGGAAAATCAATAAAGTCCACGTGCTCCTGGGCCTCCTATGGAAAGGGCTGTCTGCAGATGGCCGGATGCCCGGCGGAGGGCTGGGTTTGGCTCCGATGGGACAAAGAATTTTCAGAACCGTGAGAAGGGGAGGCCTTCCAAAGTTGAGATCCAAGTCTGCGGGGGCTGTGGGAGCTCCCCTCGTGCGCAGGGCGCCCCGCGCCCGACTGGAGCCATTTAAAAATGGCAGAAACAGCTGCAGGTCAGAACGCTCCCAGGAAAACAAGCCCGCAGCCCCCTCTTCCATGGGGTGCGGGGTGGGTGGAGGGAGGCTGGAGTTGTCCCCTTCCCGCCTGTGCGAAGAAGGGACTCGAGCCTGGGCCTGAGTCCCTTCTGCCACTGCCTGGAGGTGAGAAAGGGACTAGGGACAAGCTGCCACCCACTCTCTGTTCCAGGAGGCATGGTGGGACCTCCGGCCCAGGTCGCCCTGCACCCTGCCAGCTGCTCCTGGAGGGCCCGCCTGCCAGCTGCTTGCAGGGGGGCAGATGGAGCTGCGGGGTTTTCCAGCCTGCGGCCCCCCTGCAGGCCCGGCCTGCATGTGGGGGGAGGGGAGGAGAAGGGGAGGAGAACGGATCTCCGCCCGCCTTGTGTTTTGAGAAACAACTTGTCCCATCCTCTAAAGACCTCAGGCTCTGGGACCTCAGGGCGGAGCATCCAGGTCACTTCTGTGCCGTGACCTTGGGCAAACCCTGTAACTTCTCTAACCCTGCTGGCCAGGGGTTTCCTGGTGCTTTCTACCCCTACTCCCCCCCCATAAGGTCCCTAATCCCGCCCCCCCCCCCCCCCCCCCCGCCCCCGGATACCTCATCAAATGTTCTCGTTATTGTAAGGTGGGCTCTGTAGAAACATGCATTTATTTTGCAGATTTTTTTTTTAATTAACCCCCTGTCCCTCCTAAGCAAAAAAGACATTGCCTTATTTCTTGGGTTTCCCCAGTGGGGAGAAACCAAATCTCACCTTCCCGGTGCCTCTAGGACAGGATCCCCAGTGGGCCCTCCAGACTTTGGGTTGTTTATTAACTGTGGCCACCAACCATGCACCTCGCCGCCGGCTGGAGGCTGGGTTGCCAGATTTAGCAAATAAAATCACAGGACGCTAAGTTAAATTTGAATTTCAGGTAAACAACAAGATAATTTTTAAAAATACTTTAAAAAAATGCTAAGTATGCCCTGTGCACTATTTGAGACATACTTATACTAAAAAAGAAAAAAAAAATCAATCCATTGTTTATCTGAAATTCAAGTTTAATTCAGCATTCTCTGTTTTACCCAGAGGACACTGGACGCTGGCGTACTACTCAGCCTGGAAGCCTTGGGCGGCCCTTCTGCCCAGCCCCAGTGACCTGCAACCAACCCCTCTGCCAGCACCCCCGCCCCCGGAAGAAGCCAGCAGCCAGCCGTGACCGCCCCGTGCATAGCTGCTGCTCCTCCTCTCCTTTCTGTCTGGTGTCCCGGCAGGGCAGGGTAGTGGGGTGTGAAGCAGCCGGAAGATGGCTGAAGGAAGGACAAAATGGTGGGCCCCTTTTCGGATCCAGGCCCAGGCCAGGAGGCCCACTGTGGGCGGGGGAGAGCGGGGCAGGGAGTCTCTGGGCGGGAGGCGAAGGCTTGAGCTGAGAAGCAGGCTCAGGCTGCGGACCCCAGGCCTTTGGTCTAAAAGGTCCCTCAGTGACGTGTGGATACAAAGCGAGGCCTTCCCGCCTGTCGCTGGGGGAGGGGCGGTGTGTGCCTAGGGCCTTCCCCCCCGCAGTCCCTCGGGGGGGTGCCCCCCTGCCCGCACAGGGCAGGTCAAGTTAGGGAAGGCCAGCGGTCAGCCAGGCCTCCTGCGGTGTCAAGGACTAGCTCTGGGAGTGACTGCAAAGTGACGGAGGTAGAGCTCTCTTGGAGGCAGCCAGGTGACCCCAAGAGGGCCTTGCCCTTGGACCTGGACCAGGGAGAACATTGGAAATTGGCCTTGGCCTGGAGAACCCAGAGCGGGTGCCTGTGGTTTACGTAGGAGCCTGTGCTGAGGAGGGGAGCTCGGGGCTCTATTTCTGTAGCGAGGCCCTCACGTGGTCTTCATCCCGGAGCCCAAGTCTGACGGGGGAGAGAGAGGTACTTGGGCGTGGCTGGCGGCGCGGCCCGGGGCAGGAGGACTCTGGCTGCGTGCACGGCGGGCTGTGGCCTGGCGCGGGGTGGTGAAGGGCTCAGGGGTGGGGGCGGGGAGAGCTGGGCCACCCGAGGGAGAGGCGGTTGCCCCCGGTGGGGGCGCGGCGCAGGTCCGGGGGGCCCCTTGCGGTCAGACCATATTTTTTAAAGTAGTCAAGACTCTGGCTTTTTATGTTGTCTGACTCTTTTTTTTTTTTTTTTTGTAAAGTTGGGCAATTGATTCAGATTGTTTTAAAAAAGATTTTATTTATTTTTAGAGAGAGGAGAAGGGAGAGAGACAGAGGGAGAGAAACAACAGTGCATGGCTGCCTCTCGTGCGCCCCCCGCCGGGGGTCTGGCCTGCAGCCCGGGCCCGGGCCGACCCTTAGGTTCGTGGGCCGGCGCTCAGTCCACCGAGCCACACCAGCCAGGGCTGATGCGGATTTTTAGAAGTACCAGGCAAGCCACACAAAACGCGTCTGTTGGTCACTTGTTGCCACCTGTGATGTGAGGCAGTAACTAGAGCTTAATGCCCTCATGGCGGGGCGGGGTGCTGTATGCCCTGGGCAGGGGGGTTGGGGGTGGGAGTGGGAACTCAGCTGCTCCTCTGAGCCCCGGAGGTGTCTCCCGGGCGCTGCCAAGCCACCCGCCCCGTGAGCGCCCGGAGCTCCCGCTCCTTGCCTGTGAAACCCCTTCGGGCCCTCCCTGCTGCTCGCTGGGTGACTTGCACCCGAGCTCAGGGTGCTCCCTCTGCCTGGTGGCCACGGGCCGAATGGCAGGCCTCAGGCCGGGGTCTCAACTCTCGGCCTCCGTCACACGTGCCCGTGCCCACGCCTAGAGACGCAGCTGAAGCTCGGTGAGCTGGGGCCTCGGCCACTGGCTGCGTTGAGCTCATAACCTGCAGGGCCCATAACATCTCTGAGTAGCACCTGCAACTGCAAACATTCATCCTGGTTCACGTGGGGCCGGCAAGCCCACTTTCTGCCCAGGAAGGTGCCTTGTGTGTTGCAAGTCAATTACCTTTTTTTTTTTTTTTTAAACACAAAGGACAGATTTGCAGAGCGACTGGGGCCCAGCCCAGAAGGCCCGTGGAGGGCTTGTGGGTATGAGTGCGCCTTTGCTCACTTGTGCAGGATTCCAGCAGTTGGTGCTTTTGTCCAGCACCTGTCACTGCTGTGCTCTGGGGAGCGGGTTCCAGTGTCCATGGGAGACAGACCAGCAGAGGGCGGGCCCTGGAGTCAGCCCGTGTCCAGCCCCGGTCCTGCCCTTGACCCGCTGTGGGACCGTGAGCTAGTGGTATGGCCGCTCCGGGCCCCCCACCCCCCGCCTGTGCGGTGGTGTGAGAGCAGCCCACCCCTTCATGGGCCTGTTGGCGGCGATCTCTGGGAGAGAGGGCGCGTAAATAAAGTGCTTGGCACGAAGCCTCGGCACACAATGGCCATTATGATGGTGGCTTTGTCGCTGAGGCTGTTTCTTGGAATGCCCCCGTCCCTTCCTGGCACCTTCGGACGGTTCAGAATGGAGGTGGGGGAAGACCAGGGCCGGGGTTACCCACGCTGCCTCCAGGAGGCGGGCAGGTGGTCACTTACATACCTGCCTTGCCGTCCTTCTTTCTGGGCTAAAAGGGGCCGGACGGGCAGAGAGGCTTGCATACCGGCCGGGGGCGGATGGCCCCCCCTCCCGGTGCCTCACCTTCTTTATCTGTCAAGTGGGGAAGGTGACAGTTCCTGCCACCCAAGGTTATGGGGAAGATCAGAGCAGGTGTGTGCAGTCCCTAGCACAGCAGACACTAGAAACAGTCACTGGGACAATAGTACGGGCAAGGCCCCAGCTTCCTCCCCCACCCCCTCAGCGAATGGGTGGGGTCAGAGCAGGCAGTTTTGGGAGTGGAGGTGTCTGGGGTGGGCTTGGGTGGTTTTGAGTGGGCTCAGGCCCCGAGGACCTCCTGGGGGAAGGGGTGCCTCGTCCCTGTATCCTGCCCCACCCGCACATGAGCTCCGCCCCGCAACACCGCCGAGAGGCTGAGATCCGGGCGGGGAGGTTGCAGAAGGCGCTGGGCAGCTCACGAACAGGCGCTCAGGCCCTCGTGGCCCTTGGCGGTAGTGGAACCTCGTCACTGAAACTGCTGAGGCTCCTGGCAGCTGCCCCGCCTGTCAGGTGTGGGTCTGGCCCCGACCTCCCAGCAGGTCCAGAGCCTGGCACCAGGAGCCTGGACCCTGGGGCAGAGCTGCCTGGGCCCGAATCCCCATTCTCCTTCTGGTGGGTCCCTCCTGAGCCAAGGTGCCGCCAGGCATGTGGCCTCTGGGAGCCGCCCCCAGAGTGTGGGGCGGGGAGAGATACCAGGTGGCTTAGGGATTGCAGGGGTCAAGGACAGAAGTTCAGAGGCTGTGAGCGTCCGCCCTTTTGGTGTCTCTGGGCCACACTGGAAGGAGAAGAGTCGTCTTGGGCCACACATTACATACATTGTGACACGTTATCGCAAAAAATAATCTCAAAATGTTTCAAGTAAATTTATGGTCTTTTGTCGGGCCCCTGGTAGGGAATGACAGTGGCTTGGAGCAGCGCGGTGGGAAGGAGAGTCGGTGGGAAGGAGAGTCGCCACCGTCCTTAAGGAAAACCAGTCACACCCTGATTGGTGTGGCTCCGGGGGCTGGGTGTGGTCCCGCCGCTGAGCAGAGGGTCCTCGGTTCTGGTCGGGATACCTGCCTGGGTTGCGGGTTCAGTCCCTGGTTGGGCGTGAACAAGAGGCGGCCGATTGATGTTTTTTTCTCACATTGATGTTTCTTTCTCTTTCTGCCTCCCTTCCCCCTCTCTAAATAAATAACATCTTAAAGAACGCAGTCACCGCTTTTCCGTCTCGTGGCTTGTGATTCTCTCCTCTTCACCTGTAACCTGCCTCTAACAGTGGGCGCCCGGGACACTGTCCCCGGAGTTCAGGATGCGGCCGGCTGGGGGCAGGGGCAGCTGCGCAGACCTGGGCCTTCAGACCCTGAAACACATACCAGTCTCAGGACCGAGGAGTCTTGGGGCTCGGGCGTCTCTCCAGCTGGCCGCCGCCCGCAGCCCAGGCCGGCTTCCCTGTCCCAGCCCCTCAGTATCGGCGCTGGGGGGCTGCCCTTGGGGCGAGGCCCTGGGCAGCAGCTTCGCCCCTGCCCTCCCCGCTGCTCCGTTACGGCTCCTGGCAGCAGAGCGCCGGGTGGTTAGTCCAGCTGTGTGCCCCCGCTTCCCTCCCCTGACCTCAGACCCCCACCCCCACCCGCCGGAGGAAACACCTGGCTGGCCCGGAGCCCTCTCTGCTGCCCGGCGGGGCTTGGGGGCCCCGTTTGCTGGCTCGGTGGGGCGAAAGCTGGAGGAACGGGGGGCCCGGTCCCCCTCATCCAGGGGAGTCATCCGAAAGGCGGCCCCCCAGCCCCGCTTCCAGGCACCAGGAGGACTTGACCAGGCCTAGTCTTGGATGAGCCCCATGGCCGCCTGCAGAGACTGACAGCTGCACGTGGTCTGGCAAATGGGGACACGGGGGCTCAGGTGGCAGTGACTGGCCAGGGGTCCAGTGAGCGGCAGAGCTGGGATTCAAACTGGGACCTAGAACTTGTCCTCTTAACCCCGGGGGCCACTGCATCACAGCTGCCCCCAGGGAGAGCGGCCAGAGCCCCCCCGGAGCGGGGCAGAGCCTGGCCCCCGAGGCGCCTGGTAACAGGCCCTTCCTCCTCCTCTGCAGGGAGAAGAAGTGGGTGACTGTGGGCGACACGTCGCTGCGAATCTACAAGTGGGTCCCTGTGACAGAGCCGAAGGTGGACGATGTGAGTACGCGGGGCCCATCCCCGGGCGTGTCCCCTGCGTGTCATCTCTTGGGCTGAGCGCCCCGTGGTTTGGCAGTGGGGACACACCTGCCTGCAGAGGTGTCCCTCCCTGGGGCGCTGGGCACCGTGGTCTGGGAGTGGCCGTGGTGGCACCCACGCACAGGCAGACGCCCCCTGGCATTGGAGCACCAGACCTTATGCCAGGCGCTGCTACCTCGTTCCCTCCTCCCACCGAGTCTGTGGAGCTGATCGCTGTCCTTTCAAGGACATCGGCTCAGAGAGGGGAAGCCACGTCCCCAGAGCCACCCAGCAGGTGTCGCGTCGGCCTGCCTGACTCCAGAGCTCACACACGCCGCTCCGGGAGAGCCTTAGGTGCCCACCCCTGAGAGTTCTGCGCAGGGAGGCCAGGGCGGCTTCAGGAGGGGGCGGCGACTGGCCACTAGGGGGAGCCCCGGCGGCTGTGCTTGGTCTTATGGAGGGATGGGGACAGATCCTGGGGCCCCTTAGCGGCTCCCAGGCCAGCTGCTCCCCTTGCCAGTCAAAATCCTGACGGGCCCCCCTGCCAGGCCTTTGCATGGGCTGCTCCTTCTCCTGGGGCCGCTTTTCCTATGCGCACACGGACAGCCCTCTCCTTCAGGAAGGTGGCTCCACAAAACCACGTGGCTCCGTTTGCTCCTGGGTTGTGCTCGGCAGGTTTCCAGGGGCCTTAAAGGCAGGGTTAACGCCCCATTCCACCATCTTCAGTTGCCCCTCCTGGTTCTGGCCTGGGCTCCTGGAGCCCCCGAGCTGCCTTCCCCGGAGGCCCCGAGACCTAGAGCGGCAGGGCAGTTGGTGTTGGCCACTGGGGCCGGAGGGGCGCGCGCGGCGGGGCCCCTCGCGGGCGGCTCGGCTCCGGCCGCTGCCCGTGCCTTGTGCGGCGTTAGGTGCTTTGTAAATGCCGCTGCGTTTGGGAAGACGTGGTCCTTGCTCTCAAGGAATTTATAACCTCGCTGGGGGAAGATAATTATAGCATAGCACGGAACAGACAGCAGGGCAGTGCCAAATGGATCGTGATCAAGGAGGAGACGTAATACGTGGGCCGTCGGAGGGACAGGGCAGCCCCAGGCCGGGCTGGGAGCGCTGGGTTTGGAGTCGACGGACCACCCCCGCTGACTCTGTGGTGCCGGCGGGGGACCCCATTGTGCTGGGCCTCAGTTCCCTGTTTCATGCACCCACGCGGCAGTGCCCAGGTCCTGGGGCGTCTGCAGCCAAGCAGAGGTGATAGGTCACCCGAGAGGCCTCCCCGCAGTGCGTGGCACAGATGGCGCTCGACAAAGGCTAATTCCCTGTCCTCTGGGGCCACGGTGTTCCCCACCCCCCTCCCTGGAGGGCAGTGGGCCCCACGCCTGGCTGAGCATCGGGTCCCCGGGAGCCTTGAAGAAATGTAGGTTCCTGGGCCTCTCCCCAGACGTCTCTGATGATTGTGGCCTGCAGTCCTCACTGTGGAGGACAGTTTTTCTTTTTCTATTTTTTTTTAAACATCCAGTTGCAACATGGTTACACCCTTTGTCTCCTCAGAACTTGAACACTCTTGTAAATAGGTAAAAACTGTTACAAAATCCAAATGTTACCTTAGGATCGTCTTTTACCCTGCGACCATTCACCAGCCACACAGGTCACTCTCTCAAAGTGCATGAGTCTGGGCTCTGATACGCCGTGGTGCGTCTGCCTCCACTGAAGTTCCAGAGCGTGGCCGTCGCCCCCAAAAGACCCGGCCGTCGCTCCCCCAACCCCAAGAGGCCGGAAACCACCATCTTCTTCTCTCTGTCTTTATGGGTTAGCTCTAGTCTTCACATGTTCCTTTTTTTACTGTGTATCCTTTTATAAATTGTTTCCCATCCCTCCACACGCCCCCCACCAAGCTCAGCTCCGTGCTCAGCTCCTCCCTGAGAGGCGCCCAGGGCTCGCCCTGCCCGGCTTCCCGTGCACACGCACACGCACATGCGCTCGCTTGTTCTTTCTTTTCCAGAAATGGCGGCTTCCCCTCCGCACCGGTTATGAAAACGTCTTGGAGAGACTGGAAACGTGTTTAACGTTGACATTTTTGTAGATCATTCCCCATCATTAAATGAAGCGCTGCCTTATTCTCTGTAATTGTCACATGACCCTACATTGAGTGAATGCACCGTAATTTATTTAACGAGCCTCTAACCGATAGACGCAGGTTGCTTCTGACGCTATTCTGTTCCAGTTGTAAAAAACGGAGCCACGCACAAAAAGCTCCCCCTCGCACCTCCCCCTGGTCTTGCTTTGTGGTGCAGCGGGACGTGCTGACTGCGCGGTTCCCCTTGGCTCCCCTGGCTTTGCCAGACCTGCTGTGGGCCGGTGACCATGGCCTTTTCCCCAGGTCCCCTCCCTGGAGGGGGAGGAGCGTCCCGCAGGGTTTAGCTGCAGCCCCCAGGCCTGGAAGCCTCCCCCCCCCCCCCGCAGGGCTCTGATTCCGAAGCAGGGCGCCCCTTAATGGGATGTGTCCACTGCAGGCCACGGGGAGCCCACCGGGGACCTGCGGGCTCCGCGATGAGGCGGCGGAATAAAATATTCATGCCACCCTCCAGGGTCCGGCTCCTGCGTGCGCTCAGTGCGGTGACTGGGCTTCTGCTCCGTTTTCTCCTCCAGAAAAACAAGAACAAGAAAAAGGGCAAGGATGAGAAGTGCGGCTCTGAGGTGACCACGCCGGAGAACAGCTCCTCCCCGGGGATGATGGACATGCACGGTGAGCTCCCCGCAGGCTGCCGGCCCGCGCCTGTCCGGCGCCCGGTGGAGGCGCTGCCCGCGGCCGGCCGTGTTGTGTTTCCCCGGCAGGTCCGTTCACATTCCAGGCCCGGGGTGGCAGGGCTGGGCTGGCAGGGCCTCGGCGCCAAGGACAAGGCTCCGGGACGAGGAAGGGACGTCTTTCCCAGCTCAACAAGCCAAGAAGCATAAAATAAGACCCCTTCTCACCCCAGGACAAAAATCTCACCGGAGCCCTGGCCGGTGTGGCCCCAGTCGGTTGGAGCATCGTCTCATAACCGAAAGGCTGAACGTTCAGTTCCTGGCCGGGGCGTGTGCCTAGGTTGCGGGTTCAATCCCTGGTTTGAGTGCATCCGATCCTTGGTTTGAGTGTGTACAGCAGACAACCAACTGATGTCTCACATTTCTCTCTCAGTTCTGTTTCTCTCTCTCCCTTTCTAAAGGCAATGGAAGGGTGTCTTTGGGTGAGGATTGAGAACAAATCTCACCGGAGATGTTCTGGGGCATACATTGTTCTTTTTCCCTCCTAGGCCTGATACACTGGTGCAGATGACTGTACATTCCATTTCCTGTTTTGCTTTGGCTACTGGGAAGCTCCAACCTGGGTTTCTGACTTCATGTTAAGCCGCACCAACAGCATACCTTCCTTTGTTGTCTTAGTTCAAAAGCTGTCACCGGAGTCCTACTGAGCAAAATCCAGGCTGGGGACATGCTTCAGCCAGTTCACAGTTGTCTTGACACCGCTGGTGTTTCTTTCTTTCTAAAATATTTTATTTCTTAGAAAGAGGGGAAGGGAGGGAGAAAGAGAGAAACGTCAACGTGGGAGAGAAACATTGATCAGTGCCCTCCCATAAGCACCCCAGCCAGATATCGAACCCGCAACCCAGGTATGTGCCCTGACCAGGAACAGAACCTGCAACTTTTTGGTATGTGGGACGACGCTCCAACCAACGGAGCCACCCGGCCAGGGCCAGCTGAGGGCGTTTTAGAGAAGAGATCCTACCGGGGTTCAAACCTGCCTCTCCTAGAATCTCTCCCGAGACCCTGAGTGAGTTACTTACCTCGCGGCCTTTGGGTTTGTCTGTCTTTAATCATCCAACAGGGATGGTAACGCCTACTTTGTAAGGTCACTGTGAGTGTTAGATCATTTTTTGAAGCGTTGGCACGTTAGAAGCTACCATTTAAGAGGTGCCGTCAGAAGGTGCCAAGTGTCTCACCAAGCCCATTTCATGATCTTATTGAGTCCTGCGAACAAGCCCCGTAGTACAGATGAGGAGAGTCGGGCTCGGAGAGGCGCGGCCGCTCTTGCCGAGAGCCGGGGAGTCCGTAGATGCCAGTGCTGGCACGCGAGGCCCTTTGGAGGCGGATCCAAGTCTGTGGCCACTAGAGAAATCTAGACTAACACTCCAGAAAACACCTAGGATGCTCACCAAGGCAGGAGCCATGCCCGCCCTGCTGGTATCATTTCCATTTTATTTTATTTTTAAAATGTTTTTAATTTATTAATTTGAGAGAGAGAGAGAGAGACATCGGTTTGTGGGTGCATTCATTGGTTGCCCTCCTGTATGTGCCCTGACTGGGGATTGAACCTGCCACCCTGGGGTAGTGGGACGATGCTCCAGAATATTTCAGTGCATGGGCCGCGAGGGCCTGTGAGTGGGAAAGTGCCGGGAAGGAGGTGGGCCTGGCTGGATTTCTCCGGAAGGCCCCACGTGAGAGGGCGCGATACAGGAATGAAGGGAGGGAGCATCGACATCCAGCACTTCCGTCTCAGCCGCAGTTAGCGCTGCAGCTGGGCCCGCGTTACCAGGAGACCAGGCTAGACTCCGGCCCGGACCTGCTAGACCCCGAGAGCTGTGGCCGCGCGGTCGCCCGCCTCATGCTGGGGCCCGGGCGTCTGCGCCACCCACACGCGTGGGCACGGATCTTGGCATAGGAAGGAGGTTTAGATTTTCTCCAAAGGTAAATCGGGAGAGTGTACATCTTTTTTTTTTTTCTTTTAAGTGCCAGAATTCACAAGAGAAGGGCATGTGTTACAAGCACCCAGAGTGCACTTAAACTCAGACGCAGTTTACCCCGTGGGTGCCGCCCGGCCCGCGCTTCCTCCGTGGGGCCGCGGGAGGAGGATGCAGGGTCAGGGCGGGCAGCCAGCCTGAGCCGGGGCTCTGCCCCTCTGGGCCTTAGTTTCCCCCTCTGTAAAGTGAGGGTGGTAACAGCGCCTGCCTGGGAGGTTGTTGAGAGAATTAAACAAGGGAGGCCTGGCTGGGCGCCCCGCACGCGGCAGGTGCGTGGGACGCATTGCTCTGTCTCTCCTCCCCTCCCCTCTCTCAACTTTACTACAAAAGTGGCCTTGGACCCAGGTGTGCAGCATGGCCCAGAAAAGCGGCATAAGACTGTAGCATTAAAGTTGCTACTTGGACATCGACAGTTTAAGACGCCTCTCTGTGCCCGGGTCGGGGGGGAGCCCGCAGTGTGCCCCAGGACGCCCGGCTCTGCCACCAGCTCTACCACCAATGTTGTGGCTCACTTAACTCTCTTGTTTTTGCTGTGAATAATTTCACCACAGAGAGACTAGTGTGATAAGCCATCCCCATATACCTAACTGCCTCATCTATTTTTAAAAATGTTAACTTTTTTCTGATGGAAACGCAATGTACACATACGAAACGCGCAGCTCTTGGGAGTGAAGTCCGGGGAATTCTGACAGCGGTGGGCAGCCTGTGCCGGAGCGTTTCAAAGGGCGCTTTCCCTCGCTGTGATACGTAGCTCTGCACCTAAGCGCCTGAGCACACACCACTGAGGGATGACATTTTTATACTCTGTGCCGTTATCACCCCTGGCAAGGTTAACGATAATTCCTTAATATCTTTTTGACTCCAGGCTATATTCAGATTCCCAAATTGTCCCAAAACATGCCCCGGGCATGTTCTAAACCATCCCAATAATTTTCTCACACCATGCTTAGCTGTTAGATCTCTTAAATTCCTTTAATCTATGATAATCTTCCTTGATTCTTCCAGTTCTTCTTCTTCTTCTTCTTTTTTTTTTGAGTATTGACTTGAAGAGCCTGGGCTGACCGTCCTGTGGAATGTCCCACTCTGGTGTTAGCTTGTCCTTCTCTCCCTTTTTTTGGGGGGAGTCGGCCTGGAGGCTCGATCGGCTCACAGGACAAGTTCTGTCTCCACTGCCCTCACCCAGGGCACCCAGCACGGGGCCTCAGGCGTCCCCCAAAGACTTAAAATGTGCCCGGTCACACGCCGGCTGCCGGCTGCCTCCGACCGCGGGGTTCACAGGGAGCCTGTGGGCGCAGGGCAGGCCTAGTTCCCGGAGCCGTGTCGGAGGCCCTGGCTGTGCCACCTTGGAGGGGCCTCTTTCCTGGGACAATGTCCTGCCGCAGGCAGTGCGGAGCGGGAGGCTGAACTCCGCCACCCCCCGCCCTTGGCTGCTGCAGGATTTCACCTGGGACTCTCTCCCCACACAGACGATAACAGCAACCAGAGCTCCATCGCAGACGCCTCGCCCATCAAACAGGAGAACAGCAGCAACTCCAGCCCCGCACCAGAGCCCAGCTCGTCCGTGCCCGGCGACGGCACCGGCGCCAAGGCCGATGAGGCCCAGGCCGAGGGGAAGGAGCTCCCCGGGGCCGAAGGTATGTGCGCCGGGTCCCTCTCCATCCATCTGCCTGCTCAGGCGGGCCTGGCCATGTGCCGGCCCTAGGCCCAGGAGAGAGGTAACGTTACGCCTGGGTTCATACTCTCGGGGGTACAATTTAAAAACCACACTAGTATTTGGAAAATAAGTGCTCTGGAGAATTATAAAGTCAGACGGGGCATGGGGTGTCGTGCCCCATTATGGGGGCGTGTGGCGGTTTTACATCGGTAGTCAGGGAAAAGCATCACCGTGCCAGCGCCGCTCGGACGAGGCGAGGGGCAGGCTGCCCGGCTGGCGGGCAGAGGGGGCCCGGGCGAGGCTCCGAGGCAGGAGCAGGCTCGGTGTGGCCGCGGGAGAGCGGGTCGGCGGGGGGCCCACGCACGAGATGAGACCGGAGACGAGGGGGACCCCTCAGCAGACCTGACCCTCTTGCTGCGGGAGACCAGAGCCGTGGGGAGCTGGAGCCCCGCGATCTGAAGGGTCCCTTTGGTGGCTGCCATCGGCCAAGTGGGAGCAGGGGCCGGGGGAGGGGGCAGGAAGAAGTGCCCTGGCTGGGGAGGGGTGTGTGTGTGGGTGGAGATGTGTTTATTCTGAGGTCTCTGGACCCCTTGAAATGAAAATTTTCACGTTTAGACAGTCCCTGCCCTTCCAATGGTTGGACTGATGTTTTTTGGCGTTAGGATATGAAAGCCATACGCGTTCAGTAGGAGCCGTGCTTGTTTGAGGTTGAACTGTCCCAGGCCAGCGCTCTGCGGTGCCTCCTCTCTCCTGAGGCCAGACTGAGCCACAGCGCCCAGCCCGCCACGCGGTCCTGAGCCAGGGCGCTGTGGACGCAGGACAGACGGACGGGGCGCCTGCGGGCGGCACTCGCCAGCTGTGAGACCTTGGGCAGGCAGGGTCTCCTCCCGCGCGCCTTCCTGTTTCCTTGTTTATAGAACGAAAGATGTAGAAGTTGCCTGCCGTGCCAGGTCGCTGTGGGAAAGTAAGCGAGAGAGCGAAATGCTTCACTGGGCCGGCGCTGGGATGGGCCTGGTGCACCGGCGGGGGTGGCCCGGGGTGCTGGGGGCAGGGCCGTGCAGGACCAGGCGTGGGACACGTCCTGGTGTCTTTCCCATCCTGCTTTCTCTCTGGCCATGGCCTTGTTTCCCCGTGTTAGGGGTCCCTGTCTCCTTTTAAGGGCTGCTTACAGGAGTCATGTCCTGGGTTAAGGCTTCCTTCCATAACCGCCACGTTTCCGCAACCCCCACCCCAGCTACCACCACCCTGTGAGCTTTACCGGTCCAAGTGGGAACCACACGGGGGTCCTCTCTGGGCCACGCCAGGCCACTGGTCCCGCACCGCTGCCCCCGCCGGGGGCTGCCTGAGCTCCCCACCCCCCAGGTGGGTGCACGCTGCCGGGGGACAGGGAGCGTTGGTCGCCAGCTGTTGACCTTGCTTTGAACTTGTTTACTGCTGAGTAAGTTCAGGGAATGACATAATGTTCAAACTCCCGGACTAAATTTAGGCCCCAGGAAAATAATTTCCCCTGGGCGAGTTCCAGTACCGCTCTGCTAAGAGGATCAGGCCCCCGCGCCGGGCCCTTGAGCGGTCCCGGAGCCCCGAGGCCGGTCCCCGCTGAGCGCTCAGGCCAGGCGAGGGCTCAGCACGACCCCAGGTGACCAGCTGCCTTCCTGTTGTCCCCGCCTGCACCCGGGCGCCACCTCCCCTCCACGAAGCCCGCCCGCTCTGTAGGTAGAAAGGGAACTGTGGTCAGAGGTGGGGACGGTTACCGTTGAAAACATTTGTTAAATCCAACACATGGTATGAAATAGGACGTCACATTGATGGGGGCTTCTTAATTGAGATGAAGTTCGCATAACGTGAAGGTGACCGTGTTGAAGTGCGCGAGGCAGTGGCACCCAGCACGTTCAGGGGCCTGCAGCCCTCACCCCTAGTTGGACAACACTGTCCTCTCCCGAGATGGAAGCCCCGTCCCCCTTGGCAGTCCCTCCCCGTGTCCCTGTCCCCGGCACCCACCGCTCTGCTTTCTGTCTCTGTGGATTGACCTGTTCCGGACATTTCGTAGAAACAGAATCATACAACGTGTGGCCTTTTGTGTCTAGTGTCTTGTCTTAGCGCCCTGTTTTCAAGGCTCTCCCGCACTGTAGCGTCACCGGTACCCCGTTCCTGTCCCTGGCTGCGTCCTAGTCCGTGGTCTGGACGGACCCCGTTTCGTTGACCCGCGCCTCTGTTCCTCTGCGTTTGGACCGTTCCCTCCTTTGCTATTGTACGTAGGGCTGCCGTGAGCGTGTGTGCACCAGTATTATTAGCTCGGGGACCCGTTGCCAGTTCTTTTACGTCTATACCAGGAGTGGTATTGCAGGGTCGTATGGTAATTCTGTGTTTGACTTTAAAGGCAAAACTAAATATATCAAAGACACGTCAGGTTCATGGGGAGTTTGGTTCTATGCCCCAGCTCATCCCTCAGTCACTCCCACCTGGGGTCACTTCACTGTGGGGGTACTTGTCCTGTCATTCCGGTTGATCCTCAGTGACTTTACCGGGGTGGCTACTGCCAGCCTTGATTTTACCAGGGTCGGGGGAGGGAATCTGAGACTAAGCCCTGGTCTGCACAGGAAACATGTGGCCCAGGAAACAGGCTGGGACCCAGGGCTCCCTACCCTTAGCAGCAGGAAACCCTGGCTCAGGCCCTGGCAGGGTGTCCCAGAAACCCCAGAAAGTTAAGGCGTTCCTGAGCATTTCAGTGTATGTTACAGAGTTTATTTTTATTTATTTTTGGAGAGAGAAAGAGCGGAAGGGAAACAGCAATATGCTAGAGAAACATCAATCAGTTGCCTCTCGTGTGCCCCCAACGGGGGACCTGGCCTGCAACCCAGGCATGTGTCCTGACTGGGAATCGAACCAGTGACCTTTCAGTTCGCAGGCTGGAACACCACCCAGGGCCTCAGTGTACTTTAAAAAAATTCAGGGTGACACTCACTGGGGCCCTGAGTGCCAGCAGAATGGGACCCTGGGCAGGATGGGGGGGAGGGGAACAGGGAGACCAGCACATAAGAAATAGTCCAAATAACTGGCGAAACAGGATTCATTAAATAAGGGATTGTTGACAAAATGCCGTGCAGCCATCTTGTGTGCTCTTGTATTTAGAGGATTTTTAAAGGCATGAAAATTTCTTCCAGAATACTCTGTGATCCCCATGTGGGGAGCGAGGAGACTTAGGTGCAGGTAGGGGCGACATCTGGAAAAATGGGACTAAATCTTCTATAATGGTCCTGGGGTGGTAGCTGTGGCTGGTGCGAGATAATCGGTGATTTTAATGAGATGTTTTTCTGTATTTTGTTTCTTGAAAAGATGTCATTGTTCTGATGATCAAAAAAAAGTACCTATATTGTTAAAAGAAATGTTAAAGGCAGGGGCGTCGCGCTCTCTGCGGGTTCCCCCATGAAGGATGCAGGCTCTGCGACGGAGGTGGGAGTCGCAGCCATGATGGTTGGAGCGCGCTGTGTCCACCAGAGGGCGCTGCGTGCACGCGGGACGAACCTGGCGCATCCTCAGGTGTCCTCCGGAGGGCACGTGGCAGGTGGTCCTGGGTGTGCAGGAAAGGGTGGGAGGCCACAGGGCCAGCGTGTGGCTTGGCTGCTTAAAACGACACCTCTATAAAAGTAAGCAAGAGGCTTCCCAAGCCCCCCCCAGTTTACCGTAGGCCTGACAGACCACCGGGCCACCCCGTTTCCTGGTATTTTTAGTAATGGGTCCATCTGGCCGTGCAAATCACGTGCCTGAGAACAGCTTCTGTCGTCTTGCTTTTTCCCTCAGATCCTTCCGACGAGCCGAACTCGCAGTCTTCAGCGGAAAACTCGGTGAACAGCTCAGAGAAGGCCGAGCGGCAGCCGCCTGCCGACGTGGGTCTGGCTGCAGAGGCGTCCTCAATCTCTCAGGTACCTCGATCGAGGTCTCAGAGGGGCAGCCAGAGCGGCCGGGCGCCCGCGGGGGTGCCGGGGGTACGTTGAAAGGTGTTTTGTTATTTTGCTTTGTTGTTTTCTTGTTGGGCGATCGGAACGACCATGTATTCATTGAGCAGGACGCGTGAGCATCCCAGGTCGCCCCCAGCTGCCCCCGGGTGCTGGGGCTACGGCGAAGGATGGGCCGCAGGTGGGCGTGGCCTGAGGAGGGGTCCCTTATCCCAGGCTGCGTCCATCGCTTTGTGTGTGTCCACAAAAGCATTGCCTGCTCTCAGTGACCCAGAGCCAGTGTCCTTTAGGGCTGGGGAGCTGAGTCCCCAGAATCCTCAGTGCTGGAAATACTTTGCAACAGACAGGACTCTTCCCCAGCCCGGACCCTCTTCTGGGTCATCGGTGTCTGTCCCAATCAGACCCGAATCAGTGCAGAAGCAGGTGGCCCGGTGGCTGGGAGCAGATGTCCTGGATTCAACTCCCAGCTTCGCACATAGCACACACTGAGCCTCCGTGTCCCCAGCTGCGAAAACGGGAAGCCAGAGCCATCGCGGGGACAGGGTGTGATGAGAGGAGGGAATGAGGGTGCCGCTCAATGGAGTGGCACACGGGACGTGCCCCGGCGTTGCCTCGGCCACCGTCGTGACTTCCACTGTCACCCCCTGTGCCCACGGGAGAGCAGAGGGGGCCCCGCGGTATCCCAGCGTCAATGACGAGACTGTTTCGACTGTGCTGAGCCGTGTCCGGTGCCTCGGGAGAGACTGGCACGTGGCAGCAGCAACAAGGGAAAGGCCCAGGGCTCAGCAGGACTTGGTCTGCAGGTTGAGGAGCCTCGAACCAGGCTTTCCCAGGGGACGTGCCTCTCGGGCTTCAGCTTCTACACACCCAGGGATCTGCACCCCCCGCCCCGCTCCATCCTGCGCAACGGTCCCCAAATGTCCAGGGACACGGAGGGAGAGTGGATGGAAGATGTCCGCAGTGGCGGGAAGTTTCTCAAAAGGGACCTGGTTAAACAAACATGGGGTCGTGTACAACACAGACAGGCCTGCAGCAGTTCAAAGGTCGCGCTTGACCCGGGTCCCGGTGGAGAACGAGGAGCCTCACCGCGTGGAATGAGAAACGCAGGTCCCGAGCCCCAGATCGAGCACAAGCCCCTCTGATGAAAAATAAACATTGGAGCCTCCTGTATAGTTTGAAAAACCGGGCTGTGAGCTGGGACTCCCGGCCTCCGGAACTCGGGGAGGGAAGGTCAGCTTGAAACTTGGATCCACACTCCAGGGGCATCTCGTGCTCCTCCCAGTGCCCGAAAAGTCCAGGGCCCCTGCATCCCAGGTGCCCCCACCTCCACTCCCGTCCGGCGGCCCAGACCCGACCTGGGCCTCCGCCGCCGCTGTCGTGCCCGCACGGACCCAGCTGCTGGGCCGCGGGTGGAAGGTGCACTGCAGTAAAGCAAACAGCCTGACGCCCAAGTTCAGCTGCTCCTGTTTTAAGGAGAAGAGCAGGTTCCTGGCCTCAGGGGGCTCCCTCGCCCTTCTCCCTGCTGTCCCTCCTGCCCAGCTGCTCGCTCACTGGTCTCTCCTCTCCTCCATGCCCGTCTCCCTGCCCCTCTGCCTCCCGGCCCCTCCTTCACACCAGCGCTTCACCTGTCCCCGCGTCCCACCCCCACGTGCACATGTTGCCCCCCATTTCCAGGTGCTCTGCAGAATGACAGGACCTTCTCTGGAACAGGATCCACCTTCCTCAGAGACCGGGGGCGGTGGGGGACACTTTCTCTCCTCTCCTGGGTTGAGCTGAAAGTAGCTGACAAGGGAAAAAAGGAGAGGGAAGCAGAGCCGCCTGTCTCCCGTGGCTCCGCCCCCAGGACTGGCCGCCGGAAGCTCCTACAGGTCTTACATCAAGGCCTGGGATCTCTACTTAACTTTAATTAGGCACCCACTGTGTACCAGGCACGGTGGCAGGAACGGAGACCCAGGGTAAACCAGCAGACGGGGTCCCTCCCTGCCCTCGTGTGGCTCAGGAGTCTCAGCCCGGGGGCAGTGGGCACAGGGATGACACAGTCCCAGCACACGCCAGGGGCGGCCAGCCCAAGGAGCCTGGCGTCGGGGGAGCGTTCTTCTAGAACAGTGTCGGCGGAGAGGGGTGGGCTGGGAGCGGGGTTCAGGCATGAGAGGTGAGGGCTGGGGGGCGGGCTTTGTCGGCAGAGGGAGCTGAAGGCGCCCAGGCCTGGAGACAGGTGTCAGCCCGAGGAACAGAGGCGAGGCCGGCGGCTGGGGACAGATGGAGGTGGGGGAGGGGAGCCGGGCTAGGCTGAGGGGCTGAGCGGGGGGCCTCCAGGCTTTTCTGGCCTGCTGAGGAGTTGGGGTTTTGTTATGAAGTCAGTGGGGAGGCGTCGGCGGGTTTTAGATTCTGTGTGTGCTTTCTATTTTGAGAAGAGTTCCGGGGCCGTGTGGAAGGCTGTGCAGGAGGCTGAGAGCGGGCCGCTGCGTCACCGGGCTAGGGGAAGGTGGCCGCTCCGATGTGGGTGGGCTCGAGGGTCTCCGGAGACCGAGTGGAAGGGACCCGCTCTTAAGTTGGGTGTGGGCGCTGGCGAGGACCTGGGGGCTCGGGGCCCCAGCAGGCTGCCGTCTCGCCCGGCGGGGATGGGCGAAGTCAGGGGTCGGTCGTGGGCAGTGAACACACGATACACTCTACAGGTGACGCGTTACAGAGCTGTGCGCCTGAGACCTGTGTTTCGTTCACCAATGTCACGCCAATAAATCCAATTAAAAAAAAAAAAAGAGTTGGTCTCGGGCGACAGGTGAGGTGGGAGAGGCCTGCGAGACGACTGAGCGGGGCAGTCGCGGCGCGAGGTGGGTGAGCGACCGCTGCGCCTGTGTTTGAGTCAAGGGGCTTCTTGGGAATTTGGTGAGAACCGCGGACCCCCTCCCAGAGTAACCCCCCTGTGCACATGTGACAAATGCTGAGCGTCCGCCGGGGCCAGGCCGGCGCTGGGCCCCAGGAGCAGCTGCGAGCCCGGCCAGGCGCGCCTAGGCCCTCGAGCTTGGAGAAGTGACCTTGAAACTTGTGCGTAAATAAATTACCATGGCAGTGACTTACGGGTTGGACAATGGATAATGGGGACACCTGCTCTGGGTGGGGTGCAGGGAGGGAGAGCTTAGAGGCACGGGGCGGGGGGACAGCAGGACCCAGTGACTGGAGGCCCGGGACACCCAGGGGGAGTGTGGCTTTGAGGCTCCCCGCTGGCCTGCAAGTCTCCTAAAGTCCACGCCCGCTGGGCCGGCTGAGGGCCCTGCCCCTGGTTCCCTCCTGGACTGCCCTTGAACGTTGCGGCTGCCCTGCTCAATCTCCTGACCTGTTAACCTGCCGCTCTCTTTTCTTTCCCCCAAGGATTTGGAAGGAGGGCCGCCCTCTAAAAAGATGAAACTGGAGGCTTCGCAACAAAACTCTGAAGAGATGTAGACGTTCGGTCCAGTCTCCGGTCCGCGTTTCATGGGAGATCCTTCAGCAGGCTTACTTCTCCAACTCCCCCGAGTGAGCCCTCGGGTTAGAACTACTAACTTTCCAAGTTTACCAAGTGCAAATCCAAGAAAACCTAGAACGGCGTGACTTCTCAGACACTGAAGAACTTTCTGCTGTGAAGCAAAACACTCGAATCTTGAAGCGACTGTCCTTGTGGAGGCGGGTTGACAGCTCAGGAGTGTCAGACACTGTCTCTGAAGCCAAGATTACATTTGCGTTGCTGCTGTATTGTTTCCCCCCACTTCTCTCTGTAACGATATAAGCTATTTGAGGGTGGTACCCATCAGGAATTCGCGTTTCGTCGGGGCTTTTCACTGTTCCACCGATTCCTCCTGCTTTCTTTTTTGTGCCTTGTGCCCTTGAGGTGACCTCTGGCATGTTTTCCTGGTTGTTTTGCGTCTCCTTTTGCAAAGTGCCGTCTCGGTTTTGTTGAGGCTGCCACTGCCCCGGCCCTCACATCAAGCTCCTCCCTGCCCCCGGACTTCCATCGGAACAGAGCAGGCAGGGAGGAGGAGAGCCCGAGGCTGCAGAAGAGGAGGACCGCCCCGGCCACTGCCCAGCCTCTGGGGTCCAAGGAGTCTCAGATGTCAGGGCACTGTCCCCAAGCGCTGGCCACTTGTTAGGCTCACCTCCTCGGGGCATCTGAGCCTGGTGTTTCCAAGCGTCCCAAATGGACATGCAGAACCCTTAGATTGTTCTGGCACCTCCACCCTCTGCCCCCACCGTACTGCTTCCTCCAACGCCCCTGAAGATGGACGGGCCCCTACGGCTGACGGCAGGATTATCTCACGACAATAAAAGGGTTGAGGAGGCCACAAGCAGACGGCAGGCGTAGCTGGTGCTGAACTTCCTCTCGTAGGACAGGACGTCCCCCTGATTTCAAATCCACTGTTACCTGCTGCCCTCTGCCTCGCCAGGTCCCCCGGCCCCGCCTCAGGGTGGCGGGTGATGCACAAGATGGCAGACCAGGAAATCCGCGTGCTTCTGCGCCACGCTCCGGGCACCACGGAGCCCACAGTCGCATCCTGTCTCATTCCCAGGACACCCTGTCGAGGGTCGCCAGCCAGGAGCCGGCCTTGATGGTTCGGCTTCAGAGGCCAGAGGGAGGCACCCAGGAGCTGGACAGCTTTGCCCACCTGCAGGAACGGGCTGTCAGAGCCCTGCCCTCACCCCCACCTGCCCGGGGGAGCTCCCCTCACTCAAACGGAGCTGCCCCTTGGACCAACTGCCGACGTGTTTGGTTCTGAGGTCTGGTTGCTCTTAGTTCCTTGGACTCTGCAGACCTTAGCCCTTTTCCAGAGCTTTCTTCACTGCACTGGAGTTCCAACTCCCTCTTGAGTTGTGTGTGGTTGCGGGGAGGGGGCGTTGGCAGGGTTTTGTTGGTGGTTTTCTGTTTCTTTTTTGTTTGGTTTTTTGCTAACCGGTGCATATTCAGGTACCACCGCTGCTGCGGGGCTCGCTCTCCTCCCCTGACCACCGTGGAAATGTCTGCCAGACCCCACTTTCTAAGAGTTTCTGAGGGTGAGGCTCTCGCTTTATTTTTCAAGGGGGCCGATCTATTTCCTGCACTTCAAGAAGAATCAAAATGTTCCTGAATTTCAAATACCTCATGCAAAAATGTCTCCTGAAATAAGGGAAAACAAACAAACAAACTTTGGAAATCTCCAATGTTGAAGTGAGCGGTGGCCGAAAGGTTTCTTAAACAAAAACAAATCCTTGTCGGTGTGGCCCGTCGGGCAATCAGTTCTCCCGAGAACTGGGCTCCACGTCACCTCTCGGCGGCTCTCCAGGCGGCTTTACCTCCAGATTCTGTAGAGTTTGAGTCACGTTTTTCTTTGCAGCAAAACTCCATTTTGAGGAAAGATGAGTTTGGATGTTTATTTCCTGCTCTTTCTGGGAAACGAGAGGTGACAAGCAGAACAGCTGAAGGTGTGTCACGCGCGCAGGTACTCAAGAGTGTGCCCGCGTCCACGGAAACAGCAAGCCAGCCAGGGTCCCCTACGCCCCTTCTGTTGGCCTCTCCGGACAGGCAAGGGGAGTCGGCGCCAGCACAGCACGGAGGCCGTCTTTAGTTTTTCTCTGAAGTGCCTGAAGGTAGGGACGGGCCGGTGGTCGGACGGACTGGGCCCCGCCGAGGCCACACCAGGCGAAGCGCCAGCGGCCTGCGCCCGGCACTGGCCGGGAAGGCCTTCCACGGTGGACAGCGAGCCTGCAAAAATCCAGATGTGCTTCCTTCCCCGCAGCCCGCTCCTTGGAGCCGCTGTCGCCCGCCCCCCGCGCCCCCCCGCCCTCTCCCACCACGGAATCTAAGACCTTGCGGCTGGCCGAGCCAGGGCGGGGGTCCTCAGCGAATGCCTTCCGCGGACACCAGGCCCCGCGGCCTTAAGGGCTCCCAGGGCAAACTCACTCCCCGCGAAACTGGAAGTTGGGGAAGCTGCGGCTACACATTCCACAAAGTGCTGGCACTTAGCGCCCATAACTCGGAAGGCAGTTGACCGACACATAGGGTGGGGACCTCCCATTACAGATGACGTCATGGTTTGGAATGCTCATTATGGCCAAGGACCTGGTTAGAGGTATAAAGACTTATTCACATTATCTAATTTTTTTTCTCTTATTTTTTTTTGGTGTGTTGTACAGCAGTATAATTTTTCACTTATTTATTCCATCAGTAGATATGGTTTGTACAATGTACAATGGTTCCATTTCAGAAAATAAAAAAATTTCCAATCATGAACACCACCACGTGACTTCGTAGCATTATAGAGTCAAATCCGATGGACAGTGCGTGCCCGTCAGCAGCTCTCTGGCCTCCGGCTCAGCTGCGTGGCCCTGGCTTCGTATGGGACACAGTAAGCTCCTGTCCCTCAGTCATGCTCGCTGCCATCACGAGGCAGCAGTGGGTGCTGTGGGCGTGTGTCCTGGGTCACCTCACGCTGGTGAGGCAGCTTCAGGACTGTCTCATGTGCGAGTCACGTAGCCAGTCAGAGGCCCAGTCTGAAAGCCACGCCTGGCCCCCCACCTGGCCCCGGCCATGGCCCTGACCCTGGGAAGCTGTGGCCTGTGCCAGGGACAGTGACAGTAGATTACAGCTTGGTTGTGACTTGTCTTAACTCGCCACCTGGTGACTTGTGTTCAGGCCAAGCCAGGGCCAGGGCCCAGGGCCCTTTCCTCTCCCATCAGCTCAGACGTCCTCCAGGAGTTGTCCTTGTTTTTCCTTTTTATCTCTGTCCGGCCTCACTTCCTCTCCCACCGGCAGCTGGCCCTGGGAGCGTGGCGGGGGAAAGGGTCGGGATAGTGCTGAGCTCGCTCCGAGCCTGCTGCCGCCGCCGGCCGACCTGCAGCCAAAGCCCTCTCCGCGAGTGTGAGCCTCTCTTCCCCACCCCTCTCCTTTTCACCACGTTCTGCTGTTTTTACCAGGACTGGTTGCTCAGCAAAATAAGCTCCCAAAATGGAAAGGTCAGCTTGACAGAACACATCGCGGGGGTCTGTCTGCTGAACAAGAAGAACCGCTGTAGCTGGTGTCCTCTCCCTCCCCCGTTCCGTCCTTCCTGTGTGTGTCTGTCCCCTGGGGCTCAGGCCAGGACCAAGTTCCCTTCCGTCCAGACCTGTCTCTCTCTGGGTCTTCCTCTCTCTGCCGCCCCTGTGTCTGTCTCAGCGCTGCCTGTCTCCTGGTCATTCTGTTTTGCATTCTGTCTCCTGGCTTCTCTGCCTCTTTCAGCTCCTCGTCCGCCTGGAGCGGACCGACTTCCCCCTCTCCCTCCCCCGAGGAGCAGCGATGCACAAGGCTTTGCAGGCGTCCATTGTGCACCATCTGTGTGCTGAGCCCTGGGCAGCAGTGACTCAAACTTGACCCTTGCCCTCTGGGTAGAGAAGGGAGCCAGCCAGTGCACTGGGGTGCCTGACACAGTTTGGGATTGGGGGGGAGGTGCATTTTGATGGCATGGTAGGGAGGCTCTGCGGATGGTGGAGGGAGCCCAGGCCTTGCGGCTAAGAAGCTCGTGTCTCCTTGGTGATGAGGAGTGGCCGGAGGTTTCCGAGCCAGGGCCCCGCTGGACTGAGGGCAGGGCTGCCAGGTTCATGTGGATTGGAAAGGGGCAGCCGGGAGGTGGGGGCAGGGCAACCAGGGAACTGGGGCAGCAGGCCAACAGGAGGCTGGGCGCTGGCTGGAGGGGCTGTGCACCCCCAGGGGACGTGAGCCAGTGGGTAACCACAGACAGGTGGGTTGGGGGAGGCGGTTAAAGAAAGCTCAGTGACTCGACCGCCTCGGCAAGTGTCATGGAAGTCAGTGGTTGATCTCGGGGGATTGCAACCCCCAACCACCAAGCCGACCCACCTGCGTCCCAGGTGACGATCCGTATTCTCCAGGGACTGACTGACTCTCTCTCTCTCTCTCTCTCTCTCTCTCTCTCTCTCTCACACACACACGCCCCCCCCGCCCCCCCGCCGCTGCCTTTGCTGTTTGCATTCCCCTCTCCTTCCAGTAGAGGTCCCCCTCACCCACTCTCAGTCCCAAGGGAGGCCATGGGACCCAGGCCTAGGTCCCGCCCCCTGATGATAGCGGTTGGTTCAGAGGTGATCACATGACCCAAAGTGGCCCAACGAGAGCCAGCCCCAGGGGTTTTTGCGGGAACTGAGAGGAGAGGGCTCTGTTGGAACGTCGCTGGCATTGTATAACGGAGCCGGGGCGAGGCGGGGCGCCGGGGGGTGGGGGCCGCCTTCGCTCCAAGCTGGGGAGAGGCCGGCCTGACGACGGAGCCGGCGCAGGAGCGAGCTGGGAGATGCTGACTGCGAGCTTCCTGAGAGCAGCATTCGAGCACCTGGCCCCAGCCAGCCCTGAAGCTGGCCCTTCCCCGAAATTTTCCACTGTGTGAGCCAGCACATGCCCTTGGCAATGGAGGTCCGTTTTCCCTGGTCTTCCCCACGTGAGCCCCGACTCTCTCACCCAGGGCGTGGCGTGTCTCCCGACAAATCCGGGAAGAGTGCTTACCAACATGGCGGCTCTCACTGCTAACCAGAAGTGTCTCTGTCCCCCTCTACACTATCCCCTTCCCGTGCACCCATGTGACAAGGACTGGGAAATATCACAGCTAGGACAAGGAAAGAAACAGGATTATCATGGAACCATTTTTGGACGTCTGAAACAGCCTTTTCTAAAATCCTCAGAGCTCCAGCAGTTTAGTGCTGTGTGGCCTCAGGAAAGTATCTTAACCTCTCTGGGCCCCAGTTCCCTCACCTGGAAAGTAGGGGGAATAATAGTGTCTCCTCAGGTTGTTTTGAGGATCTAATGAATTACTAATACTTGTGACATGCTTGGGACGAGCCCTGGCACATAGTGAATCTCAATCAATGTTCGCGGCTGTTGTTATTACCATTATAGTTACTGCCCTCAAGCACGTTGAGACTCCACAAGTCCAGCTCCTAGAAACTGAGGCACAAGGAAAGACGACAGTCGCCCACCCCAGGTGCTTTGGGCTTGCCGTCTGGCTTACACCTTGCTCTCTTCAGACATGCACCTCCTCCAAAGGACTGACGCGGGACTGATCACCCAGCACACCCGGATGATCCACGCCCGCCTCATGCTTCGGGGCTTGCGTGGAAGCCCACCAGGAAGCAGGCGGAAGAGAAATCTGGCTGAGCGAAGGGTGTGAGCGGAGGGCTGGAGACTGGACGAGACGGCCCCCGCATCGCGGCGGCTGCCATATCCCTGCCGCGGCCGCGGGCGGCCGGTGAGGCAGGCCCAGGTGGGAGCTCAGAGGAACAGCCGCAGGGGGTGCATTTTTCCGGTCCCTCTCCTTCCCTTTGCTTTCCCGCCCCAGGCCCTGGGGGGACAGGCCGCTGGGAGGCAAGGACCAGGATGTGGTGCCAGGCTCGCAGGCCCCGCCTCTCTCTGGGATGCCCCCAGGTGCACGGGGTGCCGCGGGCTCAGTGTCTTCCTCTCCCAGGCTCTGGCAGGAATCGCAATCTGCTTCGTGCCAAAGAATCTCAAGAGGCTCTCAAGTCCTGCTTTTGCCTCCCCGAGAGCTCCCTTGGTTATGAGCTCATCTGACCTCCGGGCAGCCCCCAATGGTAGTGTCGAGCAGGAATCCGCCTCCCATTATACAGATAGAGAAACTGAGGCAGGGCAGCGACTGGACAGGGTCCTGCAGGGACTCGGTGAAGGAGGCTCTGGAATCCAGCCATCGTCCCCTGGATGAGACCAATCAGACCCCTGCTTGTTTTTGTAAATAAAGTAGTTGAATCCAGCCACGCTCACGTGTTTACATACTGTCCTGGGCTGTTGTAACGGTACCATAGCGAAGCTGAGTGGCTGTTACAGGGCTGTTTGACTTGCAAAGTCTGAAGTATTTACCCTTTGGCCCCCACAGAAAAGTTTGCCCATTGTTGCCCTCAACCGCACTTTCCTATCGAAACACTTGTTAAAACAACAGCATTTACCTCCTACGTGCCAGGCACTGCGCATGGCTTTTCTGAACGTTTTACCCACACGTAAGGAAGGGTGTAGCTCAGAGAGTTTTCACACACTAAATACACCTGCATAACGAGCGCTGGATCAAGAACCAGCAGATCACCAGCCCCCAGACATACCCCCATTCCTTCCGGTCTGTTCCCTCGAACGGTAACTGCTGCCCGACTTCTTGGTGCAGATGAATTTTGCCCGTTTCTTGGACTTTGTGTTCCCGGATTCATACCGAAGCGCCCTCTTGGGTCCGGCTCCCTCCACTCTCTGCGATGTTGGCGAGATTCCCCGGTGTCGTTGCATCCGCTGGAGTCCGCTGGCATTGCTAGGAATCTCCCCCGGGGCGAGGAAGGGGCAGTGGGCCTGCCCGCCCCTCTGGCTGCTGGGTGTGGGGTCTGCTTCCAGTTCCCATGGAGTATTATGAACGTGCAAGACACCGAGCCTCTGCTCCTTCGTTTCACTCTGGCTTTAACCCTGAGACGGGGCCGACTTGCAGCCCCGCCTGCACGGTGTGAAGGTGGAAGTTCAGAGACCCCGGCGCCCGCCAGGTGACAGCGTGCAGGGCAGCCCCGGGTGCGGGCGGCTGTGCTGGCTCTCTGGCTCTCCGCCTTCCTTGTTAGATTCTGGCTTGAAATTTCGCCGTGACTTCAGACTGTATGATCCCATTTACATGAAATTTCTAACAAAAGCAAAACCATGGTATCAGAAGGGAGAGCCTGGTTTGTCTGAGGCTGGGAGCAAGGACTGACTGCGCAGAGGCAGCAGGAAATGATTTTGAACTGTACACTGAAAGTGGGTGGATTTCATGGGGTGTAAAATAGAGCGCAGTAAAGCTCAAAAAAAACCTCCGCACGTGCCTCAATGCCTTCATCCCCCTGTGCCTCAGTTTCCCTTGGAGGCGTGAGGCTGGCTGTGCGAACCATCGAAGGCCACTCAGCCACGGTCGTCCAGCTCCTCCCGCGATTAGAGGCTCCACACCACGTGACCTCTCCCTGCCAAAGTGCAGGCCGGGGCAGGGGTGGGGGGTGTCTCCCTGTCCAGAGGTCACACGTGAAGCGGCCTGTTGGCTTCCCTGTGTCCGACCTGCCATCTTGGGGGGGGGCAGGAGAGCCACGCGTGGCGGATGCCCAGGCCCCGAACTGTTTCTCCAAGTAGTCCCCGGGGAAGGCTGCTGCCTTTCAGTTCCTGCGCTTGTTTGTTTTCAAAGGGACGCTGCCAGACCACGAGGCCACCTTTGCCCTTTCATGGTTTGCTTTATGTAA